TCAATTGTCTATAAAAATGTTGAAACATTTTTAAATAGAAATAATTTTAAAAAAAGTAATCACTCATTAATAATTCGAAAATTAATGTTTTCATAAACATGAAAATTTTTTTACAAAAAAATGAAATTTTCAAAAATTTAATTGAACAGAACAAATAAATTCACACTTGATAACTTTAACGTAATCTCATCTGAATGAAAATTTTTTGTTCATAAAAAAAAAATAATAAAATTTTAAAGAGTAAAATTTTAGTTTTCCAATAACACTCAAGTCATCTCAGTATAACTAGCTTTTCATTTCGATTTAATAGATCAAAACTCGGTCAAAAATTAAACTGTAATCAAATGGATAAAGTTTGAAAAAATTTACTGATTAAAAAAAAGAAACGAATAAAATGACACTAAAACTAACCTAGAATATTCAAAAGCTTTTTTAATAAATTTACTAAATTATAATTCATTAATTTTTTTGATTTTTAAAAACAAAAACGAGTATAAAATAAATATATTAAGAAAATAATAGATTTATTGAATCTGGAAAAAGCAACAAATGAGATTGATTTTATATTGTAGTATAACAGATCTAATACTTTTTATTTTATTATTGTATATTATAACATATAACATAGCGAAATTTAGTTTCTAACTCGATGATATACCTACAAGACATCCAAGAAAACCCATTGAAACTTTGCTATTCAAAATGCAATGTATCTGTTTCTCCGACAGCAGTTTAACGACTCACAATTACAATAAAATACATTCAACTGAGTCTTCTCACATATGTACAAATTTTTTTTTTTAAGTCTTTTGAACTTTATTTTTATCAGAACACTCAAATTACAAGTTTCCTAATTACTTGTTGAGAACTAGAGCTTTTCAATGACTTGTCATCCACCACATCCTTTACTTTTTGCTGCAAATAAAGACCCATTAAAAGAACATATTGCAGTTGTCAAAGTTTCAAATACTTTCTGTCAAGTCATTTAAACTCGTGGTATTCACTTATACTTTTCTTCTTGTTTTAAAATACAATTCAAAAAATATCATTAACAATTTAAAAAAAAATGTTTTATGAGACTTTCAAAAATCAAATCTCATAAAACTTTAGTGTGTTAAATTTGAATATTTTCCCTACCAATTTCTGAGTTATAAGTCGAACGTGATAAAACGTTGATAACAAGATTATAAACTGTGAACATCTGGTAGAATTTTGATCTCAAAGTAAGATTTTTTGATAAAATTTGGGGTAATTCCAAAATGATTAAATGTCAAGTCAGAAATGAAAACAGAGTTATTATATGAGAGGCTGGGATTAAGCAGTATACTAGAGCAAAACGGAGCAGACATAATTTAAGCGAAACTATTGGTGTTAAGCATGCGTGCAGAGAATCGGAAAATGCAAGGATAAGGTAAATTTCCTGGAGTTTGGACTACTGAGAATATGAACGTGATTCTGGTTTACATTTTGTAAACTTGAAAAGATGATAGTTTGCAGAAAATTTATAAGAGATAACAGTTATATTTAGTCACTGAGTTTTAAACTTAAATAAAAATTTTTATAACTTACACTTGAAATAAAAATACTGAAAAGTCTAATATTAATCGCTTGAAATGTAATTGATTTCAAATAAATTATATGTCAATTACTTTTTATTTTAGGCAAAAATAATCAACCTGTCTGAAAGTTATAGATCACTTGACTCAATTGATGACATTTTTAAATTCGTAATTAATTTAAATACTGAATAATAATATTTTATCATAAATCAAACAAGTTTTGCATTTTTTTGCTCATAGGAATATGTAATTCTTGGCTAGAAATCTTTCATCAAATTCTACTGAATAAAATTATTATTAACTATGACAGATAATAACACGCTCGACTTTATGACATGCTTGACTGTTTCCAGCACCTAATTACCAACTTTATTTGTTTTCTATAATTATAAATCACAAACGAAGCTAGTACTTTAAATCCATAAGACGTAAAGTCCATCCATAAAATTAAAAGTTAATTCTTCTTCCTGTTAATAACAGCTTTAGCCTGACTTCACACACCGTATAAATGATTGCCCCCATACTAGCATACATCTTCTAAAAACTTTCAAATAAATTTTCCAAACATAACCGTTCCATAAAAATTCAATTTTTCGTTGGTCCTCTCATTAGAATAATTTTTCGTCCCTTCCTCTATTTTTCCACACGATGGAACATAAAAAGGACCACAAGCAGAAATCAACGTTTGAATTTATTTACTACTTAACTTCTAGTTAAATTTGAATAATAGAACGACATAAAAATATAAATAGTTCTAGAGCTAGCATGAGGAATCAGTATAAGCTTTCACTCACATTCAGTTGCACTCGGGTTAGCTTCTGAATATGCAAATGATCCAGTGGTTCTGAACACGCTAAGGATTCCCGATATATGCAATGTACTTTACTACGTTTCTATGATGGTTAAACACAAGTGGACAGGTTGCTAGTGCTACAAGGTGTGTACTCAGGTGTTTTATCAGCTCTAAAATAATATGTAGGTGAGGGTATTTATATACATACACATTCATATATTCCTGGTGTACCTCTAAAATACTATCGTCTAGCAGCCTCTAGTATATCCTGGCTAACAGAAACGTGCTAAGAGAAAAGGATGGTCACGCAGTTCTCCACCCTTTCGCTAACTTGACTTTCGCGTGACCTATCTCAGTTGACGATTTAACAGTACCCTCAAGTTAGAAATTTTCTTCGCTTATGTTATGTGTGTATCCATGCTATACAAGGTGCTTTCAAACATTGTAAAATTTCTTGGCAAGGTTAAGAATTATGTTTCATTACTTTGAGTGATGCACTTGGAAAAGATAAAGAAACTTGTTACATTTTTATTGGGTGCTACTGCTTATTTAGTGGTAAGCTTGTGAACTCTGACTTTAACAAGCTAGAAAAATCTTTGTGATTAGTAATTTTAGCTTAATGTCATTATTTTTATCGCAGAATATTCAATTTCGTTTTAATGAAAGCATTGGGACTTTTTGTTTATGAGTTTCTCTTCTATTATATAATTTAAAAAAAATTTTTTCCGTTGATAATAATAATTATGGTGATCACATTGATGATAAAAATATATATTAAAAATAGTAATCAATGGCAAAGATAAGAATAATAAATGGCATGAGTATTGAATGTGTGTTGTTTTAATTAATGTCTGATTTTATAAATTAATCAAGCTTGAGGTCATATTTAGTCGTAATTATTATACTCAAGTCAATTTAAGCCACAAAAATGTTATCATGATATTGTTGATACTTCATTGAGGTTTTTGACCACAGTCTGAATATTTTCCTCTTCATTAAAATTTTTATGAAATTTTTATCTCCTTTACATATTATTACTTTCATATACATATTGTCTTCTATGCATTTTAAAGTAGAAATTCATTTTCAGAAATATGATTTTTCTCACAATATTGATGATCATAACACTTTCATACATATTCTTTACTTTCTTACTCATTCAGTCAACTCATAATATATATTGTCAACTAAAATATTCGTTTACTTTCTATCAAATACTAATTTTTATCTAAAATCAAAATAAAAAAATATTTTCTACCTATTTTTGCAACATTTAAATTTATTATTTTAGGTTTTTCTCTTTCGAATAATTTTCTTAAATTGTTTTTCAAAGTCAATATTTTTTTAGAATTCTTTTTTATTCACATCATTAACTTTTTATTGGCTATTTACTTTTAATTATTAGTTACATTAAGTATTATCTAAGTTTTTACAACAGTTAATAATACTCTCTATTATTTTTACAGCGAATTTGCTAGATAATATGTGAAAACCTAACTCTGCTCATCTGAGCACAACAAATGATCACAATAAAATGAATAAATAGTTCACAATAGGTGCTTATTCGTTATTTAATGATTATTGCTAGGATGCAGAACAATTAAACTCATTATGAAGTTGGAAATTTTCAGCAACATCTCTTGAAATTAGTTTACTATTTGAACTAATTACAATTTTATTTGCTATAAAAATTATTGACAAACTAAAATTCCTGCATGAACTAAATTTATGACTACCAGGTACTGCATATAAAAAATAGCAACATAAAATAAGAATGAAAATTTATAGAGGAAGCTTTTATTTTTCAAAATTAATAACATACTTAAACGTATGTTTTTAGTAGAATCTATTAAACTTGAATTTCCTAAGAAATATCGACCACGTGCTTTACCTTGACTGATTCCAAATATAAGAATAACTGTGACTCTTAGAACGTATCTGATGGGCTCTCTGCCCTGACATTGACTCCAACTTCTATTAATTCATGTCTGTTTCTGACATTAAAGATTTAATCAGTAAATTGGAAGTGTTTATTTTTTCTTTAATTCCAATTCACTTTCACTACTTGAGTCTTTTCCATATTACAACACTTTGAGATATTTTATTCAACACCAGTAAAACATCAAATAATTCCTTGATAAATATGTATCGCTTGTTCGACGTCCACCCTGTCGAATACGTCTAGGAAGTTGGTATATAAAATATGACTAGCTTCATCGATGCACCCAATTTACATATTTCAAGAATACTTGATATTCTGGATCGATTATAAACAAGTTTACTACGTCCATTTCGAGTCTTTCCAACTTGAAACAATTTCACCAACAGAATTAATGTATTCTATTGAATTATCACGAATTCCAATACCCCAAAGTCCTTAATTAAAATCTGATAATTTAAAGCAATTGAACTCTGTTTCTTCTACTGATTTAACTCCATCACAATATAACACCAATTCGGCCTCTAACTTTGGCTTACTTTATGTGTGGAGGCGAAAGGTCATTGATTTATGTGCAATCTTAACCATAACTACGACTATGAAACCGTTGTTCTCCTAATGTGCGAACAAAGAAAGTTTAAAATAAGAAAAAAGGACTATATAGAATATGATGAAACTACAGAACATCTTTTTTTATTTTTATTTTCAGCACTTTATTTTCCACAATCAGACTTACGGCTGAGGCTACCTTATTCTAAGAACAACCATGAAGTCTTGGAATCAGATGTTACTCTTTTCATTCTACGAACTCTCCGGAATGATTCTGTCATATCGAAAGCTCTAAAATATCGAATTGTGTCTGTACATGATGATGTTGTGAAATTAGACTTCAAAACAGGGGAGGTTACTTATGATCCTCGTACTTTTTCCAAACAAGGTAATAAATTATTGATGATCGATAAATTGGTCTGAAAGATTTATTATTTTTTTGAGTTAACTGTAACTCTTTTTTTAATTGGATTGCAGGAAATGGCTTGAAAACAATTATTATACAAGCTACAGAGCCAGACAGTACTGATGCGAAGATGGAGATAAAAATTGAACCAGTAGAAATTAAAGAGGATCGACTGGACTGTGTAGAATTTACCAGGGTAGAGTGAAAAATTATTTTTTTTTCAAATATCAATAATTTTTTATCTAATAGAGCAGAAAATTATTAAAAAAAATTTATTTGAACTTTTTCGAATATTTTTGTTTTTAATATTAAAAAAAAAAAAGAAAAAAATCCCATCTTTTCAATAGGTATAGAATTATTTGTAAAAATTTATCCTTGCAGTAAATAGTTCAATGTAATAAGTGTCTTGTAACGGAACAATCAAAATTTTTTTTTAATAAAAAATATGAAAAAAGCTAAAACAAAAAAAGCAAAAATTATTTTAAATTCATTTTGTAAAAAAAAATGTTATATTATTTTAAATGTTTAGTCAACAATCAATATTCTCAATCAATCATTAAAAATGAATGTTGCACCAACAGGACATGTGCTTTTGGAACGTATCAAAGTACAAAATCTATGAAAATCAGCCCTCTACAATGCTTGGAAGATTGAGCTCACCAGTGTACAAGACCTTTTGCCCAAATTATCACATTACCCACTATGAATTATTAAATGGTAACATTATCTTCTCTTCACGATTCTTCATTACTTTTATAACTTTTTATTCCTCCAAATTCATCCGCACGATTAACATTGATTGATTACAGGAACGAGATATTTTCATATTTTAAACGAAGATCTCTACTCAAATGCATCACTAGATAGGGACACAGTAGATAATCCAGGAGGTCCTGGAGCTCACGTAGACATTCAAGTACGATGTGTTATATGGAATGAGAAATCAGGAAACCAGTATTCTCACGAGACGAATCTCAACATCGACATTCTGGATTTGGATGACAATCCTCCTGTAGCACAGACGAATACAAACGTCGCGATAACACTTCGGGATTTTTCAGTGGTAAGAAATCTTCAGCACCAAGATTAAAGTATTCCGGAATAAAAGAATGGAAGAAATTAAGTGAATAAAAAGAACAAAAAGTTTAAAAATAAAATAAAACTGAAGAGGAAAAAGTTATCGAAAAAAAAAAGAAATTAACAGAAGATTATCTTGATTAAATACTTGTTCTTGATATTTTCGAACTCTTTTCACTGATTCCTTTTTTCTATTTCAAGCTTTCATTTCCTGCACTCGAGTTCGAGAATAAAAGAGATAATTCTACCAAAAACTTGGATTTTAAAGTCTGTTTTATTTACAGGGAGCAAGACTTGATGATAACGATTTAATGATCAAGGATGCTGATTCAATTGGTAGTAACACCTACAGCGTTCGAATATTAGGAGATATTCATGATGCATTGAATATAACCTACAGCACTATTCCAATCGAACATCCAAACCATCCAGAAAATCCACCTTCTACTGCTATTTTCACTAGTCAGTAATTGAATCCACGTTTACTTATAACCTCATTAAATAATTAGCCTATATATTGTTATCAATTACACTAATTTTAGAGAAATATAATCATAATTTTTTAATACTCAAGTCATCGCATGAATCACTATATTTAAGTTGGATTATCAAATTATCTAAAACGAATATTGTTATTAAAGCTTCAGACTTTTTACAATCTCAGTCAAAGAAACATTTAAGAATTAACTTGGCCATAAATGAGAACTATAAATTGAATTTTTTCTATACCCAACAGAGATAATACTACCGAACTACAATAAATTTGATAATAAATTTTTAAGCTTTTCTTTATGTATATTCGGAAACAAATGTTTAAAAAATCATGAGATCTTCCTGAATGTTTTTTCTTATGAAATATAAAATATTTATTTGAAATTTGCATAGTTTAGTTATTATTGGAAGGAGTTAAAAAACATATATTGAATTGATAATGCTCTGCTATTTGATTTCATGATTATGTCTAGATTTGGGGTTGAATTCAAGCCATAAAAAAATTCCAATATTATATTTTATCTGTCATCCACAACTGGTTCGTCTACTCCTGAAATTAGACGAGAAACAAAAGGACAGATTGGAAATTGAGAAATCACATCATATTGTATCTTAAAAAAGATTATATTTGCTATTTAATCGTCATTTTTAAATAGTTAAAAAGTTAAATTTAAATCATTTAAGAATTTGATAAGAAAATCTTGATGGGCTAATTATTTGAATAAACATTTTGGAAAAAAAAAATCAATCTAACCAACTTATCTTCCTATCAGGAATTTTTTCCAAGACGACACTTCTACCAAAGTCACCATACATAGTCGTGCTTCAAGTAACTGATGAAAGCTTGATCCCAGGATATGGCGAAAAATCAGTAAGTATCAGATCCTGGTGTGTTTTGAACGAATTAAACGAACTTCCTATGAGTGCATAACACTATTATTTCATAATACAATAGTCAGTAAAAATAAACAAAGAAAATGATCGCGGAACGTGTGAAAAGCTTGAGTTGAAAATTGAATGATTTAAAATGCAATTTCCGGTAAAACAACACAGCTGAATGCAGAGCTTGAACGCCTACGTGGATTTGAAGCTATACAAAAAGCGATTAAAATTCGCAATTAGTCTGTCCTCGTGTAAAATCAATACCACACCCAAAAAATAATCCTATGTCTGATCTATAATAACTGCTCTAAGTATGAAGAACGGATTGAATACTTGCGGAAGTGTTGTCTCGACAGGAAAAGAAACTAAATGATGTATCCTATTATTTCCGTAAATTAAGATCTTTAAATTTTTATCAATGTTTATTGTGAACGTTTGTTTCCTACGTTTTGATTTCTTGCTCAACACTCTATTTGGCAAGCTTTCAATAAATCTCCACCACTATTACCAATTACTTTTTGTTACAATTTATAAAATGGCTACAATTCCGTCCTGTACGAAGAATCTTTGAATATATTAACTGTTTAATGTGAAATAGCTTGTCATTAATATAATTAATTAATAATTTTGCTTTTTAATAGCTTTTATAATTTTGGTATCATGTGCATGATAAAAAAGTTCAACACAATTTAAGCATATTTTGATGAGTGTATTTTCTGAGAAACAAAACTTGAACGACTTTTTTTAAACTAACTTAATTATCAATAAATGCAAATGAATTTGCTTATAAATCTAGATAGAAAAATAGTTAGATAATTTAATTAAAAATTCAAATAACCCCCCACAACAGTTATCTCAGATGAATACTTGAGGATGTTGGATAAAATTTCTACACCAAATATGTTATGAGTTGATGATCTTGAAATAGCTCAAGTGATTATCGTCAATATAGCTACACTGATAGAAGAATATATTTGGTGGGACTAAATGAATTCATTAAAATTATTTTACAGTATTTATTTGATACAAATAAATATTTATTTGTAGGTAATAAATCTTCTTTGCTTAGCTGTCTGATATTATTATATTTATAAAACCATTAAATATTCACACGAAATTAAATGGTTATAATGTAATTGCTCGTCGAGCTATTGTTTAAAAGAAAATATTAATTTTAATCATTACGAAACCGTTATTTTTTATTTAACAATTTTCAATAAATAAAAGTTATTTCATCATATAACCTAACATTTGATTATGCTTTACCGTCATTCTACCTTACTATCGAGCCCAATCATAGTATTTAGATGAGAAATAAATATTTGTTAGCAGCTAAGAAATCATTCATTGAGCCAAATAAATCTACTCTAATAAATAATTTTTTAACTGTTAACAAATGTTCATTCGATTTCTTTTTCAAATAACATATTTATTAGCTGCTAATAAATTATGTTAGATAGAAAGAAATACTTCTATCAGTGTAAGGACTGTTTTAATTAAATCAGCTTTCAAGCATAAAAAAAAAATTGAAATTGGTTTATCAATTTAAAAGGTATTATAACAAATAAAAAATCGATAAAAAATTTTTTTTTTGAATTTATTCGGCTGACTATTTCTGATCTATTAATTTTTCAAACGATTAATTACTTTATTTTTAACATTTATTAGTATATTTAATTCAATTATTTTCTTTTAAAAATTAAGCTCATCTATTTCCATTCAAATCAAAAGTCTATATATTAAAAAAAAACTCACTCTAAGCTAATTTGAAATTAAAATGTAAACAATACTAAAATTTTTTAAAAGTCTAATTTTTGCCAAAAATTCGTGACCGAACGTCGTTTATTCTACGTCATGCTGCGAACTAAATGGTGGTCGCATGTAATTACACTCTTACGCAAGAACGTGACGGCTATACATCAAGATTTAACAGAAAGGGTTCAACGTGCTAGCAATATAATCCTCCCTTTTCATCACATTATTCTTTACAGTTAATTCAAATGTAGTTTGTAGTACTCTTCACCATTTATATTCCACTCCATTTTTTCATATTCATCATATCTTAATTTATACATCTCATTTATTTACAGGTAAACATTACTTTATCATTCATTGGACCTCAACATCATTTGACCTCCACAACAACGACAGCCCCATCGAAGAAGCCAATCTCTTTTCCAACAACTGTAACGATGTCCCGAGTGTCATTACAGTTTTTTAGGATTACTCAACCGACGTTTAAACCTCCTTCAAAATTAACGTTCAGTCTTCAAGGCTCTGAGGCTTTTAATATTACTTTCAAGGGAGGAATTATATATGTTGCTAATTCTTCAGTACTTAGTAGAACGGCGCCTTCGAAAATACCGTAAGTAAATCATTATAAGTTATTTTGCTCAGATTTACTCAAGTAAATAATTGGAATTTGAAATTCATTGATCGATAAGTGCAGCAGCTTTGCATCAATTGACTGATAAATCAATAAAATAATAGTTGATTTAAAAAATTCAATTTACATGGTTTATTACCAGCTTTTAATTTTTTTTTGTAGATTTCATATTATCATTAACATAAGTAATAAAATTTATGTTAAATAACAATGATTGTAAATAAAATTAATAAATAATTAGCCTGGATATTTATTTAATAATTATTATTTAATTCAATTTTGTACTATATCATTTATTTTATTATAGCTTTATCATATTATATATAATTATATATGTAGTATAAATTAAATTAGCTTTTCGTATAAAGAGTATGTTGCAAAAATTCTATTTTTTATTATGAATTTTCGTAAATTTTTTAAGTATCCACCAAATGTTACACATTAATCATTGTCTTTTATCACAACAAGAAATGATTTAAAACAATGGTGCATCACTAAATTACCTGTAAATGTCACTTGATAATTTAATGTCTAATGAAATATGTATCCCATAATGATTTTTAGATTAACCATTCAATGGAGAACATCCGATCACAAAACATCCACAGTTTCTCTGACAATAAATCTAGTAAACGCATCATCAGCTGCACATGGAAACACTTGTGTCAATCAATCAACTATAATTCACTCGTGTGCAAACTCTATGACAAAAAAGTCATGTGAGCTACAATGTGGTATAGGTGCTGGATCATTCAGGTTTGCATAATTTATCTCCATTAATTATAACAGAGTAATTTCTGAATATATATGGAAGTTTTAAATAATCTCAATTTACACATTACTAAATCAGACCTACTGAACACTTAATTCACCATTTAACAGATAAAATATGTTTCCTTAACAGTAATTCCCACACAACTGCGTGCATGTGGCGGTCTAATAATGGAGTAAATTCAGCAATAATGACTGAACGTTATGAAACCTGCACTCCAGATCTTGTTCATTGTCCAGACAACATTTGCGATGAATTGGAGCAACTGGACCATCGAATCTGTCCTCAAGATTGCACTATTGAATGTAATTTCCATTCCAATGTCTACTTCACTATATACTCATTGAAACATGTTATTGGAAAACCATTCCAAAGCCAATTTGTTTCTCACACGTTCAATTATTCTAAGAATCATCTTAAGATAATTCGACCTAAAGCTAGCTAACAGAATGAGTTAGAAAAGGGAGAAAAAATGTTAAAAATGACTAGATAAAATAGTGAAGATGTTTATTCGTGTATTTTATTGCAGCTGAAGTGCACTTTGGCGAGATGAATCGAGAAGGAAGAGGCATAAAGGTCGGATTAGGCACGTGTTGGTGCAATGATATGATCCAATGTACTTGCGGTCATATGTCTTTTCGCAAGAGTACTGGTGACAATTCCAATACTAGTGGTGGTACGTTCGGAGGAAGCAGTAAAGACTCGTATAAACCAAAGAAAGAACGTCAGAAGGAACCAGTCGTCCCTGACGCACATAAAAGTTCGTAAAGTCGTAAATAAGCCTTAAAAAATGTGAGAAATTTAAAAAAAATATATATATATATTTGCAGAGATGAAAAAATGTTTTCCTCTGCAATTTTTCCATTATTTTTTTTTATTCTGCACTTAAGTGACATAAAAATTTTTTTTAATTGAGAAGATATTTGAAAAAAATTTATTTGTCTGAAAGAAATCTATAGGAGTGCTGGTTTCTTTTCATAAAATTTTTTTTGTTGACTTATTTTAAAGAATTAAAAAATTCAAAGAGTTTTTTTTTTAGATCAATTAAAATTTTAAACATCAATCATTCTTTTTTTTTATTAAATTTCAAATTTTTTTTCCTAAAGAAGGCCTTTATTTTCAAAAAAATAAATACTCCTTTATTGATCCATGCTTAAGAATAACATACAATTCACTACTTTGTATCATTTCAACCAGTTTATATCTAAAAATGCATTCAAACTTGGTGATAGTTACTTTTATATAAACCAAGATTTTATTCTACAGATTTCGCATGCTTGATTATTTTCAATCTCTAAAATTAAGCTTCAAAATGAGATAATTCTTGTATCTTTAATCTTGCTTATTTCATTGAGATTTAAAATGAATCAATTAAATTAATTAAAAATTTATAAACTCACTTCATTGAGTTATTTATTTAATTTCAGTTGCATCAACCAATGTTTGTGGACTAACTTGTTTAATTGGCGTGATTGGCGCTAGCTTTTTCGTCTTATTCATCGTTGGAGTTTTCATCATAAGGAAATATAGGTGATGAATTAAGATTAATAACAGACTTAAATAGAATAAATAGAACTTCTAATCATAAACTTTACATAAAATATTCTGTGATAAAAATTCACCCTAGAGAGATTCCATAATAAAATTTCATCGCCTCCAGAAGAATTTAATGAACCTTTGAGACACATTCATGAAGTAATTTTATGGCCCAGAAGTCAATGTTGCATGCAAAGGAATAACAAAAATTTGCCTTCAGAAATGAGAGCTCGTAAAAAGATTATTATCGATGACATGCAAACTTTCATATGAATTGACCTCGTACTAAGGTCAGAACCTCCCTAAGAGATATTGACTTGAAGAACATGTCAAAAAAATATACGATCACGAATGACAATGATTGATAGATCCACTATACAAAAAAAAAATTTATAAAAATACAGTTTAATGGAATGTTATTGTTTTTTTTCTCTTAGAACTATTGGAAAAGGATCAAGACGCGAGTGTAAGAACCGATCAGATGACATGAGCAACGGGCTTGGAATCCTTTCATTGGACTATTTAGACCGTGGTGATGGACATCTCATAAATAGCGATCCGTTTGCTACGGCTAATCGAACTCTCTTGATCCCGAAAACGACACCGGTAGGTTTCACTAAAAATACTGACACTAAATGTGAGTTTGAAAAATATCCATTAAACTAGGATGATTAAAAGTTATTACAAATATTAATTGAAAAAGTTTCAATCATTTTTACTGAGTCAAAACGGAAATACTAATCAATAATGACAATAGTGTGAAGTCTGTAACATGGGAATTTTTTTGAAGTTTTAACTTCAACTATAAACCCAAATTGCACATAGTCTCCATAAACAGCAGTATACTTAAAACATTCCAGCTCAAATACTTGACTACCAATTGTTGAATTCCCAACAATATGACCCTTTTTCACAGAATGTGTACTCAGCAATTTAAAGCTTAGTTGAATTAATAAGCAGATTTGCATGTGCGTATACAGATTATATATTAACATTTACTTAACTTCATTATCATATTTTACATAATCTAAATTCTTGTCAACTTTATAAATACTTCTCTCTATTTTAGTAAGTCATTATAATCTATCCTCTTCATGACATAAAAGATTTCAATAAGGTCCCAGAAGATCGTGTTCTCTTATATCACTTCCTTTCTTCTCTCGACAACCATGAACGAACCACTTATTTGACTCTTGTGAGGGTGGAATAATTTACACAACCATACATTTATGCCAAACAGTCGGTGATAACGATCTTCACATACATCACATGATTTTATATACATCTAAATGTCTCTAGGAAATTGTCTTGCCATAGTTTGTCGTTTTATTTCACTTGGTCTACGCATCTACGAAAGTCACACTAACGAGATCTATTGCCTCCAGTGTGCTATGGAATGAGAAGTCGATATCTAACCAATGAACTGGATGTAGTGATAAAAAGTGCTATCGATCTCTTAAATTTTACGTGACTTCTTTTCTCACATCCATGTCACTATCATTGAAAAACCATTTTTTATTTCTTTTACTTTGATAAAAAAGTTTAAATTGACTTCCAAGAAAGTTATTATCAATTTTGCAACATTTATTTTAATTTTTCTGATTTAAAAGTCTTCATCACTATTCAAATAATTTGCCTTGAATGTATTCTTCTAAATATTTATTTCAATTTTCAGCCGGATCCCAAATGGGAATTTCCACGATCAAGATTAACAATAGAGCAAGTCTTAGGTGAGGGAGAATTCGGTAGAGTTTTAAGAGCAAAAGCAGTAGACATTGGAGGTTGGTCTGGATCTACTACTGTAGCTGTGAAGACGTTAAAAGAAGATGCAAGTGGATCTGAACTAGCTGATCTTCTTTCTGAATACCAGTTACTCAAAGAAGCACAACATCCGAATGTGATAAGGCTGCTTGGTGCATGTACGTCGCCTGGGGGACCAGTTTATCTTATCATCGAGTTCGCTGAGTTTGGTTCACTCAGGTAATATATACGAAATTCTAAATATTTTAATTAAAATGAAATACTTGAGAACATCCCATACTTCTTCCTCTTAATTGAAACAAAGTTGTTTGATCATTACTAGCATAATAACACAAAATTGAACAGAATTTTAATAAATTCACTTTGTACATATTATCATGTAAGTTATTTAATTAGTTATGACTTTATATTGCTATTTTAAATAAATTGAATAGATAAGCTCATCACCAAAATGAAGATAAAAATTTCAAAACTTTGGTGAAGGAATTTTTGTTTGTCTTTAATGCAAGAATTTAAAGTGGTTGAAAACATATTGTCTTTGAATTAAAGTTTATGTATCCAATTAAATATTTTATATCTAACTTATTGTCACTATAAAGTTAATAAGAATGCTATTGTCTCATGTACCTGGAAGCCCTTAGCGGATTCCATGTCCACAAGAATGCATTTCATCCAGGACAATGACCCTCTGGTCTCATAAAACTTCAGTAATTAAATTTTTCCCTATTCACAAAGACTTTTGATTAACGTACCGAAAAGATTTATAGCCAAATAACAAGCTAGACACTAAAGCTATAACAAAAACCAAATATGTACCTGTTAAGATTTTATTACAATAGTAATTTTTTTTTAGTTTTAATATACTTGTCACAGAAGATAAAATTTTTTTGTCACCAGAAATTATTTGAGAAGAAGCCGTCATCTAGAGTTAGAAGGACCAATACCTTGTTCGACTTCTTTACTTACAGCTTCACTCAGTAATACTAAGGAAGAAGCACCAGATACAACCGTAAATTACACAATAACTCCTCACGATATACTCTCTTTCGCTTGGCAGATCAGTAAAGGAATGGCTTATCTAGCTGACATCAAGGTAAACCACAACCTACATACTTGAATCTCCTACTAGTATACTCGTACTTTGTTTCTTAATTTAATCTTAACTACTTCGAGCATTGTAATTACTTGCAGTTGGTCCATCGAGATCTTGCGGCAAGGAATGTGCTTCTTGCATCTGGTAAAGTTTGCAAAATTTCGGACTTTGGATTAACAAGAGATGTCTATGAAGATGAAGCTTACTTGAAAAGAAGTAAAGGACGAGGTAAAATTTAAGAAGAATTTCCTTCAAGAGCAATCAATTTCAAGTCATTTAACTATCAAACTACTTTAATATATATCTTTATAATAAGATGGAACATTTTTGAAAAATTTATGGAACTTAATCTACTTGAGTGATATAAATGATTATGTAAAGTAGATGAATTTTTGGTCATATTGTGAGTTTTAGTCATGTAAATTTAAGTACATAAAATCTTCAGACATGATAAAATACTTCAGAAAATTAAATGCATGGAACATTGACAATTTTTTTCTCAAAATTGAATAGATAATCATGATGCAGTTAAAATACATCTTTTATGAATGATTATTTTTTTAATTTCTAAAAAATACGTTTACTTTAAAAAAGTGTTGGAATGAAAAATAATAATTTCTGTCTAAATATAAACAGTCTTCATAAATTAGTTACGAACTTTTGTTTACAGAACAAAACAATTATGATAAATGTTATCTTCTAAAATTAACGTCAACTTCTTAATAAGCTCAATGGATAATTCTTTAACGAGTTAATAAGACGTAGCTTAAAATCTTAACACTTTTCACAGTCCCAGTAAAGTGGATGGCACCAGAATCCTTGGCAGACCATGTTTACACAAGTAAATCTGACGTATGGAGTTTTGGGGTGCTTTTATGGGAATTAGTGACTCTAGGAGCTTCACCATATCCCGGTGTAGATGTTCATAATCTCTACAACTTACTCAAGACCGGATACCGGATGGAAAGACCCGCTAATTGTTCTATCCAGCTGTACGTATTGATTTTAAGTAATTATACTCTGTGTTTATGAATTTATAAATATATAACGAATGTGGTAGTTGATGAATAAAATAGGAAATTATTGAAATTACAATAAGTAACATATGATATATTATATGTTATATTGTTGCAGATATAAATTAATGGCTTCCTGTTGGCACGACGAACCTGCCATGAGACCCTCATTCAAAGAGCTTACCTGTCAGTGGGAACGTATGCTTGAGGATGGCATTGACTATCTTGACCTGAATCCTCGAACTGTTCATAATCAAGCATATTTTGCTCCAGTCCATACTTTAGATAGTCCGACAAGTAAGTTCAATATTTAGAAATGATTATTTACGAAAGAAAAAATTTTGATATTAGATAAAATAAGGATATGAAAAATTTTAATTAAAAAATATAAAATAGATTGAAACTATTTAAAATCAAATTAATGAAAATTAAAATTTTTTTTAATTTTCAAGTTCTTAAGTAAAAGTTACCAAATCTCTTCCAAATTTCAAATAAACTAACAATGAATACTTTAGGTTCCAGCATTGAAGGAATAATAAGTCAAAAATCAAGCGCTCCACGAACCGAAGCGGTAAACTATCTTACAAAACCATCAGGAGAAACGATAACTAAATGTGACAAAGTAGACAAACTTCAGGCACTCTGGCAAGATCCAATATGTTCTTTCCCAGATGAATCTGCCAAGACAACTTATGTGAACGAAAAGCCGGATAATCTCAGCGTTAATCACTACGAAAGTCCAATTAACTTACAAAGAGTTAGTATTACTAGTAACAGTGAAAATGACTTAAGAACACCAACAAATGAACGGCCTCAGTCTTACATCGATATGGAAGGGAAAAAAACTACTAATGATCAGAAGAATTTATTATTTTTTAATAATGTCAATCAAGAAAATGACTCTGTGAAAATGACGAATGAATGCACTAAGTGAAAAACTTTTATGGAAATTGAATAAACTTTAATCAAAGAAGTTTTGAGACGAATCAAAGTGTAAATATAAAAAGAAATATACTCTTACGCTGCAAATAATCGTAAAAAGAAAGAGACTGCTATTAATTGCCTGGAACAAAGACTTGGACCAAAGTGAGAAATAAAAAATAAGAAAAAATACCAAAGGAAATAATATTAATAACCTCTTCAGCATATTTTTGACTAGCAAAGTTCGTTATGTATTCACAATAAATTTATTAAAATGAAACAATAATTATTCAATTAACCAAAAGTAGAAAACAACTCATTTAATCTTGATGATGATGATGATGAACAATGTTTATATGTGCTAAAATCAAATACCACTTATGCTTCTGTCGAGTTATGTTTTTTAATAAAAAAATAATAATAATAATAATAATAATAATAATAATAATAATAATAATAATAATAATAATAACAAACTAAGAAGCTTTTAATACGAGAAACTAGAAATTAAGATTTTTATTTAATAGATTAATAACTAAATATTAGATAAAAGTCTTAGTTTAAATATTTTTAAATGACACCTATATTTTTAAATATCATGATAACCATGTATATAAAAATTTCATTAACTCTTCTTCATTAAATAATATTTATGAAGAATAAAAATTAACATCGAAAATTGATTTCAAGTCTTTTTGTTATAAATAACAAATAATTAAATTAGTTGAGCAAATGTACTTCTAGATGTCATTAACTATTAAGTATTAGAGATGGATTTTTAAAATCATGTTGTTTTTTTTTGTCTAAAGACTGTACTTGAGTACCTTTTAAATAATGTTACTACTTTTGTATTATTATATAGGATTTAACATTCCATTGATTTTGTATTTATTGTAATATAATTATTGCACTAATAGCTGATAAGTATACATTGAAATATTCTATTACTTTTAATTAATTCATTCATTCTAATGAACATGTATATTGAATTTACTATAATGTAAAAAATTGTTTAACTTTTAGTTATGTGCCATGTTTGTGTTTTTACTGCATATTGTATATTAAAATCTCTTCGTTTTAATAAATAATTATTCATCAAATATATTCCGTTTTTCGGTTAAAAAATACGTAAATTACCAAAAAATGCGATAAAAAAATTTTATAAATCCAACTCATTTATGCAAAACTCACCATTACATTTATGAGACTCATACTCATTGTTATCAGCATGAATTTTTGAATTCTCACCAAGTAAACTTAAGTCATCTAATTTTGTTGTATAATTTCGAATATTGTTAAAGCTTAAATTATCACTTGAAAGTTTTTTAGTTATAAAACATTCATTTTCTTTTATGATAAGAGGATTCATACTCACAGGTAGGAGATCATCTGAAAAAAAAAATGGAATACGATCATTATTCATTTTATTATTTAGTTTGGATATATAAATTAGTCACCAATTATTTTATCATACCAGTTTCTTTCATACTTTTAGAACTGTTTGGACGTTCATGTAAAATAGTCATCATCGCAATAGCAATATTGTCGATCAATTCTTCGCTCGAAGTATCAAAGAATCGAATCTGCTCAATATTATAAATAAACCGAACCAATTTCTCTAAATTATCTGGCAAACGAAAACGTTTAAACACCTGAGCTTCTTCAGGAATGTCATCAGGTTTACAGTACGCAAATTCAACGGCAGCGTATCTTTTATTCCTGTGTGCAAAATTGTCTTTAATTAATTTCAAAGCATGATTGTCCATATTCTGATAAATCACAGGCACTTTAGTATCAGTTAGTGGAGGAGACGATGCAACAATAATAACATCTGCACTTTTAAAAGCTCTATTACACCAAAGGCCAGGATCTTTAGTATCACTTTCAGGAATATCTAGTTGATCGACCATGGTATTAATATTGCACGATTTTAAATATTTAGCTAAACTAGTAATAACATTTACGTGGGCTAAATGCGTTGGCGAGTATACCAGAAAGCAATTTGGTTTTTTATTTATTCTTTTCAGTAAGTCTGAAAAATAATAAATAAGCATTTTTCTAGTAGATTAATTATTACTAAAAACAAAATAAAAATTAATCAATTAGTAAATTAAATTTTTTTAGAAATTTACCTCTTTTTCGATATAATTTATAGATATAATAAATCGCATATAATATCACAGGAGGGATCCAAACAACACTTACAATCATGATTAATAGACGTCTTGTTGGGAATTCTGAAAAAAATGTCCGATTAGATATTTTAATAATTTACTTTCCAAAAGAAATAAAATATTTTTCTCAATTTTAGTTAGGACAGCTTGGGGTATTAAAGTTTTAAAAAAAGAACAAGCATAAACTCTACGAGTTTAAATAATAATCAATTTCCTTTGAACTATAATTCCGAATATTATACTCATTCTATTTATTGTTAATAATTCAGTCTAATGAAACTAATAAAACAATTGCAGTTCAATTTTGTTCCTCACTTGTATTGATTGCAGGTGATGTACTATTAACGCATCCATAGTCTCCGCAGCCTTGATGGATCGCAGCTACTTTAAAATAATGCACACCTTCTTCAACAGGAAAAACATAACTCAAATGCATATCAGCTTTTGAATTTTCTGCTGACAAGGTGACAATTGTAGTTGTGTTGGTATCATTATTAATGAGCCAAACTTTATAAAACGTAACATTAAATTTTTCTGGTACTTTTTGTATAAACAAATTAAATGCATTAGCTTCTGATACATCCACATAAAAAAATGGAATAAATGATTTAATATCCTCAACACTTTCATCTAAAAAAATATTATTAATAGAGATAAGAACTGAATTTACCACAGTTTAGATAAAGCTGTTAATGAATAAATGAAGATACTGAATCCTTACGTATTGATAAATGATGGGGAACTTTGAATACAAATTTTCTACTGTATTCATAACTATCACCACTAATTAAATATTCTAATCGATACGGTTGTCCTTCAAATGAAGAATTCGAGAAGATACAAGATACAAATAATTCTGGCAGTTCAACAGTTTCATTGTGCCCAGATAATTGAAAGTATCGGCAGTGTGATTGTTTAGGGTTACCGATATCTTGATAACGTGTAGTTAATTCTGAAAAAAATTATAAATTTAAATTACCATCAAAATTTTCATAAACTCAGATGAAATAGTTTATCTGCAAACTTTAAATATAATTAATAATTTTATAACTGGCTATCGATTTTTGTCACTGAACCTCATCATTTTTACTTACTATAAAAATCGGTATTTTTTATTGAAAAATTAAATGCTGTTAGTTCTAGATGATATTTCGGAAATTGAGCTACATATGCTGATAATTTGACATCATTTGGAGTTACTCCTTTGAGTGGAATATGTCCTGGATTAAAAAGTTTTAAATTTGCACATTTTGCGTCTTGTTGAATAGGACTCAACAAACATTTTAGGCCCTCTTCAGGAAGATTTTTAGTCTAAACAAATAAAATCAAAAACATTAAAAATAATAATTGCGATAAAAGCCTTTCAAGCAATATTTCATTGTTAGGAAATGATACTTACTGTGTTATGACAGAACTTAGACCAACAATTGTGAGCAAAAGAACTTGTTAAACAATTCACGATAATTACAATAGTAATAAAGGTGGCAGTATTGCTCCACATGTTAAAAAGATTATGAATTATAATCATAAAAAGTTCTCATTCGTATTTAGTAACTGAATAATCTTTGTTGCACATGATTAAGACAATGAGAAAGAGGTTAAGTCAGTCTTTTGTGTCGATCTGATGCACTTTTTTATACTGCACCTCTCTTTGTTGACTAAACACTTTAATAAACTACATCGTTAGTATGAAGACATTTATCTGCACTTACCATTCACGTTTGTTTAGCTAGATTTATGCAATTTTTGAGTTTTTTTGACATCACTAACAAGCGTCTCACTTTATTGTGCGCATGTATGTTTAAGTGTAAATACCGGAGAGAAGGGGATTCTCGGGTTCAGGTGACGTCAACTTTTGAATCACCATGTCAAGTTGTAGTACTACTATGCATACTTATTTATGTACAATAGGACAATTTGATATAATATACCGAGCTAAACAACCAACATTTGCGATTTAATTTGTTTAAAGATGATAAATGATCACAAGAAAAAAAGAAACTTTAATCTTCTTTAATTTAACAACTTTAGTAAAAACTTTATTTTTTTTTATAAATAAAAATTGCAAAATTCCATAAGTATTTTTGGCAAATATCAATTTTTTATTTCGATAACAACCTCATCAACCTATGAATAGAATATTTCAATGTATATAAAATTCAGCAAATTAAAAATAATTCAAGTTATTTGTACTATTTTTAGAAATTTAAATCCGCTATATTATTTATATGTATATTTCATTCTTCATAAAAAATTGAAACGCAACTACTCTGAAGTCAAAATGGCTATAAAAGCAGCAATTTTGCAATTTATCGGAATATCTCATTTTTCGATGAAGCAATCACGATTTTTATATTCGAAACGCAATAATAAAAAAATTTAAATGCATGCGAGACTTACCGAACGTAGATTCAATTTCGATATTGAATTTCATGTAGAGATCATTCTGTTAGGGATTTTTCTAAGCCAATTATTGTAAATTTTTTTCACATAAATTTTGTGTGTTTTCATAATTATATAAAGAGTGTTAGTATATGTATATAGTATATAGTAATCTCTTTTTTTACCACATAAAAAATAGACATATGTATCACTGAATAGAAATTTGTAACAAAATTTAAAAAACAAAATGTCTTTCTGCGTCATTAGGATAACTTTATAAAATTTATCTACTACTTCCTGAGCTACAAAAAAGATTCTATATTCCGATTATTTTTATGAATATTTTATTTTTATACATTAAATTGTTACTAACAATAAATATAAAATTATTTGTATTACGCCGGTAGTTTTATACGACGCATAATCTAATCATATAACGCTCTTTGTTCCGAGCGAATAATAATGATGCGTCTTCTTTGACTCCTCTAGAGCTTCTGATTACCGCCAAAAAACATTTTTATGTTTTGAAGAGGGCGCTCTATCAAAATAATTTAGTTTTTTTGCAAAATTTCAAACGAGAAAATACTAACCATATTTTCTTTTATGACAATTTTATTATCAAATTATTTTAAATTTTTTAATTAATTAATTGTTCTCAATTGAAGGAATAAGATGAATTCAAATGTAAAAATTATTTTACTAAATTAACCATTTTTCAGTGGTCATATCTCTTGCCGCCAAAAACGTAGTGAGAGAGTGGGGACGCTAGTGAAGTGTGGTCAATTGCCGTTTCTTTTGTTTTCTATTATATTTGCGTTTGACTGTTGATATGTACACAAACTCTTTTGTGAAAATAACTGTTTTGATTTTATTTGCTATCGTTTTTCTATTTATTCAATTTATTTATCTAAATTTAATTCTTAATACAACATGATGTGAAATTATCATCTAAATAAACTATGAAGTACTTAACTCTAAATACCTAGTAAAAGAAAATGTCAACAAATAAAACACAAATTACAAAATTTTTAATATATAGAACTTTCAAGAAGAAACACAATCAAAGTAGAAGTGATTGATCACTGGGTGAGTCTCGCATGTTTTTTTTAATGCAGATGATTATTCAATTAAATTTCGTTGGATACCGTTATCACAACAATACCTAACAGTAAATTCATGTGATGTGTTAGGTGTTTGTAAAGACGATGAATAATTTTTGGAATTTGCTCATTCGATCTTAATACGTATTTACATTTACGTGGTCTTGGTTATTTTCTATAACTAACCATCGTAAAGCTATTGTATTGTTTTGGTTTAACCTCACGTTGTTAGACGTATTTCGAAATTAAATACCTAACTGTGAATGATCTAACGCAATGACATCATGATTCTCGCACGTTGTAATGAGAAATAGCATAGATGAATATTCCATAAACACCTATGGATAGAATACTAATAGTGTAAACAAGAAGATTGTTCTCTTATACAAAAAACTCAATAAGTTCGCTAAAATATCGAAAATAATGTAAAACAAAAGAATTTAATTCTTTTGATTATATTTTCAATGGTAAGTATTTTAACAAATGTTTATATATTTTATTTCAATGGTACAATTCAAATTTTAAAATTTTTTTCCAAGCTTTGCCAGCATTTATAATAATCTTCATCCAAATGACGGTTTTTAGTAGCCCACGCAGTTAAGCTCATAAATAAGGAAGTTTCAAACATGAATGCCATCGTCCCATCTGCAACTCTTTCTGGTTTTAACTCAGCTTTACTGGCATCCTTGAAACATTTCATATCCGGACCATGAGGTGTCATTATAGTATGCAATGAAGCTCCACCAGGTTGGAATCCTTCTTCTTTTGCTTCGTAATGGCCCTTGATAAGACCCATGAATTCACTCATACAGTTTCCTGAAAAAATGATATTGAAAATTAGTTTTCCTTTTCATCAATTAATGATTTAATTTTTTATTTTTACTTTCTGTATTTTTAAATTAATTTAATGAAAGGGAAAATCAATAATACAGTAAAAAAATAATATCCTGTCATGTCTCATCAGAAATGATTGACAATCATGTAAATTAATAATTCAGCGTGGAAGATTCCGCGTTTCTCTCTGATCTATCTGACAGGAGATTCGTAATTCTCGACAGCATTCTAGCATGACGGAAACATGATTTAGATATCTCAACTAATAATTATTTGAGAAATTATTTTTCAAAAAAATATTATATAAATAATATAAATAATTAATAATAAGTGGTAGGAGAAAGTTATATAAAACTAAATTTTAACAGGAACTCTCTTAAATTCTATCAGTGACTATTAACTGATTTCTCAATGGCTATCAGGTCACTAAGGGAATAGAGACCCAATTTGCATTGCATTGAAAATCAGTAAATAGTCACTGATAGAATTTAAAAGAGAAAGTTATCATGTCTAAATCATTAATTCTATCACTTATTATTCGTGATATAAAATAGCAGTTTTAGACTTAATCTTTCATAATATCATAGTTTAGTTAATAATTTCTAATATTTTAGTCTTTAAAGAGTATTCTTAAAGTTAATGTAAACTCTAGTTCAATTTCATTTTGAAACATCTTTAAAGCTGACAGAAATCGTTTATAATTTTCTAGATTCTTATCCTAACAATAAATAAATGGGGTTGATGAACTGAAAACATTATTCATTAAAGATAAATTATATTCAAGATATCTCTTTTTCATTAAAGATATCAGTCTATAATAATAAAAAGATTCTTCAGATTTCTAATAAGTCATCAAACTTTAAATTATATATTCAATTATTTTTTCTGACTTTATAGCTGCTGAATAATTCATCTCAAGAATTCACTATTTTCAATCAATAATGGATTCTTGCTGTTATTTGAAATTTCTTTAACTTACGATGATAATAAGGAGGACGGAATGTATTCTCTTGGACGGACCATCTTGGAGGAAAAATAACAAAGTCCGCGATAGCAGTTCCTGGTTTTAAGGAAGGACACGTCAAAACCGTGAAAATGGAAGGATCCTGAAAAACAAAACGTAAGTCAGCTATGAATAAATTATTAAATTCAATACATAATGAGTAATTAAATATGTAAAGTGAATTATAATAATTACACAGTGATCAAAGGAGACAGAGTTGATGACCATGAAGCGGCTTAAATCATACTTATAAGGCACATAATTTCCATGCCAAGCAACAACGTCAAACGGACTATGATTGAGATGGGTAGCAAACGATTTGCCCTGATACTTGCAATATAAAGTGAACTTGGTGTCACAATCTTCAAACCATGCAACAGGTGTCATGAAATCTCTTGGTGATGCTAAACCATTTGAACCTGGCAATGTATAAAAATTAGTAAGTTGATTAAAGTTTTTGAGTAATTATAAATGATAAAATTTCAATTAATTAAAAAAATATACCAATAGGACCAAGATTAGGTAACTGAAAATGATTATCAAAAACTTCTAAAATATATCCTCGAGAAGGTCCTAAAACATTTACTGAAAATTTCATTCCTTGTTGAATAACACAAATTTCGTTCGGTTCCACTTGCATTTTCCCGAATTCTGTTGTAATAATTAAAGTTCCTAATTGTGGCACTAAAAGAAAAATTCAGTTCATTTCATCTAGATATTTTTTCACTAATAAGAAATCATGTTAAAAAATATTGAATTATATTTAATCAACTCGGAAGTGATTATAATAAGCAGGAAATGAATACCTATCAGAAAATCTCCATCAGAATTGTAAAAAGCGGAATCTTTCATAGAAGCATTGCATAAATAAACATGAATAGCTACTCCGTGTCGAACTCTAGGATCTCCAGCTCCACAAATTGTATGAAGTCCCTCAAAGAAGTCAACAGGTAATTCTTGTCGAGTCGGTAATTCAAAAGCTTTCCACCGTAACTGTAATTATACTTTATTAGATGAATGTATCTTCCATTATCTCTTGGCTAAGACAACATTTTAATACATTTATTGCCTTCATTATTCAAGTTGAATAAAAATAATGCTCAACAAAATTTTGCAACTAACCGGATTAGGATCGATGTTATTCCATTCATGTGTGAGTTTATTGAAATCATCTTTAAGGTTCTCATAAGGCCCTTGACAAACTGAAGGTTTAATACGATAAAACCAAGTTCTTCTATTATCACTTCGGGGAGCTAAAAAAAAAAAATAAGTTCGTAATGTACTAATGTTGTTTATGCTGTAGACACTTCTTGTCTATTAAAATTTTTAACGTATTCTAGCACATTTGAACTCATGCAAGAAGTGAATTAGAAGATAGTAAGAAGAGAAAAAGACTTGAAGATACAGAAACGCTCAATTATCATTAGAAAGAAGTAATTTTCTCACCGGTAAATGCGGAGCCAGACAATTGCTCAGCGTACAAACCATAAGGACACTTCTGGGGATTATTCTGACCTATTGGTAAAGCGTTTGGACATCGTGGATCTTCACTAAAAAATTCGTTATCAAATCCAGAAAGGTACTAGAAATTAAATAAAATTATATAATCTTTTTAATTCCAAAAGTAGAGCAACTCTAATTAATTTTTTGATCAAATCTTCTTTGGAATTAATATTCAAGTTGATTGAACTTATATATTGATGTTTTGAATGAAATTAAGATATTTTATTGATATTATTAATCTTAGGTAATTAATTAGAGTTGTAAAAAAAACACAAATTACTAGATGCATTGAATAGTAAGTAGGTTCCAAGGGTTCTAGTTTTCTAACACACCTTCAGCTGATCTTTCATTTTGAAGACGTAGATCGAACTCTCACTTTGCAAATTGGATACTGAAGAACTTTCTGGTTTGTCGCGTTTTATAGAAAATACCGGTCGACCTTAGTATGGCGTCAACACGACTACATTTGTATTAAACATGTTTACGAACTGTGATATTAACCAATCAACTACTTAATAGTCCACATATTATTTCCATACCCGAAGAACTTCTTCATAACTTATTTACCCAAATTAAAAAAAAAAAATTTCTATCGATAATTACTGGATAGGAATCATACTACTTTTCTTACAAGATTATTTTATGGTAAAATTGGATTGTTAATAAAACGGTTGAAAATCTTCCGATGAAACGAGTGAAATTGATATCACTGTTACTAGTTCAGCAGCTCCCTCACAAGCATTGATTACTATAAATTATCTTCTTTTACTGATAACATTGAGAAAACACGATCTATTCGTACACTTTAATGATATTTTAATCAGAGCCAGATACTTTCTAATAATTACCATCTAGAGTGATACTTATCTTAAAAAAAATGACCGAGATTGTGGTTTGATTGTGATTATAATCGATTATTTTACAAAATCATCGGAATAGCTAAATTTCTCGAGTGATCTGGAGAGCAATAAATTCATCATTAACTTGCCATGTTAGTTTGAATCGTAAACTGGTCAAGTGTAATTCTCAATTAAATTTTGCAATGAAACATTTTTTATTGATGCTTAATAATCAAAAATCTTAACTTTTGAAAATTCTTCATTTTATATTTCATTTAAACTTTAACTTGAATTTCTTATGAATTTTAAGTTTTCTCAAAAATAATTATTGAAATCCTTCACATTCAATGAAATTTAAATTTACAGTTTTTTTAATAATTGAACATTTTTGCAGGTAAATACGTCTGAAGAAGTGGAATTTATCCACATGTTGGCATACAAGTGCTTCAATATCTTTCTTCTTTGCTAGTCGACACGGATATCCGTGTAACTGCAGCATAAATATAGTGTGGTGGGCAGGTAAAAGCTGTATGGGAGTTTAGTTGGAGGGAATGTGAGAAAGAGAAAGAGATTAATGGGAGAAAGAAAAAGAGAATTGAACGGCAGCGAGGCATGAGGTTTAATCCCGTGGCGACCAGCTCACCAGTTGGTAGAATCAAGCAGGTGGACTGAGAACATACACGAGAGTCCCGGTCTGCCGCTTCTGAAACTCGAGTGCCGGTCGCGAGTTCGTTGTCCGAGAGGTTCTGATTTCATCTTTTATTCCATATCATTTAGTAACGTGTCACCGTTGTTTATATCATGAATCTTCTACTTTATCTACCTCTCTTAGCAGTAAACTCATCTTAATGATGGGTTTTGGTACTATTATCGACGATTTTTAAAAAGTAAATAGTTGAAGACTTAAAAACAAATTCCACTACTTGGAATAAAGTGTCAGCTCGTGTGTGAATCCGGTTTAAATCAACACATAAAATTTATTCTATCATACAAATTCTATTAAACCTTGGATTTTTCAAAGTTGTCAATTATTCTATTATTGATTGGATTTTTACAGACTTTTGGAAAATGAAAGGATTATTTGACATTCATTCTTGGTATGTAATAAATAAAAAAAAATTGTGATTATTTTTTAAAGTTTATCTTTCAAGTAAAAATTAGATTTTTTGAAGCATTAAAAAAGTTTTATTTCTTAAAATAAATCCTGATAAATACAGGATGTTGAAGAGATATTTTTAAATTATTATAATTTTCGATTCATAGAAAAAAACTAAATTGTGTTTTTAATTAAGAAAACTAATTAAATTAAATTAATTACTGATAATTAGTTACTGATATGAGCACGATAAGAGATTTGTTACTTATCTTTATCAACTTATTCAAATAATAACCAGTTGATGGTAAATTTGATTATATCATTTACACCGTTAATTCATGAAACTTACTCTTGTGGACTTGTGATCAAGTAACTCAAATATTTGATATTTCCAAAAATTAGCTCTTTATGAATTTAATGAAGGAAACTATAGTTCATGGTCTACTTCTGAATCTTCAGGTATTGGATATAGCTTTTAATTCAGAAAATATCTTTTTTTAACTTATGGGATATTTATTCAGTTAGGATAATTCACTTGTTGCTTTTTTTCATGAACCATTAACTTCATATATATTCATTAAAAACTCTTGAATGTGTATACATTTTCAACCAATTTATAAAATCATCTAAAATAATGATGCTTTCCATATATTTAAAGATTTTTTTTTAAATATAAAATAAAAGTAAAGAAAAGTTAAATAAGTAATTAACAATAAAAATTTCAATTTATCTAATTATAAAAAAATTGTCCATATCTGCAGAATATCTTAAACTCTCTGTCAATTTATATTAATGTATTTCTCAAGTTTATGTTGATATAAATCATGAGAACTTGTCAAAAGTGTTACAACTACTTGTTCATGTTATTTGCTTAGTCAACTGCGACGGAAACTGGGATATGAAACGCACGCGCGTGTAACTCTTCAACAATCTTCTCTCTGAGATCCGGAAGTAGGTTATCGGCAACTAGCGGTTGTAGCTGACGCTAAGATTGTTAGGTCTATTCATCTCTCTTTGCTTCATTGTACTTCGTAGCGTGTTCTAAAATTTCAAAATTATTATTTTAAACATCATCATAATTGAAAAATAAAAAATATAAAGAAATCACTTTAACATATGAATTGATATATTGGGATGAGTAATTATAAAATTATCATTAATTTATTATTATTTATTCATGATCCAATAACTGTCATTGAATTTATTTAATATTCTACTCTATTTCGCGTGTATCTTGATTTTCTGCTCAAAGAGCTTGGTTTATTTTCATAAAATTTACACAAATTGATAAGGTATTCGAATTTCCTGAAACATATAAATCACTTGAGGATTTTGATGTATATGAATAATATTTGCGAATATTTTTATACACACATCATAAATCACTTATTCTTTTCCGTCCTATTTATCAGCAAAAGACTGTCGTGAGAAAATATAATGCAACGCCCCGGAAATAGTCTGCTTTTCATAGGTCAAAGAGAATCGAAAGGTCGCACATGAGAAATCCTATCAAGTCTCTTTCAATAATTTTTTTTTAGTTCAGCATGAACTGACAAAAAACTTCATCTTGCTCTCACTCAGATTTGTTTAAAAAAATCTTCATCATAATAAGTAGAACGAAACTACTTTTGTAAATTTATTTAATTAAAATCTGGATATAATTAATGGATAACAATTTAGTTAGTCTTATTAATAATCACATAAATTTATCTTATCGATAATGTCTCAATCATCAAAGGAATTTTTTCGAACACTTTTCTCCAAATAAAATTCGAAAATCAACACTTTCTCTCTATTCTCCATAAATGACATTCACAGTGAGACTATATCTCTCTTCTATCATCTTCATTTCAATTTACGATCCCGCACGCAATCGCGACATACTTGAAATACTCGTAATTTTTTTCATGATCTACCCAAGTAAAAGTATCCCACTCTGGTCAGATAGCATAACTGGTTAAAATGAAAATTCAGTTACTTATTATCTTTTTTATATTTTTCATTTTAATACCAATGATTTTGACGTTACTAGAAATAATGTGTAAGGAATTTCAACTGAAAATGAATGAACAAATAAAAATGATCAAACAAAAGATATTTTCAAAATGGTATATAATTAAAATTTCTTTACAAACAAATAAATAAAGCATTTTGCATAATGAATTTTAATAATAGATTCAAAAGCAAAAGAATTTATTATGGTAACAAACAATAAATAGACATATCGTATAATTTTAATTTAATGTTATAGTATTATTTACATACTTTTGCTTACAATTTCTAATGACAACTGCAGTAATATCGAGGTTGTAACGAAAGATTTTTCAATTAAAAAGTGCAAAGAAAGTGTCTATACATCGTAGTAACTAACATTTGCAAATATCAACGACATCCGGAGTCCATTCACGCGAGTGAAAACAGTTGGAGGCGGCAAACTTTGTCGGAAAAATAAATAAGGATATTATTAAATATATGCTACTACGTGCGCATTCCTCGTGTCCTTCACCAACATGTTAGTTTAACCGCATCAAAAGTAATAAACAAAACAAATGTGCAGGCTTATCATGAATTGTTGGATCTTAAAAAAAAATTAAAAAAGATAAAGCTCATAAAAAATATGTAAATTTATGCAATACATCGTGTCAACTAAATGTGTTGTACATGAATGAAGTAATGAGTAAGAAGGAAAAGAGTCATTTTGATGCAATTTTTTAACGACTCTTGTATCATATAATTCTTATTTATTGTTATTTTCAGATTTCTGTATTTTTCTTTTTATAAAAAATTTTTTAACAAGTAATGAAGAGTAAAAATAATAAATAAATAATAATGACAGTGATTTGATGAAATAATTGTAGTTATTTATGAAGATTCTGTTGATTACTTTGAAAAAATATTGAATAATCGTCAGTGATTGACTTAAACTAGTGTTAAATAAAGAATAAAGGATAAAATTCAAAGAGTTTTTTAACTGAAAGAGCAAAAATGCTCTGTCTTTATGATTTATTTGGCAAGTAGATTGAAAAATTGATGTTAAAAAAAGTTAATTGCATAAAAGTGAAGAATGTAACTAAGTATCCAATTATTACGAAATTCAATTAAAATTGTTTTACTCAATCAACAATATTTTATATTTCAACAAAGAAAAGAAGTCTAGGAAGTAGATTAAATTTATTTTTACATAAATGCAAATGAACATATAGAGAAAGATTTTATATTCATAATAATCATAAATTTTGTTCATCGTACATTAACTGTGTTACGCTGATATATTCATCAGCTTAATTAAAATTTTTTTGTTAATGTTCTAAAGACTCTTTAATACTTACTTTCTTTTGTATTGTAAATGCTTAATATCCTATGACTTATTTGTATGATATCTGATTTAAAATTAAGTATCCAAGAATCTTATATCCTATTTTGGATAAAATAAAAAGGATTTCTCTTTTAGTGTAAAATTAAATTTACGAGCTATCTTAATTTTTATACTTTCGCGGATCCAATGAGACTTGAATTTTTTTTTTCCGTTTCAAAACTTTCATTGACTTTTACATCAGATGGTAGAACTAGCATGTGATTAAAAAAAGAGAAGTTTTGTGAATGCTCAAACCTATAGACCGTTTCTAAATGGACCTTATTCAACAGATGAAAGTAATCTCGGAACAATAGTTTCATGATTACTTTTAATTATTAATCAGATTACATTTATTGATATAATTAAAGAAATATTATTCTTCATATTTTAGAATAACTTTTTTCTTTCAATTTATAAAGCAAAGTATTTTTAATAACATTTATGTATAGAATTTAATGAAAGTAAAAGTTTTTAGATGTTGGATTAATATGTGTTGAAAACCATATTCAACATAATAATTAAACAAAAGTTGATAATTATGCAAAGTCCAGTTGTTGGTACAAATTGTTTGAAGTATGATTCAAAAATGGCTATTCCAGAAATGGCAATAACTACAAATTATTAAATTAAAATTTATGCAATCTTGATTTCTGTTGACTGAACACAAATTTAATATTAATAAGTACTTTTACTATTAACAAAATTATGAAAATTTGAATCTTAATCAAGATATAAAGAATTATGATTTTAAAAAAATCATTTGTTCAGTTACATGGAAACTATTGCTTAAACTTGTTTTCATTTTTCAAAGTCCGTTGAAAATTATGCACAATACTAATCAACAAGAGAAAATATTATCAAATATGATGCGTTAAGTAGAAAGCTGAACGAATACCTAGCGAGACTTGTTTCGTTCGATTACACATCAACTTCTCGCCGAAACATTAGACTAATTAATACAGCTGTCTATCCTTCTCTGTTTTTTTTTCTCTTTCCAATCTACAGTTGCCACATTTTTTCCTCTCACTGTGCATAATGCTACAAACCTGATTAGACTTATTACGTTTACATTAGCAATTCAATATAAGCAGGAATTACTAATTTACATTCTCAGAACCGAAATTGTACTAAGCCGCTTAAATTGTGATTACGACAACAGAGTGTAATTGTTTATTCAAATTATTCTGTAAAATCACAAGCTAATTCTATATTATTACACAATTAGCTATCGTTAATCGACAACCAATCTTTCCATTTCTATTGTTTATTTTATTTTTCTGTTAATCTTTATTTTTCTTGCAGGAAGTACTAAAATGATACAATCGAAATGGCCCGAGATCGTTTAGGATCAGAATACTCTGAAAATATGAGTGACGCTACAACTTACACCTGTACCACGAATTCGGTAGATAAGGTATTTTTAATATAAAAATTCACTTTTTAATTTCATATTCACTTAGAAGGAAAAATGTTTTGATTAATAATAATTGCAATGATGAATCGGTATGATCGACCACAAGAAAAACTTTCCATTATATGAATTAATATAATATCCAACATTAAAAATTATATCTTGATTAATCTAAGATAATATATAAATTATAATGATAATGGGCCGTGTTTTGTTACACTTCGTTAGTAAAAAAATATTCGAATACATATAAATTCAGAAGATAGATTGCGGATAAAATAGTTAAAAGAGTGATAAAAAAATAATAATTTACGTAGAAAAGAAACTGATGTACGCTTTTTTTCCGCAGTATCATACCGTGATTCTCATCACCTTCATGCTTTTTTATTGCTAGTTAATATAGAAAAAATTAAATGTAAGATTTTTTAAACTAAACAATATTCTTTTCTGTAAAATGAATAATAAATAAAATCATAACAAACGATTATCATGAAAATCAACTGAATTTAATTAATCATTGTTGGAATTCAAAAATTATTTAGATTACTTAAAACAATTATTAATAATTGGATCATTAATTTCAGTGTTCTCTGAGAAGCTGTACCGATATGTTTCAAGAGCCATTTTTTCTTCATCCACCAGGGACGCGACCGCGTGATGGAATTTACATAAACCCAATGAGTCCATTTATATCTGAGAATCAAAAACCCAAGGACTCGGAATCCTTCTACCTCCATAGTCCACACGACCTTGTGTACACAAGAATAACTCGACTGTTTTGTGACAGTGTTGACAAGACTAGAAATGTTGAACGAAATGGCATCGAAAGGAAAGATGAAACTGTAACCGGTAAGTATGGCATGTCCTAGATAAACAACATGCTCATCCGTTTAGCGTAGCTCTCTTGGAGTATCTTTGATTAAAGACGACCTCAATTCTGTCATTGCTAATTATTTTTCTCTACTCATTGATCTACTCTGATGTTGAATGATCAAGCAATTCAATAATTCTAGTTTAAGGACACATCAGTGTGTAAATAGACATTTATTATATTAGTCAAAGACATGAGGACAAACATAAAGTAGTATTAATCAGGAATTTTTTTTCAATGTCAATTAAACTATTAAGTTTCATCAACGAGATCAACATATTTAAGTATTTCTTAATGTACGTAGAAATAATAAAAAATATGAAGAATGGATATCGATAATAATTGTTAATGATTTTTCGAAGTTAATTTTTCATTATCGCCTATGATAATTGTAGTAAACAAAGTTAATTTTTTTATCTAATTCATTTATGAAATAATAGTGCCCTGATTCTCTCTAAATGTAATCAAATTTAATAGAATTAGTTACACTTTTAATTTCTTAATAGATAAGACAAAAATTTTTGTTCAATGTTTATGCCTAGTTAAAATAATGTTGACCTCTTTATAAACTCATATAATTTACTAAGAACTTATAGCTGTACTTATGGATTAGTAGAATTGTGTTTATCCATGTGTATATCTAATCATAAAGATTGCAAGATTTCCTCCCACCAAATATAATAGCTCGACCCCGATTCTATCAGGTTGGATTGTCAGTCGTTTATTGAGTTGTTAATCGTTCATGTGCTCTTGAATTATTTATTTGAAAAAAAAAAAAATAAATAAATAAGTAAATAAAGCTTGTCTAGAAGATACATCAATGAATCAGCATCGTGGTACGTTATGATAATCCTGAGTGTATGTCCTAAGGATAATAAATTATTCAGTTCACGTTCTTGTTGATTCGTGCGAAGAATGTGGCGAATGTTCACTTGTAATGTAAGAGCTAAGGACAGAGAGATAGAGTGAACGATCTTGAGAGTTTGCGGGATCCAGGTTAAGAAGACTTCTGCATGTAGCGAGATCGTCTTCCTCTTTGCAAACCCGTTACGCCGTTATAAAACGCCAATCTTGCACACTTATGCTACGACCATGCGAAAAAGAGCATGACTTGACGATTTTTAAAAATAAATTCTCTGTAAATTTTCATATGTCACTTGGACCGCCGATTTTAATTTTTTTATTTATTTATTAAAATGAAAATAGTTGATTTGTGTTGAAATTTTTGTAGTCTTCCAAGGATTATCGTTCATGTTATCATCGTGGGTTTTCTAGGCTCACTTTACTGAGATCTTGAATTATCTATTGACTCAATGCTTATTACATTACATCATTGAGATTAAATTTTTTCACTGGAGTACACGACGTAAACAAAAATTAAAATAACAATGTTTATTTCATTGCAGTGAAAGTGGATGTACACATCAATAATGGAAGTATCAAGTCAGTTAGCAATGGCAACTCAATTAAATCCGATGTAATTAAAGAGCCTGATCACGCCTATGAACAGATTTGTATCAGACAGGATGAGACAGAAAGCGTCAAATCAGGAAGCAACAAAAAATTCAGTGATGATGCATCTGAAAGCAGGTAAGAATAAATTTTGTTTATGATTATTTAAATCATTAAAAGTTTGTACTAATTACACAACATTTGAATGTAATTCATTTGTAGCCGATCGAGAACAACCGGAAGACGATTTAGTAGGTCTAGCAGTGGAAGTGAGTCATCTCACCTAAGTAGTGAGATCGCTTGTTATTCATCAACATCGTCTACTCCTTCGTTATCGCGGAAAAGCAGTAATGAACGAATAAATAAAATTCCTAAAGCCCCAGAGCTTCCTGATATCGGTAAATAATAATTAAAATAGTGCAGAACTCTAATTATAGCAAATGTGATAGAGGGTGATATATAATTATTTTTTAGAGAGGAAAAGCACGACGCCTCAGGAAGGTGAAAAGGATTTGAAAATAATAATTGAAGGTCCCAGGTAAGTAGATCAAATCAATCGGAAATTCTAGATTGTAGAAAGGAAAACTAATAAATGATCGAGAGTAATGTAAATTGGGTGCAAAAAGTTACTTTTCCAGACCGGTTTAACAGGAAATCATACATAAAAACAGTTTTCCTTTAAACGACAAAAATTAATTGCATGAATTATCATAAGTATCAAGATACGATCAGTCTTAAATATGTTTTAGTATTGTGAAACCTCCACCTCCACCACCGCCGCCACCACCACCAGACAGTGAAGAAAGTATTTCTCCAGTCAAATTAAATGAGCCTGTCGAAAAAGATATCAAAAACGAGAGTAAAAGTACACCCGGTAAGTTTTCAGTGTAAAAAAAAAAATTGAGCTAGTCGAAATATTTAATATTCAAAGTAATTTAAAAAAAATACAATCTTAATCAAGTGTCAACCCCTTGAGACTGTTGTTTATTTAGGTGATTAGTATGTTTTATAAAAAATATTACTTCCGTGATACCTAGTATATACATCAGGTTTCCATGACATTTTAGACCAGTTTTGGAGCAGATAAAAATTACATTCATTTATCTATTCGACTGTGAATTTCGATTAGATATAAACAAACTTGATAAACTAATGTTAATTATTTAAAAAAAAATTTTTTACGATGACATAAAAGTGCCCTAATTAAATACAATAAATTTACCGGTTTTTGTATTCAGTATAGAAGTCTCTTAATTGGCCCGTTAACGCGATTATGGACGCAACCACTTACTAGACCATGGTGCTCACGGGGCCATATAATATACTTACCTAGATTTCACTTGCACACCATATAAATGTTCGTGCATACATTTCTATTATAATATAATGATCATACCGCACTTACTGTAATGGTCCTTAAGATCCCCTCTCATTCCTTTTCTTTCATGTTGCGGAACAGCGGCCAACAAGTCCGACACATCCTCGGATCAGTCACAGCAGGCACAGACGGAAGTAGTCGCTGTGCTCAGTGCATCAACCGATTCTGAAGACGTCAAATCGAACCAGGTGTCACACCTGGTAAATAAACACATGGTGTTGCCATTTATACCACCTCAGTTTTCAAATGCTGCGAATTCTGATACTCTTCTTAAACCTTCGGAGTATTTAAGGAGTATTTGCAAAACGTCTAATAAAAATAGCCTCTCTAAAGCCAGGTTAGTGACCTCAGTTCTTTTATTTGTCCTTGAGTTTATTTATTGATTTCTATCAACTTCGATTAATTATTAAAAGTCACGGCATATTTTATTAATATTAATTTTATATGTTAATTTTATTGATCATAAAATCAATCATTTTTATAAAAATAACAATTTATTCGTGGTTTATTATGACAGCTGTGTGATTACTAAATGATTGGTTTTTAGGTCTGTGGACAACTTAGACATCCAAGGAAGACTTGAAGAGGCGGAGGTGGATAAAGGTGAAGAGGAAAAGGTCTTATCGCCTGGACCACCACCTCCACCTTTGCCTCCACCTTTACTTGTTGAGGAAACTTTGAATAATTCACCAGTTACACCTCCCTCTACTACATCTTCACAGGAACCGGAAAGTCCTAAACCACATCAGCCACTTGCTACAATCAGCATTCAAGATCTTACTAGTGTTCAATTACGACGGACTAATATCAAGATGCATGCCACGAAAACTTTCTCTGCTCCACCAAATAGAAGTGTTTCTATGACAAATGGTAATTATTATTCCATTGTTACTCCTTTTATTTCGATTTGAATTTTTACTTAGTACAGTTTAATGATTTTCTTACTGTAGTTTCAGAGTCATTTTTTGTGCAAAAAACAGATCTCATCGCTGAGTTGAAAAAAACAAAGGATATACCGGGAATTAAAAAGTTTAAAGTTGAAATGGCAAAAGTTGAAAAAACTCAAGAACAAAATCTTATTTCCGAGATTACGAAGAATTTCAGTGTATCTAATTTTGTTGATCAAGTGAGTAAAAATATTAATGTCCAATTATTTTCAATTATTATTTGTTGAAATAATACTTAATAAATGTTCTCATTATAGAATTTTAATAAATTAAGCAAATAGTTTAATTAGTAATAAATTAACTGGATGTGGTAATTTAAAATAAACATTGAAAAATACAGCTTATTATATTATTATATTAATTAATTAATTTTATTATTATTCCAATTTCTGTTCTAAAGATCCCAGAAAAGGATAGTTCTGGAAATGTAATACCGATCTGGAAACGACAGATGTTGGCCAGGAAAGCGGCCGAACGAGCTAAGAAAGAAATGGAGGAACAAATAGCTCGAGAAAATGAAGAAAAACGACAAAAAGCTATTCCACCTTGGAAAAGACAACTTTTAGCGAAAAAAGAAACAAGTGATGATAAAGAAAAAGAGAAGAAGTAAGTACTTAAAAATTTTCCCAACTTGATGGGTAATTATTAGTCTTTTGATTATATTGTTTGTATATATCATAACGATAAATAAATTTTTTAGAACGCCTCCAGTTCAACCAACTCCATTGGTTGTAGCACCACCTCCAGTAAAGATTGACTTGATATCTCCGTTAAAAAAAGATGTGATTCATCCAATAAAACCACCACAACAATTGGAAGATAAAGTTGAAATTGAAGATAAAAAAGTATTAAGTAGAGATCAAGATTCTGATGACGATGCTCCAATTATTCCTTGGAGAGCACAACTTAGAAAAACTAATAGCAAATTGAGTATACTCGACTGATACATGCACGTTTTCAACATAGAACGTGTCATCGCCCTGACTAGATAATAGAATGAACTGTTTCTGCTCAAAATAAAAATATTTTGAAGTATATAGAGTAAACGAAGGAAACGAATAACGATGTAATTATTTACGTTTAAGTTGTTATGTCAATGTCCTTGACCGGACTCTATTGAAACCCTCTATTCAACTAAAATAGAATTTCTATAAGACAAGAAAACTTTTTTTTTGATAGTGTGATAACGTATTGAATAAAATAACTAATATATAAATAAATTATATAGATTGTTATATTTTTAACTATATTACGAGAAAGAAAATATGTAAAATGACTCTTTATCAATGTACATAATTTAAGTAAATTATTAACTTAATAATATAATACTGAATTGTATCAAAGCTCTTTTTTAACTTTAATTTTCTCATCAATAAACCTGTAAACCTGATATTGAGTCGGCTGAAATTACTCAGTAGCCTTGAATGGTTGTAATGAATGATTCTTTCGAACATATTTTTAAAGGACATTAATCAAAATTCCAACGACCTTGTGGTATAAATATATTGTTTTTTTTTTACTTTCATTTATTTTTTTAATATTTAAAGAAAATAATCAAATGCAAAAAATATGTTTATTTGAAGATTAAGATAATGATCACAAAATTAGTCATAATTTATTACACTAGAAAATCAATTAGTTTTTCGATTGTATCAAGTTCAATAGCCTTCACGATTATGTTTGCTGAATCAATTTAATTATTATTTAAAGACCTATAATTAGAAGAGTCGATGATTTCTGAACAATACAAATGAGCCAAAGGATTCTAGGAACCTTTGTCCCTTTTTTTAGTGGGGATAAATAGTTAGGCAGTCAATTATATTACGACATCAACTCTCTAACAAAGTGGTATATAACAACAGTGTTTTCTTCGCTTCGTTAGTGTGTCGTCGTCGTTTCTCTGTATATACAACTATACCTCCTGCTCTCTTCGAAACACTTCAGAACAGAACTTGGGCTCAGTACAAAACGCTACTTGCTGACTGCCGGTTCGCAGTTACCTCGCGGAACTCCGGCTTGAATAAACGTTGGCACATTTCCCTAAGTCGTGTATTTAATTTATATTTTTGTGCCTGATCTCGAAAGTATGAATGCTCGAATTGTGAACTTAAATTTAGGAATAGTTTTAGATTTTTGAATTTCTTCCTTTACTGCAGTTTTATCGATTTTATCCAACAGTAGAAGTTAACTTTAATAATAATTATTAAATATATCATTAAAAGAAGAAGTATTAAAGACTTCAACACAATTACTTAGTTTTATAAACGTTAATCAAGAAGAAAATTTTTTAGAGTGATAATTAACGTATATTTTTATTGATAAAATTGTTTTTGATTTATTTTTATAAAACATTTTCTTCGGTGATTTTTTACCCACTTAATTTATTTGTGTAAATGGCATCTTTCCGTCGAATAACAGGTAAGAAAACTCTTTCTATAGTCGTGAGGCAAATTAACAAGTTCAATTGCAGAGAAAGTTGTAAATTATAAAGGATTCATTTCAGATAAAAATTGGTTAAAGAAATTTTTCAACTCTCATATTAATTACCTAATTTTCCTCTTAAAATTATGAAACACTTATTTTTCATAAAACCATTGAATGATTGATTGATAAAGGTGCAATTGTTAAATCTAATATAGTTCAGATAGTTCATTGGCAGAGTGATGCAAACTTCAAAGTCAGCGATATACTGTTTAGTGCTTAGCAATGCAAATCTCTTTGAATTTAGCATTCACCACACGCGACATTTTTCTCTAGTACTTATTGTTAGTTCTGACGCATGGCGCGTATCTTCTTAAAAAAAAAATTCATTATAATTTTAATTGATATGAAGGTCGATAGGCGGGTAATGTTCATCAAATTAGCTTATTCTTCTTCTTAAGTTAATTTTTCTTTGCCAAATATTAAAATTTTTCTGTCACCTTCAAATTAATGCTTGGTAATGGCCTGGTAATGAGCTCATTGTTAATGAAATTACTCCATCTAATAATCTAGATTAATATTACAGAAAGTACACTGGTTTTTTCAACGTCATGACAGTTGTTAAGAATAAATAATCATCAAAAGTTCCATTTACTTCATAATATTGTTTATTATACAGAAAGGATTTTTTTTTAAACGAAATTCAATTTTATTTTTTACTCAAAAATAATATATCTGCATGCTCATATCATTGTAAAAATCTGTTTATTTTGTTTGAAAATAAAAAAAATTTATATAGACATATTTATTCCTTTAGAGATGATAATTTTAAATACCTGCGATTAATGACACCGATGGTACTGTACAAAAAAATTTTTTCTTTGAAAGACGATTTGACATGAGATACGTTAATCAATTTTCCTACGTAAATGACTCCATATGAGTAATTTTTTTCATTAAATTTTTGATCAGTAAAAAATACACACAGGTTAATTAATGATTAAATACATTTCATAGATGGTAATAATAATTTTCTTACTAAAATTACTGTATTGTTAATGACATTATTTTAAGTGCAAATATTTTCAAGGATTTGTCAATAAATTTTCATACAACAAATGTCAAATCATTTATCAAACAACTCGGTTAATTTTAATCAACTAGTTAATTTAAAAAAATGACATCGTCATCAGTAATCACCAGCCATTAAAAAAATCCGTTGACAATAATACTTTTTTTAAGAATTAAATGTATATACTTGGCTAACTAGTTAATTAAAAATAATTATTTTAATTATTGTGCAATGATTGATACAATTGTCTATCACGATCCAATTAAATTCTTAAAATAACTTGAAGAATTATAAAATCTTTTAATACTACACAAAATTATTTTCGAATAATAAATAAAATTTATTGGTTGAATTAAAAAAAAGCAAATAAATAATCATAAAGCTGAGCTATGTTTTTTTTTATCAATTAATATGTGCAATGAATTTTCTCAAGTATTTAAGATTTTATCTTCTCTATCCGGAAAATTGAATTTCTTATCTCCCTATTAGCTATGTTAAGATGTAAAGATTAAAGTCTCTTTTTTACGCCTCATTAATGAAGAAAGTATTTTATGGTTTTATTGCAACTAATGTGGTATATGTCATTGATGCTGCAACGTCATTAAATCAACCCATGCTATATTAAAGACAACTAAATGTTAAAAGCATCAATTATTCAATTAGATTAGATAAAATCGAATTGTTGAAAAGACAATTTATACATAAAATAAAAATATATTGGCAATAGGCTCTTTTGGAATTAAGAAATTGACCTCTTTTTTTATTTTAATAACAATTAAACTATCAAATGATTAAAACATGTTGGAGTAAATCGTTTTCGTAGAAACTGTCACTTTATATTAAGCTTATATCGCGTACAGACAAATGTTGATAAATCTATTGTGCTTTCGAGGAGTCTATTGTATTTGCTTTTTATCGACCACTTTCACAGCTATTTCATTGATGAATCATTGCTCCACTCCATTCTAAAATTATTTTTCTATTACTGTTCATAAGTTATTTTACTTTAATAAAATTATTTATAAAATTAATTAATTATGCAATTGAACTTTTTATTTTTACATAAACTGTATTTGTACTTTACTTCAAAAACTATCTTGATAATAATTACTGAATGTCATGTTCATGACAATATACATCAATAAACATCAAAATAGAAATGCAAGTTTATATCTAATACAAATACATAACATTGATCTACATGAATAAAATTGAGTTTAATGGGCAAATGTTTATAAACAAAATTGTTATTATAATTAGTATAATTATTAACATTATTATATTGAGTGAATTGAAAAATAATACATGGATGTTTCTATCAGTAAAGAGTTTGATAAATTAGATAAAAGTCTCGTGAAGACATCTTCAATTAAAGTCCTTATAACACCGGAATAAGCAAATAAAAGTCTACTTCCGTTCAATTAGATGACAATAAAAACATAACCCATCACAGAAATAATAAATTGATTGTATCCTTGGTTCAATTCTTTCTGGCAATTATACTGTGAAAATTAACATATAATTTAAGTGCCTATAGATACCATCTTTGTGATTAATAAAGACATATTTTAATGATTGATTATCTCATATTTGTATAATTATTGCAAATAAATCCTTTGCGTTAATTACATTTCTATGAATTAGTGAAATTATTACTATCTGACTTAATTATCTAACTATGTTACCTCATTTAAAATAAGTAATAAACACTTTTCTAGAATGACGATAACTTGTTTTCCGGCAATTTCCCATCCGGTTCAGGAATAACTATTCCCACGAGATTTAATCAGAAATAAATTTGGCCTCGGCCTTACACTCTACTGAAGACGAGTTTGCCAACTATAAATATCTATAGACAAACGAAATAGATATACATACAAAAATGATGACGTTAATGCTTGGGCTAGCCAAGTAAATTCCGTTATTTTTTTTTTTCTCTTTGTCAGTAAACTTTTTTTCTAATCTTATCAATTTATAGAGACGTCAATAATCAATTACTGTTTGATATCCAACGAAAAATATTCACATTTCCATATCTTGAATGTTTTTTTCTATTTCTCAATATTACTTAGATGATTATACTATTCATTGTAATAACAAGTTGTTGATAAAGTATTACAAAATAGCAAATTACTAAATCAATAAATAATAATTATTGACTATTAACTTATTAAAAATGAAATATTATGTGAAAGAAATCATACATTTTTATTATAAAACGTTAGAAACTGATTATTTTTATTGCATTTCTAATATAAAGTCCAAACTTGAATTATATGAAAATTATCTATCAATATTACTATTATTATCTTCGAAATGATATAAAGGGAATTTTTTTATTGAATAATAATAATAAAAATAATAAAAGTCTTTGATGTCCCGTTCTAGTTTATTCTAGTAAAATCTCACACCGAATTGAGTATTGTCAACTTGATCTTCACTGAATTTTAAATTCTGGTATTGACCTAAATTGGTTTGGCAGTATCTGATTCACTGTGAGACTGTAATTGAATGAGTGGGCTAAATTCAACCAGAGTTATTCAAGATGAAAAGTAAATAAATATAATCTGAAGGAATTTTTTACAGATCGATTAACATGTCGCCAAGTATTAAATATCATGGTAATTTTCGGATTTATGCTCAACTATATGCTGAGAGTAAATCTAACTATTGCCATTGTTGCGATGGTCTACCCAAAGAATTCTTCACATTCCAATTCAACTGAAATTAGTCACGAGTGTTCTGGAATTGCAACAATTGTTAATATTACTCAAATACAAAATGAGAAATTGACTACAGATGTCAATGACAGTAATTTAGCTAGTTCATTAGTAAGTAGAAAAGTGAATTGATTTATTTATCAGTTTAATAAGAAGTGTACTAATAAAGTTATTTTATAGCTTCGAGAAGGACGTCCACAAACAAAGTACCATTGGGATGAATCTCAAGCAAATTTCGTTCTTGGTGCTTTCTTCTGGGGATATATTTGTACGGAATTACCTGGTGGTCGCTTGGCTGAAGTTGTTGGTGCCAAGAGGGTGTTTGGATACTCAATGCTTATCGCTAGTGTACTTACACTTTTGACACCTATTGCAGCTACTTTTGGATACAAAGCTGCAGCTGGCCTCCGAGTAGTTTTAGGTTTCATGCTGGTAATTACTTAGAAATTAATGAATACAGTTTCCGAATGAACTTCTTTTAATGATTAATTTATCGAATCATCAATAAATATCTTAAATTTTTTGTTATCATAATATTATTCAGAAAATTACAATTATTGATTGCTAAGAATGATTTACAAACTGCAACAGTAATGTTATCTATACAATTATAAATTTATAATAAGCTACATTTTAAGCAAAATATAAACATTCATCGTCATCAATTTTCTTTATCAGCCAGTTTAACTATTTATAAGAAAATTTAAATTGAAGAGTTCAATAGAGAAATATGTGTTTTTATAATTAACTGGTCAATAAAAATGTTTAAGAATTAAATAATAACAATATTTTAAAATTATTGACGTCCGTACAATGTTATGTAAATAAAAAAATAATTCTTTATTGAACATCATTGAATAGAGTTGAATCTTTATAATAACGAGTGACTTTTTCAGGGAGCAACATGGCCATCAATTCTTCCGTTAGCATCAGTTTGGATTCCACCTATGGAGCGTAGCAAGTTTATGTCCAATATGATAGGTTTGTTAGAAGATAATCAGCAATAATTATACATAACTGTGTCGTCAACGCCCCATATGTTACATTGTTGACCTATGATTCCCATTGGTAGAAAAGAAACAAACAAGCCATGAGATCCGTGTAATTGAGATCAATAGAAACTATAGGATTAATAGGTGTAATGATCTCCAAGTCATAAAGATCAATTAATCTTATTACTGAATAACAAACATTATTTTTTCTAGCATCTTCGCTTGGAGCTGCTATTACCATGCCTATTTGCGGCTTCTTAATAGCTTCTCTTGGATGGGAATCTGTTTTTTATGTTACCGGAGGATTGAGTTTTGTCTGGAGTATTGTCTGGTTGGTAGTTATCTTTGATTCGCCAGCACAACATCCAAGAATTACCGATAATGAGAGGAGGTATATTGAAGAAGCTATTGGAAACACTTCTTCAAAAAAGGTAATACTAGTTATGTCGCTTTACTCAGAATACTTTATTTATAGAAAATCTAAGATTTTGATAAAGTTTATTTTTTTGAAACTATCAAACAACAACTTTTCTCTGCTTTTTAAACTTTCAATAAAGTCTTTGAGAATCTTTCGAGTAAAAATAACTCATAAAAATTTCATATGATCATTAGTTAGTAATCTACTCTCTATAAATGAAAAACTCAGTGAATAATCACTTTTTGTATTGATTATCATTATTTAATAGTCAGAAAACTTTCAATGGTCCAATAAAATGGAAAATTACAATTTTTTTTCATTCACGTAATTGTTTCATTTTTATGTCATGTATAATAAAATAGTGTTAAATCTAGAATGAATCTCTTTTGTATATTAAACAAGTCTTTTCATTTTTTATTTATGCAGGGTTGAAAAAATACACTTGATCTTTTATTTATATCAAAATGTAGTACACGTTTGGACATATATAGTAATTGGTTGTTTCATTCAGGTGCATGCTGTCCCATGGAAATCCATTTTTACATCAATGCCAGTATGGTCTATAGTTATAATTCATTGTTGCAATGTCTTTGGATTTTTTACTGTGATAAATCAGTTACCGACTTACATGAAATATATTCTAGATTTCAATATTAAAGAGGTAATATTTACATTAACGAAATAGCAAACAAATAAATAATGTATTTATTCATAAATTATTCAGATATGACTAATTGTTCGTTCTCTTTTTTTAGAATGGTTTATTATCATCTCTTCCATATATTGGAAAATATCTTTTTGCTCTTTTATCAGCTTATCTTGGCGATTATCTTCGTCGAACAAATAAACTCTCAGTCACTGCTATTCGTAAACTATTTTCTGGAATATGTAAGCATCAATTTTTCACTACTATTAATGTTTAAAAGAAAAAAAGACAAATTCATAAGATCTAATGTTTTATAGGTGTTCTAACTCCTGGATTTTGTATGATTCTTCTGTCTCAATTTGGTTGTGACAGAGTTGTAGCTGTTGCTATTTTCACAGTAGCATTAACAATAAATGGTGCTGTAACAGCTGGATTTCTTGGCAATGGTTTAGATATTGCTCCAAACTTTTCCGGAACTATCTTTGGTTTAGCAAATACACTTAGCTCTTTTGGTGGTTACCTCAGTACTGTGATGGTTGGTTCATTGACATTAGGTAATCAAACTTACCACCAGTGGAGTATTATTTTCTGGATCCTTGCGGGTATTTACATTTTTGGAGCCTGTGTATATCTTATTTTTGGCACTGGAGAGTTGCAAAAGTGGAATAATCCTGATGGGGAACATTCAAGAAAGAAAATTGAGCTTTCTGATATTAAAAATGAAGAAGAAGCAACATCTTTAAATGAAAAATTATGAATGAATGACAAAAAATATGAATTCAATGGATCAAAATGATTTGAAGAATAATTAAAAGCTACATCATAATGCTGAAAAATGTAATAAAAAAACGGTAAAATTTGAAACAGATTTTGTAAATATTTAACTATTAATTGACAAACGATTTTCAGTAAACATAAAATTACGAAAGAATCTCTATTTTTATAATTGTTAAAAAAATCTAATTCATTCAAGTATCAGATGGATTGAAATATAAAAAATATTTTGTAACTTTTTGAGATTTAAACCAGAAGGATTCACAACCTGAGGAATGTTTTGTAGGATAACAGTATAATAAAATGAAAAGACTGATAATAGAAATTATATTTACTCTAATTTTATTTCCTCAATCTGTATGATTCTTATATTCATGAAAGTTTAACTTAGTGAGTTTGAATGAAACTGAATTAGCATAACTGGTCGCTGATTCGCCAGTAGAACGCAGGCTATAGCCTTCACAAAAGTTTACTTCAGTCAGGTAATTGTTATCTGAGTCATTTATGTTTAAAATGTGAGTATTGTAACTGAAAAAAATTATTGATGAAAAACTTTTCAAAAATTTATAAATCTAATTATTTATTATCAACTAAAAAATTCAATAACATACAATGGCATCTTTTTGTCGTATATTAGGTGAGATATTTCTATTCCATCAATTGTAATTTACAGCTTTAATAATGAAATATTTATTTAATACATTTGATAAATATTTCTAATATTATTATTGATAATCAATTATCACATGCACTATGTCTCAAGCGAAATAATTTGTAACTTAAGAATTTTCTATTGTTGTTCATGATTGTTGTAGATTTTCATTTATTGTTATTAAATTAAATGCCATAGAAGTGAACAAAAAAAATTATTCCATTATACAATAATATTTGTTGGTTTTTTGTATAAATTGTTAGTAAACGACAGAATGTTGAACATTTTTTGCATAAATAGCAAAAATTAACATGGCTTTTATTTCCTCTTAATTATGTGCTATTTTAAAAAATGTAGGTAACAAGGTGATCAATAGTCGCATTAAGTTTTTCGATAACGATAACCAGGTATAAATAAACATCATAAGCATTATCACTATTTTCACCTTCAAAACGTGTGCTACTTAATTATTTACAGTATGGTCGAATATCATAATTATAAAATGTCTTAAAAAAGTTCAATATTTAATAATCTGAGATGTTGAATAAAAAATGATAAATATGAATAGCAATAATTTTATTACAGAAAACATATCATGCCGACAAATATTAAACATCATGGTTCCCTTAGGATTCATGGTTGAAAATATATTAAAAGTTAATTTATCAATGGCTATAGTTGTAATGGTTATTCCACGCAATTTATCTCTGAATTCATCATTATCTCACCCAGATCATTGGAAACCTCCAACTTTTGTAAATACTTCACAATCAAATATTTTCCGATTTAATATAGATGTTTATAATTCTCAATTTACAAATTCAAATGTAAGAATTGTTAAACATAAATGTTATTTTGTATTTACTAAGTAAAGAAAAATTGAAGCAACCGATTAATTTTATAGTTAACAACAGATCAATCATTATTACAAAATAAATATAATTGGAATGAGTATGAAGTAAACTTTGTTCTTGGAGCTTTTTTTTGGGGATATATTTGTACAGAGATGTTGGGAGGCCGATTGACTGAAATCATTGGAGCAAAAAGAGTCTTTGGATATTCGATACTTATTGCTAGCATTATTACATTCTTTACGCCTCTTGCAGCAACATTTGGATACAAAGCTATAGCTGGTTTGAGAGTTATTTTGGGTGTTATTTTGGTAAATCAACAATTACAAATTATGTAAATGAGAATAGATAAAAATAAACATTTTTCAGGGTCCTATATGGCCATCTATTCTTCCTTTGGCTGCACATTGGATTCCACCAACAGAACGAAGTAGGTTTATGTCTCATTTGATAGGTAAGTTGCCAATACAATCAAGAATGATTACTGCTAATATTTGAAATTTAAATTATATTCAAATTCATTTCTCAGCGTATACTCTAGGAACTGCAGCCGTAATGCCAGTTTGCGGATTTATAATAGGTATTGCTGGTTGGGAATCAGTCTTTTATTTTACTGGAATAATCAGTTGTATTTGGAGTATTATTTGGTTTATAGTTATTTACGATTCACCAGCACAACATCCTAGAATATCGATTGAAGAGAGAAGAAAAATTGAAGAAGCTATTGGATCAGTTCTTTCCAAAAAAGTAATATATTTTTTAATAAAGAATAGTATATTTTAATTCAATAAATAGATCTTTTTTATTATCATTTTTGAAGATATATGCTGTTCCATGGAAATCAATTCTCTCATCAGCTCCAGTTTGGTCAATAATTATTGCCAATTTTGGCAGTATCTTTGGGTTCTGTACAATCACAATACAGTTACCGATATACTTAAAGCATATTTTGAAGTATGAAATTGAAGAAGTAATTATATGCTGAAGAAAAAAATATGATTGAACTTAATATTTATTTTAATATATTGATCAATAATATTGATAAAGATTATAATTAATGTTCATATTTTAGAATGGTGTTTTGTCAGCTCTGCCTTATGTAGGTAAATACATAATGGGCTTCATAACTGCTACAATTGCTGATTCTCTTCATCGTGAAAATAAACTTTCGGTTACTGCAATTCGAAAAATATTTAATAGCATAGGTAAAAAAAAGTTTAAAAATATGTTTTTGAAATAAATCATTTTTAATAAAAACTTTTCCAGGTCTTTTTATGCCAGGATTAGGTTTTATTTTCTTAACTCAGTTTGGTTATGACCGAGTTATATTCATTACTATGATATTCTTAGTAATGACAACTAATGGAGCGATATCAGCTGGATATATTGGAAATACTCTAGATTTTGCTCCAAATTTTTCTGGTACCATCACTGGTATCGCTTATACATTTAGCTCTCTTGGCTGTTACTTCAGCAGCTTGATGATTGGTTCTCTGACCAATAATAATCAAACCTTCAGTCAATGGAGCATCGTATTTTGGATAGTCAGTGGATTTTACATGTTTGGAGGTTTCATATTTCTCATTTTTAGTACTGGTGATTTACAAAAGTGGAATATTCCTGATAATAAAGATGTACAAATTGATACTGAACTTGATGAAAAAGAAGATGATGAAAGAACTGTATGTCTTTAATCATAATGATATTAAAAGGTGCATCTATAAATAAAATAATTTTGGACACACATGTGTTTTATATCTTTACATAATTTTTTCAATCTATATATATATATATATATTTCACTTTGTGACTTTTTAATTTTCGTCTCAATTATTCGACGTATGCCATGTTATTTATTTTAATTTGTACTATATTATTTCTTTTATACGTATGTAAATAAATTTAAATCATAACAAACGATAAAATGAAAATGATTCATATTTTTCAATGATATTTTCTATAAAATAATGATTAACTTTTAAAATTATATACCAGAACCGACTCATAAAAAGAGCCTGATCTTTTAAACTTTTTATATTTTTTTATCCGAAAATTATGCAATTATCAGAATTTTTCGATTAACCATAATGGTGTAAATTCAATTTGAAATTAGATAGTTGATTGAATGATTGTGATGCTATCTCTGCTAAAATACTTGCTGAGTGAGATCTGGCAGTTGGTGTGGAGCGCTTGAACTTGAACGAATGTTTCTATATTTATAAACATTAACCTTATGAAGTAGAGAAGTATGAGTGAAGAAAAAATTTAGTTTTCAAACTGTAATGATTTTTGTTACGTTACAATAATAAAATTTATCAAATTTTGATAGACTTATAATAATATAAAATAAGTAAAAAAAAGTCTGAATCTAGTTTGGACCTTACCTCTGTGTTAATCTATTCTATTGAATAAAATCTTTATTCAATTATCTTTATAAATGGCATTTTTCCATCGAATTTCAGGTAATTTTATTATTTGATATATTTACAGAAAAAAATCTGTTGCTTTTATCAATACCAAATTTTTAAAATAATTTTTCAATTTTTATGATATATTAAAAACTTTACTAAGGTTATTCTAATATTATACAAGTACATGAAAATTGTTATTTACGTATAGACACTTCTCGTAACGATATTAAATTCATTTTCAAGTCAGTAGGGCAGTGATCTTGATTAAATGTGTCAATTACTTTGAATTTAAAAACAACAACCCTGTTTGTATATATGAGAAAGTTGAATACAAAATCATTATGACATAAAGTCATAAAGTAATATTAGTTGAATAAATTATTTACAGATCAGATATCATGCCGCCTTGTTTTAAATATAATGGTGGTTTTGGGATTTATGTTGAACTACATGTTAAGAGTAAACTTAACTATTGCAATAGTTTCAATGGTCATCCCACGTAATTCTTCATCATCTAATTTATCTTATACAAGCCACGAGTGTTCTGAGCCTTCAACTTTTGTAAATACTACACAAATAAGAGATGACCAATTTACTGCAAATTCTATCAAGAGCCACTTAAATCATTCAAAGGTCAGAATAAAATTAATTTAATCAATCATTTATTTGCTTATTTATCTATTTAATCATAGATATATTAACAAAGTAATTTGCACAGTTATCAGAGGAATGTTCACAAACAAGATATAACTGGGATGAATATGAAGTCAATTATGTTCTTGGAGCTTTTTTCTGGGGATACATTTGCACTGAAATACCAGGAGGTCGGTTAGCTGAAGTAATTGGTTCAAAGAAAGTGTTTGGATACTCTACAATTATATCAAGTGTTATTACTCTCTTGACCCCTGTGGCAGCTTCTTTTGGATATCAAGTAGTAGCTATACTTCGAGTAATTTTAGGTTTTATGTTGGTAAGTTCAGAAAATACTACTAACTATTTATGTAAATATATAAAGTCATGTTTGATAAAATAATAATTATATACTATATCTCAGGGTGCGACATTTCCAGCACTTTATCCATTAGCATCTGTCTGGATTCCACCTACAGATCGTAGCAAATTTATATCTCATACGATGGGTTTGTTAAAAAACTATCTATCATTATTAAACGTTAAAACTCTCATTACATATTTATGCCCGAGCATCCTTAAAATTACTTTGAATTGTCTCGTAGTGTATTAAAAAGTTATCTCTGTACATCTAGCTTCTGCTTTGGGAGCTGCTGTTATGATGCAAATTGGAGGTTTGCTCATTGCAACGTTTGGCTGGGAATCAGTTTTTTATTTTACCGGAGGACTTGGAACTATTTGGAGCATTATCTGGTTTTTAGTGGTTTATGATTCTCCAGCTGAACATCCTAGGATATCAGCTGAAGAAAGGAGGTATATTGAAGAAGCCATTGGATTCACTGCATCAAAAAAAGTATCATTATAACTATTTTTTAAATATTAACATATTTAAAACTAAATAATCATGTCATTACCTCGACTAGGTTGTCTATGCTGTTCCCTGGAAATCTATGCTAACATCAATGCCTGTTTGGGCAATAATAATTACAGGAGCTTGTAATGCATTTGGATTTTTCACCATTTTTACTCAATTACCGACCTATATGAAATTTATTTTAAACTATAAAATTGAAGAAGTGAGTGAAAATAAATTTCTCTTTTGTGGTTTGAATGAAAAGTAGTTCAAACCATCTTATTCATTAAATTTTTTTAGAATGGTCTCTTATCTTCATTGCCATACATTGGTAAATACTTTTTTGGTGTTTTGGCAGCTGCTATTGCTGATTATCTGCATCGTGAAAATAAACTTTCTGTTACTGCAATTCGTAAAATATTCAATAGTTTATGCAAGTATTTTTTGTATTAAAAATAAGTGCTAATGTTGAATACTTTTCTAAAAAGATTTCATTAGCAGAAAAAATATTCAGTTTTATAATTAATACCATAATCATAGCAATAAGTTACCTACAAGCTGCTAAACAATCAAACTAAGTGATACCTTCTATTCTTTCAGGTGGCTTAGCACCAGGAGCATGTATGATTCTTTTGACCCAATTTGGTTATGACCCTACCGCATCAGTTGTTATTTTTACAATAGCATTAACACTTAATGGTGCAGTCACAGCTGGATACCTTGGCAATGGTCTAGATATTGCACCTAATTTTTCAGGAACGATTTTTGGTCTGGCTAATACTCTCAGTTCAATTGCTGGATATTTAAGTAGTCTCATGGTAGGTTCACTAACGTATAATAACCAAACATATGGACAATGGCAAGTCATCTTTTGGATTCTGGCTACAATTTATATTATTGGGGCCAGCATGTATATTGTTTTTGGCACTGGAGAATTGCAAAAATGGAATACTCCTAATGAAATAGTTTCAATGAAAAAAATAGAGCAAACTGATATAGAATATGAAGAAGAAGCTAAAGTTTTAAATTAAAAGTGATTGGTCTAATACGTCTTCTCTGTCATGTGTGATTTGATATTATGATTTATTTTTGAAAAAGAAATAAAATATCATTTTGAACATTGTTTTATACGTATGTTGATTCTATTTCGATTCGCTATTCAGAAGTTACTCACATTTATTATCAGATATATGACCGAACGATTAAGTTATCTTCATTATTTACGTATTCTCTATGTATCAACTTAGTTGTTCTGTAGAAACTGAGCTCTCATGAACGTTGGTGTCTTCTTTGAATTTGAAATGCTTAAATATTAATAAATGTTAATTTTTTTTACCCCTAATATCAACAATAGAATTAAAAAATTTATATCTTATAAACTTTTATTAATTAATGAAAATAAAATTATCACATTAAATGAAGTGTGACAATCGAAATATTTTTTTTTGAGACTAAATAATAGTGCATGTTAATAATTTAATATTCATCCATTATTGAGAATTTTTTATTAGTTTATAGTTTACAAAAATTTGTAGAATAAAAATGGCATCATTTCGTCAACTTCAAGGTAAGAATACTTATTCTAAGATCTGTAATAATCAATTTATAAAACAAATAGATTCAAAAAAATTATATTAGTAAGATGAGAAATAATATTTAAAAAAAATATTCCATAAAATTTAATTCACGCTTCATAAGTAATCATTAGTATTTTTTTTATCATTGATAACGATGCAAAATAGATAACAATATAAATTAAGAAATAATTTAAAAAACGTAAATTATTGTTAATGATAACAAATAAATAAACTGAATTATTTGCAGAACGATTAACATGCCGTCAAGTTTTAACTATTATGGTGATTTTTGGATTTATGTTAAATTATATGTTAAGAGTTAATTTAACAATTGCTATTGTAGCAATGGTCATTCCACGCAATTCCTTATCTCAAAATATGTCTAATGTGAGTCAGGAATGCTTTGAGCCATCTTCTATGATTAATTATACAAATTCGAATTCTACTTCCAATGATAGTAATTACATCTCAACTTTAGATGTAAGGATAAATAATCATTATTTTATCAATAAAATAAGAGTTATAAAGTTATTTATACATCCAGTTACCTGATGAACTTCCTCAAACGAGATATGATTGGAATGAATATGAAGTTAATTTTATCCTCGGAGCTTTTTTCTGGGGGTATCTTTGTACAGAGTTACCTGGAGGTCGATTAGCAGAAGTGATTGGAGCTAAGAGGGTATTAGGATACTCGATGCTTTGCTCCAGTATCATTACTCTTCTAACACCTATTGCAGCTTCTCTTGGATATCAGTTTATAGCTTTACTTCGAATAACCCTGGGATTAATGTTGGTAAATACACGATTGGTTATTAAAATTGAAATGAAACCATCTAAACACTGTTATATTAATATTATTGTACATTAAGGGTGCCACATGGCCTGCGTTGTACCCTCTGGCATCTCTCTGGGTTCCACCTACAGATCGCAGCAAATTTATCTCTAATACGATGGGTATGTTTGAATTAAAACAATGTTTACCATACCATAGTAGGTTGAATATGATATATTTGAAGTTCATCAGCGTTATCCCAAATTAAAAGATTAAAATATCTTTTTATTCAGCATCTTCACTTGGTGCGGCAGTCATGATGCAAATTGGAGGCTTTTTGATAGCTTCATATGGTTGGGAATCAGTCTTTTACTTTACTGGAATAATCAGCTGTTTCTGGTGTGTTGTTTGGTTCATAGTTATTTATGACTCCCCATCTCAACACCCAAGAATATCATCTGAAGAAAGGAGATACATTGAAGAGTCTTTAGGAAATACTTCTACAAAGAAGGTGAAATTTTTTTTAATTCAGCTTTATTAAAAAATAATATATTATGATTATTTATTATTGATTTTTCCTTTACTATTTCCTTCTCAGTTTTAAATGTTTTATTATTATTTGATTTATAGGTTGGTGTTAATCATAACAAGTTGATTTTTTTAGGCCCTTCCAGTTCCTTGGAAATCTATTCTCACTTCAATACCTGTTTGGGCTATCATCATTACTGGTGGTTGTAATGCTTTTGGATTTTTCTGCGTTGTCAATCAACTGCCAACGTATATGAAATATATTTTGAATTATAAAATTGAAGAAAATGGTCTTCTATCTTCTTTGCCATACATTGGAAAATACATTCTTAGCCTATTTGCAGCTTCATTTGCTGATTATCTTCACCGTACGAACAAACTGTCCGTTACAGCAATACGAAAAATATTTAATACTATAGGTAAGAAGCTAATTTATTAATTGACTGTATCGATTCAATTATATTTATCATGTTTGTTTTTTTAGCTGATTTGGCACCAGGAATAGGAATGATTTGTCTTTCTCTATTTGGCTGTGATCGGGCTATATCAGTTACCATTTTTACAATAGCATTGACACTTAATGGAACCATTACAGCTGGCTACCTTGGAAACAGTTTAGATATTGCTCCTAATTTTTCAGGAACAATCTATGGCATCGCAAATACTCTTAATTCCATAGCTGGATATCTTGGGAGTTTTATGGTTGGTTCATTGACTTATAATAATCAAACATTTAGACAGTGGAGAATTATTTTCTGGATTCTTGCTGGCATGTACATTACTGGAGCATTATCATTTCTTATTGGTGGTACTGGGAAGTTACAGGAGTGGAATAATCCGAGTGATGAAAAATCTAAGAACAAAATAGAATTGACTGATATTCAAAAACAAGAAGAAGAGTCAATTTCGTTTTTAGATGGTAAAAATGATGATGTTAAATAGTTATAAAATATTTAGATAGAGTTGAACTAGATCTATGATTTCCATAAATAATTTTTTTCGAAATAAACAAAGTCTCTTGAAAATTTAAAAAATACAATCATCTCAGATTACCCATAGCAAAATTGGAAATATAATTTGACATGCTTTGAATAACTTTCTAAGTGAGTGATAAAGTAGTGAAACAGTAACTTGTCAAATCTGGCAGATAATAAATTGAATTTGAAAATAAGAGAAAACAGATATATGAAACAACTTTCATTTTGGATTTCCAAAATAAAAGCAAGCAGTAGAAAGCAGGAATCCGAGAATCAGTTTTCAATTTTGAAATTTATGCGGTATATGTAGGTAACCGCTATTTCGATAATAAAATAGCCAGTTTGGTAATCGGTAAAGTAGTCACGATCAGGAAGTGTTGGTAATTTTTTATCACTGCCCTCTGTTTTATTTAACAAAGATGTAGTAAATTTATTTATTTATTTATTTACAATAATCATTATTTACTTTTCAATACGATAAAAAGTCATACTTTTATGAAATCCAGGAAATTTCTATACCAGCATTATGTGAAATAGAACTTTATAATCTACTAACTTTATCAAAATTTACCAGAGAGAAATTCAGGATAATTTAAATTCAGAACACTTTTTGAAATATCCTCATCATCTTCCTTTGTTCTTCACTAATGAAAATAAGAATTAATGAAAAAAATGTTCTTATTCGAAAGTTCGATTTTTATCAAGTTTATCTACACTATTATCCATAACAGTTTTAATGAAGAAATGAGCGTTTAACATAAAATATTACACATAAATAAAAAAAAAAATTAACCTTTTGTTTCGTCATAAAACACTATATTTCTGTTTAGAATAGAGAAATAGTATATTTTTATTTAGTAAGATCAAGAACAGTTTGATAAATAGAAATTTTTCTTTGTCTACTAAACTAACAACAAGTCGAGATTTCCCCTCTCAAGTAAGTAAGAGAAATAAGTTTTATTTACTTGAATAATAGATTACTATTTCAATTTTCATATGTTTTAATATGTCACTTGCAATATTTCAAAGCTTATCAAATGTTAAATAAATTCATTTTTTGTTTTTCTAATAGAATTAATTTTAATTCCACTTGATTGAGTTAAATCTACTTGGACTGTTACGTAGTAAATCCAAAACATAAGTTACTCGGAAAAATTATCTTTGAATAAGTTAAAAAGGGTTACAATAACGTTAACTAATGAAGCTAATAATCAATATCAACGTCATCGAAAAATATCAGTCATACAATAATTATAAGAAACCACATGAGTCGATATAATATTTGGTAACCCTGATAAATAAAATTTTTTTCCATAGAATATAATAGTAATAATAAAAAGTTCCAAATACACGTATCTTATCTGTATAATTAATTTAATATAATTTATACACTTTCTTGTAATTTTTGGAATAGTAGAACCAACATAAAAGTTGGTGAATGCCATCAAAGATAAGAAGAAGTTTAGTTATATAAATATGAATAATTGAAAATAAAATATAGTTGAGTTTTCTATCTTCTCAAGACTTATTACAACTTCATGTACATTTGATATTTTTGAAATTGATATCTATTGTATAACTTTTTGATTAGACTGCTTTTATTTAATCCCGTACTTGTCAACTGTCAGTTTGTAGTTTCTTAGTGGAGCTCGAACTTGAATAAATGTTTAAATATTCTTTCAAACGTCACATTATGCTATTGTGACAAAAAATTATTGTTTTACATAAGAACTTCTTAGTCAATTAAGTATAAATTCGATAAGAAATTTTCTAATATTTATATTAATTTGGTAATGAGATTGATTAAAAAATAATTAAGTATTTAAGTGGTTAATTAACAGCAGTCAAAATTGTAAGAGTGATAAAAAATATAAATGTAAGATAAATTTATTTATCTTTTACCTACTTTTCACGATCACAAATTATCAACGATAACTCTATTAATTTAGTTCATTAGTATCAATGGCATCTTTCTGTCAAGTTTCAGGTAAGAAAATTATATCTTTGTACCTACGATTGTAAATAATGTTATACAACTCTTACTACAAACTGTTTTGTCAAGATTTCATACTTAAACATTAGTAAAAAATCATTTAATTTTTTTTTTTTTGTATAAAGTTTAACACCATTATTGACTACATTTATTCTATTTGATATAATATGTAATAAATAACGTTTTTTAAAATTCTTTTATTGAAAATTACTTAATATCTTTCTTTAATTTTTATAAAAGAATAAAAAACCGATATTATATGATGACTCAGTTTTTTCTCATAAGAAACCATGTGTTAAATCAACTTAGACTAAGTTTTCAAGTCGAATAAAAAAATTATTGAAAGCATTAATAAACTACTGTTAAGCATTAATAAGGTTCATTCAAGAATAATTTATTATATTAATAGTGAAATAATATTGTAAGTAAAAATACCGAAAATATTTAATTAATAATATTTATTTTTAATGAATACAAACTGAATGAATTGTTTACAGATCTATTAACATGTCGTCACGTTTTAAACATAATGGTTATCTCAGGATTTATGCTAAACTACATGATGAGAGTGAATTTAATCATTTCTATAGTGTCAATGGTCGTTCCTAGTAATTCATCATCTAACTCATCCTATATAAGCCACGAGTGTTCTGATCCTTCACAAACTATCAATACCGGTCACATTGATATTTATCAATTGTCTTCAAATAACACTGACAATATTTTTAATAGTTCAAAAGTAATAATGAAAAATAAATAATTACTAAAATCTATTGAATCGTTTTTCAAGAAATTAGATTAATAAAATAATTGATGTAGGTACAAGTAGAACGTCCTCAAACAAGGTATGAATGGGATGAATACGAAGTCAATTTTGTTCTTGGTACTTTCTTCTGGGGCTACTTGTGTACAGAAGTACCAGGTGGCCGATTAGCTGAAGTAATTGGAGCAAAAAAAGTACTTGGAATTGCTATGTTTACCACCAGTATAATTTCACTGCTCACACCTTTCGCAGCTTCTCTTGGATACCAAGTTGTAGCTGCACTTCGAGTAGTAGTTGGTTTTATGTTGGTAAGTAAATAATTGTGAAAATAGAAATCTTAAAAACAATTTCTTATTATAAATAATATCTTCAGGGTGCATCTTGGCCTGCTCTTTTCCCTTTAGCAGCTCAATGGATTCCTCCCACAGAGCGTAGCAAGTTTATGTCTCATACGATGGGTATGTATAACTATAAACAAATCATGAATCACAAATTGATTCATTTTATTTTTTCTCAGCTTCTACGTTGGGTGCTGCTGTCATGATGCAAATTGGTGGTTTTTTAATAGCTAATTTGGGATGGGAGTCTGTCTTTTATTTTACTGGAGGAATAAGTTGTGTCTGGAGCATTATATGGTTTTCAGTTGTATATGACTCACCAGCTCAACATCCAAGAATATCAATAGAAGAGAGGAGATACATTGAAGAAGCTATTGGAAATGCTTCTTCTCATAATAAAAAAAAGGTAATCGCATTTTTCTGATCATTTAAGTGATTAAAATGAATGCTAACCACGAAAATAAATGAAAAATTTTTTCAGATTCATGCTGTTCCTTGGAAATCTATTTTCACGTCAAAACCCGTCTGGGCAATAATTTTATATGGAACTGCAAATGCATTTTCGTTCTTCACTATATTAACCCAGCTCCCGACATATATGAAGTATATTTTGGACTATAGAATTCAGGAGGTACTAACTGAACAAAAAGAGCTAAACTTATTGCAAAATTTTTTTAATCTAACTTCTATCACCAATTTTTTTTTTCATTCTTAGAACGGCATTTTGTCTTCTTTACCTTACATTGGACAATATTTTGTTGGCTTATCTTCAGCAATAATTGCTGATCATCTTTATCATCACAATAAACTTTCAGTCACTGCAATTCGTAAAATATTTAATGCAATTGGTAAGAATTTAAGTCTTTTACATCGAAATTGAAGCGAAAAGGTTTTAAAAATGTCTTAAATTTCAGGAGGCCTAGCACCAGGCATCTGTATGATATCCTTAGCTTTATTTGGTTGCAATAGAAATATAGCCGTCACAGCTTTCACTTTAGCGTTAACATGTAATGGAGCCATTGGAGGTGGTTTCTTTGGAAACGCTCTAGATATTGCTCCAAACTTTTCCGGAACCATTTTCGGTATTGCAAATACTCTTAGCTCTCTTGGTGGTTATCTTAGCAGTGTTATGGTTGGTTGTTTGACTTATAACAATCAAACATATAAACAATGGCAAATTGTATTTTGGGTTCTTGCTGGGATGTACATATTTCAATCTGTAATTTTCCTTCTGCTTGGATCTGGAGTATTACAACCATGGAATAATCCTGATAATAACTATCTTAAAAGAAAAATAGAACCCAATGATATGAAGGATGAAGAAGAAGGTATATCTTTGAAGTATAAAACTTAAATATAGCACTAGCGCGTACATAGAAAATATTTAAATGATTCTTCTTATATCAAATAAGTATTAGATAGTTTTTAACGTAGTGGCTAAGAAAATGAACTTTTTTATTATATAATTCTACAAATTATCCTTTGATTTAACGAATTATTTATTTTAATACATGTTTAGTTTCTTAAGAAAATTATTTTTTCGATAAAATGCAGTTGAAAAAAAAATCAACTGTGGCAAAAGCTCTTCCTCCTGTTTCATTGAATGACAAAAAGAAATAAAAACACAATAAATTTGTAGTAAAGTGAATGAACTATGTAGTTTTTGACTGATTTGATTTTATTAATGTATGTACAGTGAAGCTTTTCGTTTTTATTAGACCTTTCATATTCAATCTTGCACACATTTATTCCATTTGAATTTCATATCTCTTATTCAAATAAATCATTTATTTGATCTTTTAATCATATGCATGTCAAATGTCATCTCAAAAGTATCTCAGTAAGCTTAAATAAATATTAACATCTTTTCTTGAGTGCAAAATTGTACAGTTATAGTTAATGAGCCAGGTGTGAATGAAAGATCAATTCTTCCATAAATAGGAATTCTTGATAATTCAAATATTTTATATTTAAGTGTTAATATTTTGGGTTCCTTTAATTTTATGATCACTAAATGGCATCTTGTCATAAAATATCAGGTAATAAATTTTTTTTATTTGTTATCATCAAAGTTATCGAATAAAATATTAAATTTATTTATCTAATATTTATAATCAGTTATTTTTTTATCAAAAACGCATCAATTATTCACAGATCTATTAACATGTCGTCATGTATTGAACATCATGATCATCCTGGGATTTATATGTAATTATATTTTAAGAGTAAATTTAACAATCGCTATAGTTGCAATGGTTGTTCCACGAAATTCTACATCTACTAACTTAACTTATGTTAGTGATGAATATTCTGAAACATTATCTGCTATTAATTCTACAGCTACAAATACCTCACAATCAAGTCTAATTATTGAATTCAATTATAATGATAATGATAGTTATTCCTCTGACCTAAAAGTAAGAAAAAATGTTGTAATAAATAATATGAAAATTTGTAATGGTGAAAAGTAATTAGTTAAACAATTTATGCAGTTAGAACACAAACGTTTACAAACGAGATACAACTGGGATGAATATGAAGTTAATTTAATTCTCGGTGCTTTCTTCTGGGGATACATATGCACAGAGTTACCAGGTGGTCGTTTGGCTGAAATAGTTGGAGCTAAGAGAGTATTTGGATACTCTATGCTTTCATCTAGTATTATTACACTTCTCACACCTTTAGCAGCTTCCTTTGGATATGCAGCTATGGCTGCTCTTCGAATAGCTTTAGGATTAATGCTAGTGAGATGTTCGATTACTAATTAATGTCATCAATAATTTAATATAAATGAAACTAAATTATGTTATAAGGGTGCAACATGGCCAGCATTATATCCTTTGATATCGCTCTGGATTCCACCTACAGAACGTAGTAAATTCGTAGCTAATACGTTGGGTAAGTCAAATAGAGTTTACTATTTTATATTCAAATAAATTACAATCTTTTTTCAACTCGAACTAGTAACTTTATTTTTTGTTTTGTTAGCCATCAATTTATAATTATCAGTTTCACAAATATTTTTGAAAGATATCATACGTAACAGTTTGTTTTTTCTAGCGGCTACACTTGGTGCTGCGTTTATAATGCAGGTTGGAGGGTATCTCATAGAGTTTCTAGGCTGGGAATCAGTTTTTTATTTTACTGGAGGTATCAGTTGTGCCTGGAGTATTATCTGGTTTATGGTTGTGTATGATTCTCCAGCCCAACATCCAAGAATATCAGTTGAAGAAAGAAAAAAGATTGAAGATGCTATTGGACCAACTTCATTAACCAAGGTGAAATAATTTTATAACAATGTGTACATCAGATATTTAGCAATAATTGATCATTAACTTTACTAATTTTCTAGACATTTAAAGTTCCATGGAAATCTATTTTGACATCAAAACCAGTATGGGCGATAATTATTTATGGTGCTTGCACTGATTTTGGATTTTTTACGATTTTAACTCAGTTACCAACATATATGAAATACATTTTAAACTATGAAATCAAAGAAGTAACTCTTTACTAAGATATTGAAAACAAAAAAAAAATTGAAATATTAATTTATCGGAATGCTGTTATTCGTTTCAGAATGGTCTTCTTTGCTCCTTACTTTTTATAGGACAATATTTTTTCGGTCTTCTGTCAGCTATAATTGCTGATTATTTGCACCGAAAACGAATATGCTCAGTAACAACTATTCGCAAAGTATTCAATACTATAGGTAAATGAAGTAAAATTAAATTATTATTGCATTAAAAAAAATAGCTGATTAATTAATGAACTTATTTTTTTAGCCAGTATTATACCAGGATTGTGTATGATTATTCTTGCGAAATTTGGTTGTGATCGAGTTATTGCTGTTACTGTTTTTACCATAGCATCAACAACGAATGGAGCAGTAACAGCTGGATTTCTGGGAAATAGCTTAGACATTGCTCCGAACTTTTCTGGAACTATTTATGGTTTAGTGAATACTGCTTGCTCTCTCGCTGGTTATCTCAGTAGTCTTATGGTGGGTTCATTAACTTTAAACAATCAAACTTATGGCCAATGGCAAATTATTTTTTGGATTCTTGCTGGTCTTTATGTATTTGAAGCTGTTGTATTCCTTATTCTTGGATCCGGGGAAGTACAAGAATGGAATTACTGCAATGATAATCTTTCAAAGAAAAAAATAAAACTTAATAAAATAAACAATCAAGAAGAAGCTGTACCATTAAAAAATGATATATGAATTTGAATAACCTAGATTTTATGGAACTTTTATAAATGTTTAATACTAAATTTTATTTAAAATATGTTAATAATTTTTTTTTTCTATTCTGTAGAATGATGAAAATAAAAAATAAATTATTAATAATGATAACATTCAATATAATTTTATTGTCTTCATAGTACATTTTATGCAAAGAAATTTACATAGATATCGATAAATGATTCAATTAAATAACACAATAAAAAAAGATCTATGCCAAAATGAATCATTTTTGAAATGACAAACTATTTTTATTCGGAAATTTTCATCTTTAAGTATCAATAAATAATAAATAAATGACTCATTCTTTTCAATGGTTTTTTACACACCGATACGAATGAGAATGAATAATAAAATCTATGAAAATTAAAAAAAAAAAATGATATTTTAAAAAAAATGAATATCTCTCAAAAGATACTTTTCTATTTATTATTATCATCGATTCGTGATAATTAATTATGTAGTATGTATTAAAATATTAGTAAAAGAACTGATAAATGGTAAAAAGATATTTGGCTTATCAACTAATACATTATCGTGATCTAATATTTTTAAAGATCGAACTAGAGCAGCTTATAAATGTGTTAAATTATACTAGTATTTATGGAATAAGATTTCACTTGATATTATAAATTCGAAATTAATTCGATTGCGTGTATAACAAGTCTATTTTCAATATTAACCATAGTGATTGTAATAATAATATCAATAATTAATAGTAATTCGTTATAGTAAGAATAATAATTTCTAACGCAAATAAACAGTAATTAATTGTTTATGCGTATACAAAGATATATAAATGAATTTTATTTACTAAACTAAGTACAGTAAGTTTTCTTAATTAATTCAAGCGTAACTGCTAATAAACTTATAATACGTGACGCTAAGTGTTTCATTTTTTAGTTTTTTTTATGTTAACATTGACAAAATTTTTATTTTGATGAATGTGATAAATTGTGAACGGAAATTGTACTGAATATATTGTTTTTCGTTGCAGAAAGGCCCTTTAGTTAATTGATGATTAAGTTTGCATTTTGAATTTTAATTGATAGTAAAGTCAAAGCCCTATAATGCCATACTGCAAGGGTTGATATGATCATCCGTTATTAATCCATATTAATGTTTTACTTATTAATTAATTCAATTATTATTTTTACTCATGTTGAAAATAATGTATTCTAAGGATATTATTTGCTTTAGATGCTTATTAAATTCAATAACTGAAGTCTAGTGACAGTATTAATCAATAATATAATCTGAAAGTTTTACTCAATTACACAGCCAAATATTGAAATATTCTCTGACCACTATCTAATTTATTCTTTAATTCTTATTTATTAAGCGATTTAACTCAACATTAAATACTAGACATTAAATATTTTCAAACAACGTTTTATGGGCTTGCAAATTTTCAATTCACTTTTAATTGTTAATTAATTTATTAATAAGTTGTTTTGATAAACAAATTGTAATATAAATTTGTTGCTCTATAAATCGAATAAATGATATCTTTTATAAATATAAAGTAATGTAAAATACCATTGACGACGGAAGATCATGTTCAAGCCAACACACTGACAATTACTCCTCCTGGACCGGGTAGCGATGTATAATTCGTTAAAGCTTGATCAATCTCACGAGCTGCTTGACGACCTTCAGTGATCGCCCAGACCACGAGTGATTGACCTCTTCTACAATCTAAAATAATTATAAACATAATTTTATTTAAATCTAAATAAATTTAGTTTTTTAAAAAAAAGAAAAGTATATAAGAAATATATCTCAGAAAATAATTAAGATAAAATTATCGTTTACCTCCAGCAGCATAAACGCCAGGCAAACTTGTGGCATATTTGCCAACAGGTGTTTCATAATTTCCGCGACCATCCAATTTAGCTTGCAATTCTTCAGCAATATATTTTTCTGGGCCTAAAAATCCCATAGCGAGTAATACCAGATTACACTTATAAATCTAGAAATTTTTAAAACAATTTAGTAAATAGTTATCAATCAATATCATAGTTATGTTATAAATTCCAAAAATAGATTTTACCTGCTCAGATCCTTCAACTTCAGTCATTTTCCAACGTCCAACGTCATCTTTAGTCCATTCTACCCTCACTGTTTTAATTCCTGATACATTACCATTACCATCATCCAAAAATTCTTTACTCAAAGTGCTAAATTGACGTGGATCCCGTCCAAATTTAAGTGAGACTTCTTCATGACCGTAATCAACCTTGAAAACTTTTGGGAATTGCGGCCAAGGATTGTCATTCGCTCGTCTTGTCGGTGGCTCAGGCAAAATTTCAAATGTCGTAATACTCTTGGCACCTTGTCTCAATGAAGTAGCGATACAGTCACACCCAGTGTCACCACCACCAATGATGATTACATCTTTATCCTTAGCGATCAATTTCATGTTTAATGGAGCATCATTACACATCTGTTTCTTCTGCCAGTGCTCTAAAAAGCTAACTGCAAAATGAATCCCTTCTAAATGACGTCCTGGGATTGGCAAATCTCTCGGCCACGTAGCTCCAGTACACAAGAGAACTGCATCATACTCTTCTTTCAATTGTTGTGCAGAAATATCTTTGCCAACATCAACCCCAGTCTTAAAAACAATACCCTCAGCAGCCAATAACGCTACTCTACGTTGAACAACTTTTTTAGATAGCTTCATTGTAGGAATTCCATACTGCAAAAGACCTCCAATTCGATCGTTTCGTTCCAATACAGTAACTAAATGCCCTGCTTTATTGAGCTGATGAGCAGCAGCCAGCCCAGCTGGCCCAGAACCTACAATAGCAATCCGTTTTCCAGATCTTACAGCCGGAGGATGTGCAGTAATCCATCCTTGTTCAAAAGCGTGATCAATTATAGCACATTCAATATTTTTGATTGTAACTGGAGGTTCTGAAATTCCAAGAACGCATGCACCTTCACACGGAGCTGGACAAACTCTTCCAGTAAATTCAGGAAAGTTATTAGTTTGGAGTAATTGTTTCAAAGCTTCTTGCCAATTTTGTTGAAATACTAAATCATTCCACTTAGGAATGATGTTACCCAAAGGACATCCATGGCTACTTTGACAGAATGGTACTCCACATTCCATACACCTTGCAGCTTGAACTCTCAATCCTTTTCTGACACCTTGGAAGTTATAGATTTCGTCCCAATCCTCAACACGTTTTTCAGCAGGTCTGTACACTGCAGTGTGCCGTTTGTATTTTATAAATCCCTTAATTTTATCAAGCTTTTTCTGAGCTATTTCTGCGTCTTCAACTGAATCTTCAATATCTTTAATTTGTGCCTGATTTTTGGAGTTTCCATTGGCAATTGGTACAGTAGCTTTTTCTTCAGCAAGTTGTTTTAATGCTCTTTGATATTCATAGGGGAATACTTTAACAAATCTTGTGGTAGGCTCTGGCCAAGTTAACAATAATTCTTTAGCGATAAGAGATCCAGTCTTGTCGATAAATTCTTCTAGAAGCTGTTTAACGTAAGCGATATCTTCTTTATCATTCAAAGGCAATAGTTCAACCATTTCAGGATTACATTTACTCTTAAAAGATCCATCGACATCAAGGACATAAGCAATACCTCCAGACATACCAGCTGCAAAGTTTCTTCCAGTAAGTCCAAGAATCACAGCACAACCTCCAGTCATGTATTCACAACCATGATCTCCAACACCTTCAACAACGACAACAGCTCCACTGTTTCGAACGCTGAATCTTTCAGCTGCGATACCTCTGAAATAGGCTTTTCCTGATGTTGCACCATATAAACATACATTACCAACAATTACATTAGCTTCTGATAAAAATTCTGATTCTTTCGGTGGGTAAATTACAATTTCACCACCACAAAGACCCTTTCCGACGTAATCATTAGCGTCTCCTTCAAGAGTAACATGGACACCTTTAGTTAAGAAGGCACAAAAACTTTGCCCAGCAGATCCTTTTAATTGAATATTTATACTGTGTTCTGGCAAACCTTCTTCTCCACAATGTTTTGAAATAAAGTAACTTAAGGTTGATCCAAATGCTCTAGTCTCATTATTTATTGTCATTTTAATATTGACTCTGTTTTGTTCTCCTTCGAGAATAAGTTTTGCTTGTTCTACTAGTTCATTGTCAGGACGATTTTCAAGTTGGAAATCTTGCTTCACTGTTCCTCCTCGAATGTTGACACCTGGACGGAGTTCAAGAGCATTACGGAGAATGTTTGACAAATCCAAAAGTTTGGCTTTTTCAATCTTGATATCGTCACGCACTTTAAGTAAATCTGTACGACCAATTAAATCTTGAAATTTACGAATGCCAAGACTCGCCATATGACCACGGATTTCTTCAGCCAAAGAAAAGAAGAAATTGATAACATGTTCAGGTTTACCCGCAAATTTGCTACGAAGGACTGGATCCTGAGTAGCAATACCCACTGGACATGTATTTAAATGACATTTTCTCATCATGGTACATCCCATTGCAATTAGAGGTGCTGTACTAAATCCGAATTCATCAGCACCAAGAAGAGCTGCAACAATAATATCAAATCCAGTTCTAAGCTGACCATCAGCTTGAACAATTAATCTTGACCGAAGATTATTCAAAGTCAAAATTTGATGAGTTTCAGCAACTCCTAATTCCCAAGGAAGTCCTGCAGATTTAATACCAGTCCAGCTACTAGCTCCAGTACCACCGTCATGACCCGAAATCACAACATGCTCTGCTTTGCCTTTAGCAACTCCTGAAGCCACAACACCAACACCAACTTCAGACACTAATTTCACAGAAATACGTGCGTTAGGATTGGCACATTTCAAATCGTAAATTAATTCTGCAAGATCTTCAATTGAATATATATCGTGATGAGGAGGAGGAGAAATAAGTCCAACTCCAGGTACTGAGTGTCTTGTACTGGCAATATCAGCTGTTACTTTATAACCGGGAAGTTCACCACCTTCTCCTGGCTTAGCGCCTTGAGCCATTTTAATCTGGAGATCATCAGCATTTGCTAAATAACTGGAAGTAACTCCAAATCTACCACTGGCTACTTGTTTGATAGCAGATCGCTTATTAAACTCTGGATCTTGGTTAAGATATCGATCAGCATTCTCTCCACCTTCTCCTGTATTTGATTTACCTCCAATACGATTCATTGCGATTGCTAGAGTCGTGTGAGCTTCAATAGAAATACTTCCGAAACTCATTGCACCAGTAACAAAACGTTTGACAATTTCTGAAGCAGGTTCCACTTCTTCAATAGGAACAGGATTGTTTGATTTACGTAATTCTAACTGTCCTCGAAGAGTACAACTTTGTACAGCTTCCATAGTAGATTTTCGATAACTCTCATAAGCATTTTTATTACGTAATGTGACAGATTCTTGCAAATTAGCGATACTAACAGGGTCGTTTATATGTTTTTCTCCTCCAGCGCGCCAGTGATAATTTCCAGGATTTCGAAGGACTAACATATCAACTGCTTTTTCAATGTAGGTCAAAGAATGACGTTCAACCGCATCTTTGGCCAAGATATCAAATGTTACTCCTCCAATACGTGAGTAAGTTCCCTAAAAAATTAAGCTTATGCTAGAACCAATTTTTAGAAATTATTTATTCATGCAAATGGATTGAAAAGCTCTCTCAAACATTTATTTTAAAGTAATAAACTGACATATCTCAAACGAGCTTATCAAAAATTTAACGAGTTAGATTCTATCTATTATTAAAAAAAAAGACTACATGTTTGAGAATGTTTTCCAATGTTATCAATAAATAAGAATTTAATTGATTACTATTGAGTATCAATAACGAAGATTTGTGAGATAAAAATGTTCTATTATGAATTATTATAAGCTTTATATCGATAATAATAACCCTCGAGAGCATTATAAGTTAAAAATAACTTCTAGTGGTTTGAATTACTCTAGAAATTTATTATTAATTTTCTATTCAAGCGATATCGGTAATATTTTACATAAATTGATGTTTCTTTAGAAAAGTTATAATCAAAGTAAACTCACTCTGAAGCATTTATCGATAACTTCATCAGCAAGTCCAACAGCTTCAAAGATTTGTGCGCTTTTGTAAGACTGTAATGTTGATATACCCATTTTAGCCATGACTTTAGCGATACCCTTTTCCATAGCTTCTGCATAATTATTGGCTAAAATTTCATCAGTAAGAGATTGATCCAAAACTCCCTCATCTCGAAGAATTCGTGCAGTTTCAAAAACTAAATATGGACACATAGCGTCAGCTCCATAGCCAAGTAAAACACAAACATGATGAACTTCGCGAGCTTCAGCAGTTTCTGCGATTAGACCAACTTTCATACGTTGTCGAGTTTCTATCAAATAATGATGAACTGATCCTAAAGCAAGTAACATGCTTACAGGGATCCTGTCAGGACCACCTAGACGATCAGACAAAACAATCAATTGATAGCCGTCTTTTGCTGCTTGATTAGCTTCATTATCAACACGATGAAGAGTTTTCAGGAACCCAGAAGTTCCTTCTTCTTTTGGATAAGTAATATCGATTACTTTAGTCTTCCAGCCACGGTAGCTAGTATGTTTTATTACTTCTAGATCAGCAAGTGATAAAATTGGATGAGGTAAAAATAAACGGTGCACTTGCAATTCATTTGGCTCAAGAATATTGCTCTCAGGTCCAATTGGGCAGAGAAGCGACATCACTATTTTCTCACGAATGGGATCAATTGGAGGGTTTGTTACCTAGATACAATGAAGTAAAATTTATTATTCAAGTCTTTCATCAGTATTTTGTGTCTAATTGTAATTAAATTCTATAAATACCTGAGCAAATAATTGTTTGAAATATTCATAAATTAACGGCTGGAATTCTGAAAGGCAAGCCAGGGGAGCATCATTTCCCATTGATCCAAGAGCTTCTTTCCTTTATTAAAAAAATATATTTATAAGTTATAATACATTGATAAAAATAAATTTTTACGAAATTAATGAACGAAAGCTAAGTTTAATCAAATTATTTTTATTTGAATTTCCATTGGAATATTGATTTTATTGAAAAATTTTTTTAAGCTTAAACTTACTTCGTTTCGAGCATAGGTAGAAGCAATAAATTAATATTTTCAATTGTATACGCATATAATTGTAGTCTCTTATCGCCTCCCCAAGTACGATCTACACCTCTTAGATCATAATTTAATCCATGTTTTTTCGAATCTTCAGCTCCATGCCCGTTTTCTATGCCCATACCATTGGCAATGCCATTAGTAACATGTGCTGCACGAAGATGATTCATTGTAATCTGATTATAAATAAAAATAAAGTTATTATTTTAATTCTGAAAGACTTCTATGATGAAATTTGATTTAATTTAGAATAAAAGTTGAGAGATAGTTTTATACAGATATTTGACTACAATGATAGTAATAAGTAAAAATATTAAACACAGTAAAACATTGAGTGATATTTATAATGAAGAAGTTGAAGCGATATTTTTGTTAAATAAAAAGCTCGTGAAATACGATAAAAAATGAGTGAGCTGAAATTAATCATTGTACATAAAGCACAGAACAAGCAAATGAAAGTTTATATTGTTTTTTTGTATATTTTCCAGTTTCCAAAGTGCCTCAAGTAATTTTCAGTACTTTTATAAATAAACATGGAAACTAATTAGCAATAAGGATTTTTGTTTTGAAAATTTATGAATATAATAAATAAATAAATATATATATATATATAATCGTGCCACGTGCAAAAATCAAAATCAAATTAAACCTTGATTAAGTAAAGACTGAATAAGTAAACTAAGAAAAAAAAGATAACAATAAATAATATTGATTTTAAAATAGCATAATAAATAGTAAAAAAAAATATTGAAAAATTTGTAATTATAAACAAATTAAGAAGAATAAAAAACACACGTAATTTCTTCATCAACTTTTTGACTCACCATCTGCACATAACACCAATGTTGTCAGCACACAGGGAAATTGGAAGAAAAAAAAATTTTTAAATTATTATGGCCTGATTCACAAATGATGATTAATGTTTTTTTTTTTTTTTTAAATTGAATATTCATTCTTATATTAATGATAGTGAAAAGGATTATTTAGATCACTAATCTTGCCTTTATATTATTATACACTTGATTGATAAATAATTACAGACAAAACATTCAAGTTATACAGAGTAATTAGATAAAAATGACGATTCGTCACTAATTCATATGAATGAATAATCCATAATAAATGTTATTTTTATTTTGCTTTTCATTCTTGCAGACGATCAAATAAGCATGAACATTTATTTGTAAATGATAAAATTATGTTGGCAACATAACACTGGGCAACAAGAAAATATGTCTTAAAATTGATTTATCTCATTTTTTTACTGTTTCAACGGAGTTTTTAAAATTTTCTTGTATATCATAAAAATAAATTATGAGATCATTAATCAGTTAATGAGATACTAAAAAAAAATTTATATTCATGAACTTTTTCATTGCCCAGTGAAACTGATTAATTGAAAGAACGATTAATGTTCAACATTTATAAGCTTGCGTATCAATCAACAAGTAAGACAATGATTTTTTATCTTATTAGCCTTCATTGAAGGACAATCTTCATGTTTCAGATGAGCGATGATACGAGTACAATACCTGTTCCTTGAGCCATTTGGAATGTGGTCTACTTCTGGCAATGCTTAGTTTGAGTTCAACATCTTGAATGATCTGCTTTTCTTCAGTGTCAACCAACAACATTCTGCCAGGCTTCAAGCGGCTCTGAAAATAAAATATAGTACCAATGATTGTCAACGTACAGCAGCTCCGATTGATCGACAATTATATGACAGCACTGGATGACGGTCTTACTGCTTTATACAAACCCAGTCCCTAAATGATAAATTATACACCATACGTGAACATGATTAAAATAAATAAATAAAATACATGATGACTCCCTACCACAACTGTCTAGAATACAACTATGCAAAAGATTTATGATGGTGACATTCTGATTCTACAGAATATTTACATGCAGATTTATTTTAATTTTATAAAATAAGTATTAAATTATTACAAAAGTCTTCACAACATATTGCTCAAGTCTTCCCAGTTGATTAGAAGCATTTTCTCTCTTAAAATATTTCTTAAATGACAGTTATTATGAACATATTAATAAAATTATTATAAAAATGAATAATATTAAAAATCGCTCTTAATCATTGTTATTAAATATAAATATTTATTTATTATTTATATTTATCATTGTAAAAACCTCTGTAATAATTTCCCATTATAGTATTGTTATTACTTAACAAATCTGTAAACCCAGAATGCCAATACATATTCTCTCCTCAATTAATTTTTTGTAATCCTATTCACACTAGTAATAGTATTAAAAATCTCATGGATTACTTATAAAATCCTTCAAATAATCACTTTTGTCAAAATATTGTTAACTCAATTAATAAAATAAAAGTAAATATCATTCCAGATTAACTAATTTCAAGTCTAATAATGTTCTCAGTATTTTTGAACAAAAGGTGATTATTCATAATAGACGAGAATAAAAGTGTGATTTTTTTTTAAAGATAAAAAAACAAAAAAATAAGAGGAGAAAAAAAGATGAATATGGAAAAATAATTAAATGTGTGAAAATATGAAGAATATATGAAAAACATTCAATTTTTCCCATCCAAAGCCACGCGGTGAAGGAAAAGTCTCCAAAGTCTTGATTCCAAGTCAGCTCTCAATCACTAGTAAGCCGGATTGACTATCAGAACTTATTCGAGACGTTAATCTCATATTAAATGGATTCCTAAAGCTGAAATTAGCTCTATACATCGAGACATATAGAGAGAAATTGATTGATTGATTGAAGCGATGTATCTGTTGATTTGTTTTTTGCTTTTGGTCTTTTAATAAGTTAAATCAACCCCCAATGGAAGCGCTAACTGTCGTATGGTTCCCACATGGTTGGATTGCTGTCGTTTATTTCCATGTTACCTTCAGGACAACATTGCTGGGCGGAGTGTCATAGACGCCTACTTCAGACGCCATCACCATCATGTTATCCTTAGTGACGTAGAAGCGCGATGGGCGCAGGCCATTTCTGCCAAACAAAAATTTAAAAAGGTCTTTGTATTACCACCTTTGGATCGCTCATTTATCGGCTGAATTATTGTTGTTTCGTTCATTTGCCTTCGTCCCGGCACTCTTAACACAGTACCTATCCATTACCTTGATTATAACTGTCCTTATCCGGACAATGATGAATAATTATTGCAAGATTAAGGCGCAGAGGGAAGCTGGCTCATATAATAACATATCTACATAATATTCTAAATAACTTTCAATCGTCATTTTCTATTCGCACATTTTATGAATTATTTTTCTACATAGAATGACAAAACTAGCAAGTTTCTACCCTCTGCCTCTGTAATCAATAGCTTTAAATTGAATTATTTGATAAAAATTTCTGTAAAATGCTCATTAAGATTCAATTTATGACGATTTAGTTCCTTGTACTACTAGAGCCTCCTAGAATAATATCGTAGCCAGCTGAATTTTTTATCTATAAAACACGAACTCTATGTCTAGATTTTAGACGTCAAAGAGTATTTATAATTCATAACTATGAATATGTATTTCGGTCACTGAAGTACGACGCTTTGCCATCAACAAATTCATCAAAAAGTTTTACCTATCCAGAATAGCACCAACGAATCGCCCATCAGTGAAAGTGAGGAGTGCAGGACCATCCCATGGTTCCATAGCACATGCAGCCCAGTGATAAAAATCTCGTTTTTCTTCTGCCATAGTTAGATCATTTTGCCACGCTTCAGGTACCATTGTCATTACAGCCTATAATAAAAACATTTAATAATTTACTTTATTTGCTTTACGACTTCTTTATGTCAATCATTTAATAAAACATAATGAGTTAAATATAGCTTGATATATTTTTACTTTACAAGTTTTTCAAATTAAAATAAACTTATTTCAAATAAAATTTTTATACAGTTACAGTAGGTTATTTATTCAATTCTTCAGTTAAACTAACATCAAGAATCACTGAAGTTATACGTCTGCTTATCGAATTATTAAAGTTGAAATTGAAGCTATACCTCAGGTAAAGTTCGTTGCCCAGCCATCACCAAAAACTCTAGTACGCAGTCAGCAGCACCAGAATCTGACAAATTCGGCTCAACAACTGGATAAAGATCTTTTAATTGATCTCTGTAAACATCACTTTTCATAACACCTTCTCGAGCTTTCATGAAGTTAACATTTCCTCGGAGAGTATTGATTTCACCATTGTGAGCAAGAAGCCTGTAATTTATAAATAAAATACATGTTACCTTTCAAAGCAATGTTATTGTACTTGACTAACAAAAGAATGTTTCACTAGGAAAGAAAAAACTTGTTAAAATATGAATGAACATTTTCTAATTAAATTTTAATTAAACGCATTTCAACTAGTGACTTTTTTCTCATTTTTGAAAAAACATTTACAATTTATAGGTCGAGACGTTCTTCAAGGAGAATTTATTTTTATCATATTTTATATAATTAAATTTTTATCATTAATAATAATATTAATAATAATAATAATAGTAATAAATACATTTACATACCGTAATGGTTGTGCTCTCTCCCAGCTTGGAAAAGTATTCGTTGAGAAACGAGTATGAACCAACGCTAGGTAGGTTTCAAATTTAGGATTCTGTTAAAGAATAAAAACGTAAATACATGAATCAGTAAGTAAATGAATTAAATTTGCAGTTAACAATTTTCTATATATCTAAAATTCAAAATTTAAGTATATATTATGTAATGAGATTTATCTTTATCTTTGCGAAAAGTTCATATACACGCAGTATAATAATTACTATTCCAATTAACACAATTATTATTACTGTTATAGCAATTTATTGCTTATTCAATGAATTATCAATTGACTAATTGCATCATTAGTCATTAATAAAATATTTGGTAATTAATTTATTTTGACCATTGATCACTAAATAATTGAATTGACATAAAAAGATTAGAATCTAAGCTCTCAAAACATCGCATTAAACGTATTACTGAATTAATTTTCCAAGTATTTTGCAATACAGTGGTTTATTATGTGGATATAAATTTTATTAACAATGTCGAATCGCTTTTCGTCATTAATTATGTTTGTAGTATAGTCATCAATCTTGTACATATGACATTATTTACCACTATAAACTGGTAATAAAATAGCAAGTATTTAAATTTAATTTAATTGAATAAACTTACATTTAAATCTGGGAAGTAACGCCATAACTGGTCTGCCGTTAATTGTCCTTTATAAACAATTGTTTTCAAAGACAGTGAACAAATGTAGAATCTTAGGCCGGGTTGAGCGATTGTGTGCGAAGCACGCTTTCGTAGTACAAATATCTAGAACATGAAACATATCAATTTCTAATCGAAAGAGTAATTTAAAATCAGTAATCGATTTACAGTGTACGTTGCAAATTTTTGTAGTTTTAGTTAATTTTAGAAAATTGGCGAATGCTTTCAATGCCGTGACCTTTAGTGCAAAAATCTATTATAATATAATAAATTTTATTTTCATTTTCACGTGGCATTAGTAAAATTTGAAAATAAGTTGTTTTTAATCAGAAATTTAAGTTGGCAATGATAATTTTTCATACAGATGACGGTGAAACGTTATTTATTAAATTAAATCAGAGTTATAAAGGAGATGTATTACCCACCTGACGATTAAAAATGTCAAATTCTTGATCGCCGGTTACGAAAGCCTGACGCATATACGGTTCACATTTTCTTGCTACTTGGCCAATGTAGGAATTATCAGTTGGTACATCACGCCAACAAATAACCTATGAATAATAAAATATTGAAGCAAAATTTTTATATGTTTAACATTTAAAAAAATATCTACAACAGACATTTCTTTTTCGTCCGGTTGTCTTGATAATTTATGATAAAAATATTTCATACTCTCAAGTCACATTCGCCTGCCAGCTTCTCGAAAGCCGCTTCCGTTTGCTTATGGGTATTCCTGTCCAGGAAAAATATTCCCGTTGCATAGCGACCAAATTCCGGCAACTCCACGCCTTGCTTCTCTCTGAAAAATATTTTAAACCAAAGTGTAATTTAATTTTCATGACAAATATTTCTTATTTGCTTTTTTTATTCATGATAAGACTAAGGGAGTTATAAAATTTGATTACTAAAAAATGAAATCCAATGTCAGTGTAAAAAATGGTGATGAAAAGATATTTTTATTTAAGCTAAATCAAATTTTGTCATGAAACTTTTGAAAATTTTTTTCACGCAAAGAAAAAAGATTAATCTAATTAATTAAGACCAATAAATTTTTATATTTCTTAAAACTAATCTACTAAGACCTAATTAATCAAAAAAGACAAACAAAATTGTTTTCGGTAAAATATGTGCCAACTTCGATAGAGCTCCAATAATCAGAAACGTCTGAACTTTTAATTATGTCTGCACTTTATCACTTTCAAGGTCTCGGCTTTATATAATCTTTTTTGGTAAAGTCTCTTTCTTTCTTTGTTTTTTAACATATAACTTTTATAAATATCTATCGCAATCAATGTATTTAACTTGTTTTAAAAGTTACTGTCAACAATGTCATGTAAAAGCACATGATTATTTAATTAAAAAATATAAAACATTTCAATTGAATATTCATTATTAAATTCAATAAAATTATAAGTCATATAAGATATAACGGAACTCTATCGAAGCATCAATTTTAATTCATCATATTGTAATAATTTTTTCAGAAAAAAATCATAAAGTTAAAGTGCAGCTAAGTGATAATGAAATACAATATTTGTATATGTATACAAGACCCCCTGGAGAACAAATGATTTATTGATCTCAAATTACTACATGGTTTTATCAATAATTCTCGAGTTTCAGCAAACTAAGATAAGACGTGTTGCACAATTGGACTCGTATAATGTATCAACTTAATTCTCCGTACTTGTTTTATCAGTTTGGTTTTAATACTACATATTGAACTGAACTTGCATAAATATTTTGTAATGTATTACGTATTAGTTACTAATTTTATTCTATCTTTATCAGAGTTAACGGCTATATTATCAAAGTTTTTAACACTCAATGGCTATCTTAAAAATAAACTCATAAAACTAACCGAACATCTTCTGCATAAAAATCGTGAGGGATAGCACAAAGTACTCCAGCACCGTCTCCTGTATCATTGTCGCAAGCACATGCACCTCTGTGGTTCATACGTGCCGACAAGATTTCTGCATCTCGTACAATCTAAAAAAAGATGTAAATTAATATTTATCAATACAATTAATTAATTTTATTTATTTCTTTACAGCTAGTGAATTAAAAGCTTTAACTGCTGAATGAACTTTTAAACACGTTTTTAGTTAAACAAATCCAGTAGTAGAAGTAAATGATATAGATGATTGTAAGATAAAGTTTTTTTAATAGATAAAATAGAATAAGTAGTTATTAATAAATTATTTAGAAAATTTAATCTCTTAGATAAATCACTTTATATTTGTTTCATAATATTAAGTAAATTATTGTAATTAGTTAAGAAAGCAATCAATCAATGGAGAATTTGAAAATAATAAAAATAATTGATTCTTACCTTATGCGAACGTCGTCCATCGATAGCAGCGATAAAACCAACACCACATGCATCTTTTTCAAGGGTTGGATCATAAAGACCCTGCTTAACCGGAAGAGACCAGGAATCACCAGTGCTCATATTCGTAGCTAAAATCAAGCAACAATGATGAGTTTTTTTTCTGTACTTAACATTTTATTCCATTAAATTTGATAAGAAAAGACGTGAAAAATGACTGCAATCAAAATAATTAAAATATATAACTATGTAACAATTATTAACTATATCGATTGGAAGATCATTTTAGCTTACATTAGTAAATTTCTCTACATTAATACAATAATTTGGTTTAAATATTTATTGATTAATAAATGATAGACTCTAGCACATTTCTTATGATGATGACTATGATTTTTGAGTGTGATAAATGAAATCAGTAACACTCAATGGTTTCTAGACATTTTCCATGACGCATCAATATCACTAATCATACAATATTTATTTCACAAGTTTATCTATTTTTTTATCTTTCTACGATTGACAATATTGTATAAAATAAAAGGAAAATACTTGTTAATGATTCAATCAATAAATATAAAAAATTCATAAGAAGTTATATGATGAATAACGAAATTTAAAAATTAGGTGATAAAAGTAATTGTTTCCTATTTTTTCATGTGAATAAATTTTCATTATCATAGACGTGTTTACTGATAAAAATTCAAGGTATTCTCTATTGATGACAATTTTTTTATATCACCAATTCAGACAGCAAATAGTTTGATAACATCAAACATCATTCATGGCAGTTTTAGAAAATTAAAAATACCTAATCAGCAGTAGGCATCACTTTTAATGATTTAAAAACAGACACTGATAAATATCAATAATAAATGTACAAACTTTTTTCTAGTTTTTTATTTGTCACTTTTTAAAAAATTAAAATAAATTTTGAATAAGCTAACATTTTCGACAGACCAAGAAATTGATTGAACTAAAAGTTGTATAAATTAGTCGTTATCATAAATTGATCACTTACAGTAGTTCTCTACGTTTTTTTTATCGGTTGCGATCTCAGTAAAGTCACTAATGTTTAACGATAAAAACAGTTAAATGAAATTAAAAATAGAACCGGACAGACAAGTAGCCAACATGAATCAATACGACAACATTCGAAATGCGACTGTGGATCGTATTCATCGGGTTAATATAAAAGTTTTAGTCTCCCACCCTTAGACTATTTTATCCTACGATTTTGCACTGATGTGTGGTGCGCATATACCAACCAGTTTGTCACTATACAAGAATTGCGTAACTTTAACACACATACTAACGTCGTTACAAAGATTCTCAATGATCAGTTATCGCGGGGAAGCGTATAATTGGAGTATAATTAATACCTTGTGCCGTTATTGTCGCCATTGATTGATAAAATTTTCAAAAATACTTACTCTGATATTATTTTCGAGAATTCCTGAGTTATTATCTTACATATGCAATGAGCTATTATTAAAATTTGTAAAATAATAACTCACAGTTCGATAAAAGAGTTTATTTATAAGTGACAGTAAAAATATAATAAGTATATAAAAGATAAATTAATTTTGTGAGCGATTATAAGCAACAAAAAAATACTTATATAAGAAATGAAATTACGTAAAAATTTGTATTTATCAGCAATAAAAAAAATGTAAGATATTATAATAATTTTTTCTTATAGCACAATTATCATATTTGTTGAAAAAAAAAAACTGAAGTTTCAATTACAGAATGAAAAATATCCTTTAATTGTGTGTTAAATATTTTCAATCCCTTAGTTTAATTAGAATAATTAGACATTACAATTTTTTCACAAATATTCACTTCTAAAAATTTGAGTGTTAATTGTTTTCTTCAACTTTCAGTTCAATTTATTACTTGTTATTCTAATGACACTCATTACTATCTTAATGATAGATTTTGATTAGAACTATTTGATCAAATTTTCACGAAAGTTTTCTTTTCAATTTGTAAACAATTACTTTAATCATTTTTAATAGTATCATTAATCATTTAATTTTGTTCCAAAAAAATTTCCAATTATATCTTGAAAGGAGGTTTGATAGAAAAAAAATCAATTTTAAATTAAACTTTAAATGTAGGTCAAGAAAATTCATAAATAGAATATTATTAGCTGGTAAACATTTTTTGGATTCGATCAAACAAAGGCATTCTAAGGACATTTAAAATTACGGCCATCCTGAATTATTGATTTATCAACGAAATACATGCAGACATTACGTCTTTCTATTCGCTTAAGTTAGGAATGTATCGTATGAAAAGCTTGGAGTAATGCCAACACCACGTCAGGCTTTTTTTTTTCTTTACAGATTTTCTGTATTTTAGGCATGCACACTCACTATTCAGTAAATCTTTATATAAATTATTTTGACGCCTACGCATTATTATAAATTATTAAAAATGAAATATTTATATGCTACCTCTATTAATATGCCTTTTTCAGCAAGTTATTAATAAATCCGATAATCATTTTTATTGAAAAATTGTAATAATTATATGATTTGCATTATTTAATAGTAAGAATTATATTATTAAGTACTTAACATAATAACTTCCGGCAATATTTTTATTATCATCGGAATCAATTTTCGACATCCGGTATGACATCTGATCGGTTTATTCGATCAGTACAAAATAGTAAAAATAACAGTATTAACGGAAATGCGTCTATTGAAGCTCAAGAGGATAAATCGTTGAATTTATTTATAATTTTTCCAACATTTGATGACAAGCGTCAGGTTAAAGTCCGCTTAGATTTTAAATTTGTTGTACGCAATATCTTTATTGTCTGTTAGTGCATGCCAAGCAATTATTTCTATTTATATATAAAATTACTAATTACCATAATTCTTTACTTTTTTACAGACTATTAAACTCATATTCTTCTACTCTACAATGTTGTATATTGTATCATATATTTTTTAAATCACTTATATCTTCAATGTCTTTAACAAAGAAACCTGAGAAATGAGTTATATTGTAATTGCAATAAATATCAATGAACAAAAAGATTTATTCAAATAATTAGCAGATTAATCATGTATAATTTTTTTAATGGAAAATTATCTGAATAATTTATGCGAAATATTTTTAAATGTTTAATCAACTTTACTAAAAATTTTAATTAAATCTCATTAGAATGTTACTATGTTATAGAAAAGGATTGGAAACAAGATCTAACGATCAAGAAAAGTAAAAAATAAATATTTATAACGTTGTGGTAACAGCTTGGTAGCATATTATAGTTAATAATTATTCTAATGATTTATTGTAGATCAGTTATTTAAATAAATGTTACTGAACAAATATTATATAGCTACACAAGGTGTTATTGACTGTATGGTCTTGAACTACTACGTCTTAAAAGTTGATGATGATGTTAATTAATATTGATTTTCTTAGTAAATAAAGCCGCAAAAAATAAGGTAAAAAATATTTAATTGAGTACCAGAAAAATAACATTTTCCCTGATCTCATATTATTTTTAGTAGCCATTTTATTCCGGAAAATTATTTTTTAATGTCTATCTTGGGATTGAAGTAAGAGACTACTCAACGTATGCCCTAAACGTACAGATGCACGTGCTTGAAGCGCATAAAAGACGACGCAAAATAGAGATTATGTGTACGTATGTGTATATACAGCGTCTAGAAATTTTCTTTATACATGCTAAAGTATATAGATGAATGTACATAACACACTTGTCATATGACATAAAGAATATGAGACATGGTTCAGATCAAGAATACTAGAGTCGAGAAGCATATATTCATAATTACTACCTATACTTTTCATGTACTCTAACATAATCACCGCAACTTAAACTGTGCAACTTGACCGCAATACTATCTACATACATACTACGTCGCCATATCAGTATATTAAATTGTTAAGTGGAAACTAGTATATGTTATAGATGTTCGTAATATTAATAACGAAGGCGTTGAATAATTTTTAGTTACTGACATTGACTCCAAGCAACTTTATAAGTTGCTTTATCAGACTAAGCTTGAATTTATTGATTTTCAACGTTGCACATAGTCTATATACCCTGTCACAGACTGCTGGTGTGCAATCACTTTCCGGGCGTGGACCTGAATCCAACTATCCAACTCAAGTAGTTTTTAGCGCATTCGCATGATAAGAAAAAAAATAACGTTTATTCAATAATTACGACACTTTTGCTAAATAATTTGTACTCTACATTTTTTTATTCAAACAATCTTGACCTTCTTTAATCTTATGAAAATTCAATAGTTTATTTTGAAGCTTTTCATCACATTTTAAGCTGCTTGCTCAATTGATTTAAATTATTTTAATGAAAAAAATTTTATATTATATTTTACTTAAATAGAATTTATTTGCACAATTGATATTTTTTGTAATTGTTATGCTGATTTTCAGACACCTTTACACTGATCAAGTTTCGCTTCGTTACTAAAATGAATAAAAAGCTAGACAAAAATTTCTACATAATTTTTTCTTCAGTTTCTTTTTATGAAAGTTTTTTTGTTATTACAGTAACAAGAAAACATAAATTTATAACTTTTAATAATTATTTTTCAACACTTTTATATAAATATAATTAAAGCAATATTTTTCAACTTATTGCGTAGTACATCATCCTTTAATATCAACTCATCATATGCATTGCCTCATTAATCGTGTTAATTAATGATAAAAAATGAAATCTTATTTATTCAACCTTCCTATATGATTTAGTTTCTACTTAAGAAAATTAAATAGTGATGAGCTAGGTTCATGTTAAACTAGATTTACATGAACCCCAGATATGTATTTCTGGCTCATACATTACATGCCGGTAGTTTAATCGATCGTTACGTATAGCGTTAAGAATTTTCACTTTACCGGCATCTACAATATACAAATTAAATGCATTTTAACCATTTGATTGCATCAAAAATTAACTCTATTATTTTTATTTACATTTTATAAGAATTGCTCATTATTATCGAGAATAATTGAAAAATGATCAAACATATGTTTTGTACTGCGCCAATGTACGAAAGGTAAAGAAAATGAAATAAAAACTGTAATGCCGGTCCAAGATCTTGCCGGTTGACTACCGTTTTCTCCATGACAAGACCACCGGTGTCTTGAACTCATTTTTTTATCGTTTAATTTGCTAAGTGTCACTTTCAAAATACCTTAAATAATCAGCTTTTACACTGCAAATTGTTTAATAATTAATTACTGGAAATAAAAAAAAAAGTTTTTATTAGTAAATTATTAAATTGATTATACAATGAAATAAAAATATATATATATATATATGATGTATATAATTGTACCATTTGAATAAATATTCATTGATGAATAGGAAATGATCTGGAAGTAAAGATTTTCTATAAAAAAAGTAAGAAGAAAAAAATGAATACCTCCTCGATGTTAGAGAACTGCTTGGCACAGCCTTTATAAAGAATAACTTTATCTGAAAATGACTTTTTGGTATTGCTAAAATAATTGACACAAACTTGATGAAAGCACTAGAGGAGTCCTCTTGAAAGTTTAAAAAAATGTTTATTTAAATGATTGTTATTTCTATATAAACATAGAAATTTTCACTAATTCTGTTCAATGATTTATCTGAATACCACTAAAGTGATTAATAATACATAACCCAATTGGGTTGATATCGTACTTTAATCAGGAATAATCGTCTAAATTTTCAACAAACACTTGATTAAAACTGTGTAAAAGCTTACTGGCACGTTAACGAAGTCGCACTGAGCTCCCGACCGACTACTGTCCCTTTAGTACGAATATTCTACTGTTTATAAGGTGCGTCTTCAATGGAAAAAAAATCAATTGAAACAGTTTGTTATTAGGCCACAATTATCAATTAAATAACTATGCGATTTGTTGATGAAATATAAATTATTTTTTATGAAAATACAATTCTATTAATCGTTAGTTGTAGTAATTTTACTCAATTTATTAATCAAAATCAATAGGAACCGGCTTTAACGATCCAAAATTTCAAATTCCTTTGTTTAGTTTATCGTATTTCACAAATTAGAACCACGAGAGACCGAAAAAGTGTGGTATTGATTGTCTTTACGATATTAAAATTACGATTAATGTTCTAATAAAAATTCAACTGATCAAGAAATATTTTTACCAAATGAAAAATATTAATTAACATCAGACTTTATGTCTTTATTGTTTATGTATTCTAATTTGTAATTAAAAATATAAATCAACATAAAAATAACTTTATGGTTAGAAAATTATTTCCGGTTAGAATTCCAAAGTTTCTACTGTCTATAAACATTCAGCGCCACTTTCGAGCATATTTAGAACTATCTATTATTAGTAACGCCATCTAGATCAAATGATGGAAAGGATTTATTTGTTTGTTATGAGTTGCGTTGGGCCAATGAGCATCAACCACGATCAAGTGGTCTGATGGTTGACAGTGTAAATCAGTGTAAATCGTATAAATGAATAAGAAACATCTTTACAATGGTAGCAAATCATATTTTACGGATATTATTAGTTAATTTAATACTTTTCATAGCATTAGCTATAGCCTCGTAAGTAATCTTTTTAAAATTTATCACTGCATTTATTTTTTCCCATTACTTTGAACTTACATGCTCTAGGATTTCACTACTTGTTTCGTTAATCTTCAACTGCTGATATCATCAATTCATCTATTCTATTGCTAGATTATCAGTATTCAATAAATCGCTAATTTTTTATATTTTGATGTTTAGCCGAGATTTTTATGCTATTCTTGGCGTATCAAAAAGTGCAAACACTAATGCCATCAAGAAAGCATACAGAAGATTAGCTAAGGAATTACATCCAGATAAAAATAAGGATGATCCTGATGCCTCACGAAAGTTTCAAGATTTGGGAGCCGCATATGAAGTCCTTTCAGATCAGGAAAAAAGAGAAATGTATGATAGATGTGGTGAAGAGTGTCTGAAAAAGGATGGAATGATGAACAATGCTGATCCTTTTGCAAGTTTCTTTGGAGATTTTGGATTTCATTTCGGTGGTGAGCAACAGCATGACCGAGAAACTCCACGAGGAGATAATCTTGTCATGGATCTATTTGTAACACTTGAAGAATTATACAGTGGTACTTTTGTAGAAGTAAGTGTAATTGAAAAAAATATTAGAAACTATTTATTTTCGATGACTTTTAAATCTATCTTTTAGTCAAACTTCATTTAATTAATTAACTTACTTTCATTAATAAAGACCTAATTGATATTACAATACGTATTCCACTTTTAATATGACAACTTACTTTATCAAATTTTATGTTATTATTAATGGCCTAATATTTCAATGAAAATTAAAATTTTGTCAGATAGTAATACTATCATTCTTTACAGGTAGTTAGAAATAAACTAGTAATTAAACCTGCAAAAGGCACAAGAAAATGTAACTGCAGGCAAGAGTTAGTGACAAAGAGCCTGGGAGTTGGAAGATTCCAAATGTTACAACAAACAGTTTGTTCTGAATGTCCTAATGTTAAATTGGTCAATGAAGAAAGAACACTTGAGGTCGAAGTAGAGCCTGGAATGGTTGATGGTCAAGAAACAAAGTTCTTTGCAGAAGGAGAACCTCATATTGATGGTGACCCAGGAGACTTGATTTTAAAGTAATATTTTTCATTTATTTCTCAGCTCTTTATGATATTACTTAAATTTCAGAAATTTAAAATTTAATTTAAACACATTTTAGAATTCGAACTCAACCTCATCCAATTTTTGAAAGAATTGGTGATGATCTTTATACAAATATTACGATATCAATGCAGGATGCATTAATAGGATTTAAATTAGATATCATTCACTTGGATGGTCATAAAGTACCAGTAACGAGGGATAAAGTGACAAAACCTGGTGCTAAAATTAGAAAAAAAGGTGAAGGAATGCCCAACTATGAAAATAACAATCTCCATGGCACATTGTTTATTACTGTTGACGTTGCTTTTCCTGAAAAAGAATTTACTGCCGAAGAAAAAGAAGGTAAACATTTATACAGATATTTATATAGAAGCAATTGGCATGATCTTTACTCAAGTAACTATTACTTAAAATTAATTATTCATTGTTATTTATTGATAACTATTTTTTTTAAGCTATCAAAAATCTTCTGCAACAAAGTCCAAACAATCGAGTATATAACGGATTACGTGAATCATAAATTTTTCATTCAAGTGCAATAGAACAATTTTTAAATTATCAAAGTGAGAGCAAAGAGTTTGATAAACATAAATAAACTTACATGGAATAAACCGAAGATTCTCTTCGATATTTGTTGAAGAAAATTCTCTAAACATGAAAACAAAGAATTCCAATTTGTACGTATTGCTGATTTTTTAGCCCAAAAATGATTTTGCCTGTAACTAGGTAACAATTTCTTAATTTATTACCATAATTTAAGACTCTGAGATTCCTACTTTATAGTGTAAATGACATTTGAATCATCGATAACTTAAATCTAGCGAATTATAGAATGTTTTATACTAAATCTATAATTTATTGTTAGATATTAAAATATTCAAAGTGAAATAAAATTGGACATTAATAGGTTCACATTATTTGCATAAATGACTGCAATAAGTGTATATAGATAATAAAATGATTCGTTTTTTGGAATCAACCAAATACGATATTGAAAGTAATATTGAAAATATGAAGTTTATTTTCCTGAACCCATTTATTTTTGGTTTGTTTCAATAACCATACTGTCTGATAATGTCTTTCGATTGGTTATACAATGATCAATTAATAATAAACTTCGATTTTTATAAATATCTGCTGAACTTTTTATTTATAAAAAAAACTAAATCAACTAAATACGACAGCAAAATATGTATTTTTTCATCTAATCGATTAAATCTAACTAATAATAATAAAAATACTTACAAAGCTTGAAATGCTTTTGTAAAGCTGTAATAACTTTTATTTTCTATGAAAAGTTTATCGTACATCAAGTGAATTTTATGAATAAAGATAATTATTTCTGTAGAACTAGAGTTTTATACAAGATGTTTAAAAATGATTAATTCATACTCCTATTATGTTGCTATATTCATTTCTCCCTGTGTTATCTTGTTGAAAGTTACAATGGCATTGGCTAGCTATGTTACAGAAGCGAACTTTTGTTTGATTTAATTATTATGTGTACTGAACCTTTCTCTCTTTAAATAAAAATGGTAGATATACTCTTAAGATGTAAGATAATTTTTAAACTACAAATATTGAATTAATAACAAAGCATTAACTTTAAAATTCTATAAAAATTATAGAGCAGCTTGATAAAGTGTTATTTTTTTCAAATGCTCATAATTTTATTCTAGTTTAATTTTAATCATAAAATTCATTGAAAAATTTCCATCGATACTTAACTTATGTCATATACGGTACGATCTTATGGAAGAATGATTTAATCTTCTCGTTCAATGGATCAGGAAAAAAAATATTTTCGATTTTTTTATAGGTAGAAAGAAAATGTTCCATGCGATCAAAAAGTTTTAATCAAGATAGTGACTGACCCATCCATTGTATATCGGATGTTATTTTTTCAAAAAGAAGATAAAATTTTTTTACTTTTTTACAGATAATCAACAATTATTTCTTTTCGATTGAATACAATGATTATCAAGATGATGTGATGTGACTTTCTATTTATTATAAAAAAAATTCCTTCAATAAAATTAGAGTCGTATATAAGCTACCTCAGTTTTCCAGTAAATACAATTCAATCATATCCGTCTATTCGTACTTTGATACAACTATTGTTACAATTGTGAATTGATAAAATTCTGTCATCGAATACGTTGATTAAGTTCATTTGCTTGTTTGTGCTTATCTATACAATTGAAAAAGACTTCGCATCATTTATAAATTGATATTTAGTTCTCGTACATACTGAAAAAAATTTGTTACTTTAAGTTCGTTAATATGCGTTACATGTCTGTTTTATTGTCAGTTTACTAATATTTTCAAAAATCATTTAGTCTACCGAGGAAGCATTTATGAAAAACGAAAAAAGTATTTTTGGGAAAAGTGCAAATCAACCATCTCAGAAGGTAAAAATGAAAATTCACTAATAGATATCTTCTAGATACAGCTTTCAGATATGATAGTAATTTAGTAGGTAACATACATTTTTTTTTTTAGAAAGTCTCATCATTTTTGAAGACGATTTGGATGCTGAAAATGAAGAAATTAACTTCTTCCGTTGTTGTATAGTGGACTTTTATGACTATGTTAGTTCATTACTGAACAATTTCATAATAATTTCTTAGAATAAAGCAATTTTTTTTCTTAATTTAATAGATTGATAAGAATAATAAAATAAACACGAAGAAAATAATGAGTGATACACCAAAGATATTCCCTATGCTCCAAACTCATGGATTAATGGCATCAAGGCTTCTGGTAACAGCTTATAAAAGATCAGGTAATATTTTCCAAGCTTGCTGGTATAGAATTTTTGTATAATAGAAAATTATTTATTTACCAGCTGAAAAAATTCTCGATAAATGTGATATGTGGCGAGATTTTTCAAATTGCTTACGCAGAGAGGCTAAATCTCAATACAAGTAGAAATGGAGGCCGTAAAATTGTTATTAATCAAAGTTATTCACGAAATTAAAATATAAAAAACAAAATTTAATGTTTTATTTTTATTCTTATTACTGCTTTTGCTAACCATAATAAATTTCATATGAAGATATTGTGTTTACAAATTTATGTGAATCCTAAATACTGTATGTCATAAACAATATCATAACATTGAAGTTGAAATAGCAACAATTCATTTGAATAATAGTAACAGAGACACATACTTATTTTAATTACAAATTTTTTAATAGACTTTTTTATTGACGTCTTGACCGTTATTGGTTTTTATTATTAAGAGTCTTAAATAGAATATTCACAAGTTAAACCAAAAAACTTTTTTGTACGAAATAAATATTTATTAAAGATAAAAATATTTTCAAGCGGTTTCAACATATGACTGTTTGTTTGATGCAAATAAATACTCCAATACTTTTGATAATTATATTATATAAAATTAATTACAATTCATCATCACAATAATTGGTGTAAGAAATTATTTGCTCGATTCAAATTACAATCAAGTCAATCCATGCACTCTTGAAAATGTACACTCCACAAAGTGTACTACTGTACAAGATTCAGCTGTACAATCTAATAATTTAATTCTAATTTAAAAAAAAAAATTTATGTCTTTGAAATATAAAAGTCAATTTAAAAAAATAAGAATTAAAAATCACTTTAATTAAATAGATAAAAACTTTATAACAGATATTCATTAATAATCAACTTTTATTTTAAATACTATAAAATATATCGCATACAATTTGCAATAATGGCTTTATCAAGACATTTTTAACGGCAGTAACAATAAAGTCGTGCTATAGAATCATTAATACATGCACTTTGTTTACCATAAGTGTTCAACCTACTAACAGATCCAACAAGACTATTACCACCGGTATTATTACGTCTTATTGAAGCTTCAAAAATAGCATCACCGGGTGTTGTTTCAATTGTAACAGTATAATCAGTCCATAAAACAGGATTATCTTTAGCATCTCCATCTTGACCGCTCCACATTTTCGCATCGATTACAGTCTTTATTGCCAATTGTGAGCATTGTGGATATTTTTTAATCATTGCATTCAACTCATAAATCATAAATTCCGTTGAATTTTTAACAACTGGATCATCAAGTGTGATATTCACACTTTCGTGACACATGCACCAATGTCCTGGGATTCCTGCTGCTGAACAAGTTCTTTTATCAGGGATTGGTAAAAACCAACTGATACCACGTGATAAATTATCATCACTAATATTTATGCTCCGATTTCTGATAGATTCATCATCAATATTTTCTGAATTCAATAAATCTATTAATGTTTCATGCAAATCAAAAGGTGTAGTCAAGCTAGCAGCATTTTTCTGTAAATTATTCCAAGCCAATGAATATTTACGCTTCCACCAGTCAGGAAAAACAAATGATACCATTGGTAAACTTCCTTCCACTCTTCCTTGATACGTTTGTCTAAATTCTCCCCATCTCATACCATGATCACTCATTAAAATTAAAAGTGTATTTTCTAGCAGTCCTTCACTCATAAAATATTTCAAAGTATTACTGTAGACGTCATCACCTAGTTGTGGAAAATTGAAAAAATCATGCGTTAAACTGGCTTCCCAGAAGAATGCAAAGTAAGGGTCATCAACAAATTCTCTAACAATTTTTTTTGTATAATTTAATAAATTTTCAAAAGTCTTTCTAACGCCAATACAAAGATCAGCATTAAGTTTATGTGTATTTCCTATATCATTTTCAACAGCTATGCAGTAAGGTCTGTAATAGTAATCAGTCGGTTGAGCTTGGAACCCAGGCTTTAAATAATTAAAAGTTGTCATTGAACATGCATCTTCTGCAAAAATAGTTCTATATCCTGCTTTACTATAATTTTTCCACAAAAATGGACAATTATCAAAAGGCTGTTTGGTAGAATTCCAGCAAAGCGATTGGAGCTCTTTGTCTGATAAACCACTTAATACTGGCACGAGATTTGGATACGTATTATCGCCAACTTTATTGTAACCCATCATCTCAATTGCTCCAAAGGAAGCTAATGTTTCTAGAGTCTTTGGCATCATACGGTGGAAATTCATCCTTGAAACGGAGTCAAGACCAAGGATTAGTATACTCAGGTGATTTTTAATGTTTACTTGATTGTTTTCTTTTTTTTCTATTGCTTTTTTTTTCTTTTGTTTTTCTTTTTGCACTTTTTGTTGTTGTTTTCGGATAGTATGACATCTTTCTTCAACCAAAGGTTTTCTTGGTACAAAAAAATGATAATCTCTATAAATTTGCTTATTATCTCTGAAGCATTCTACTTTTACAAATTCTGCTGTAATAATGTTTGAGTTATCGAACGGGTGGCACACCTTTTCGTACCTGCATTGTAATGGAAACAATAAATCTTCTGTTCGATAAGTTTTTTTAATAAATTTTGCACAAAATCATAAATATTTATATTCTTAATTTACATAAGTTTATTGATAAATTATACATTTATTATTTGAACATCTAGTCATTTTTTTATTATTCTTTTTCACTTGACAATGAGTTCAAGAACGTTTAAAATGTTTAAGTACTCAAACGATTTGATAAAGATTAGCACATTCTAGTTAACCCAATTTGTTTATGAAATATTCTAAATATATTTTTGGGCATAATTTAGTGCAAAATTTATTTTAAATCATGGTGTGAGTAATAAAGAAAAATATTTACTTACTTGACAAAGTTGTCGAAATTTTTTTTTCGTTCAAATGTTCGCCAACAACAATCAGCAACATTTGATGTGTTATAATACTGTCCAAAAGCTTTGGAATTTATGTACAGAGCAGTATCATTAGATTCCACAAGTGGTAATCGACTTCCGAATTCACATACCAAAGGTTTCTCCTTTTGCATAAATCGTTTAGCCACTAAATCTGCTGGATCAAAAGCTGTTATTCGACATCCTGGTTTGTGAACTAAGAAACCTGATACTTGTATTGACTCGATGGTAAACGATCTGTCCTCTGTTCTAATAATGTTCTCTATCCGACGGAATAATTGATATTAGCGTTATATGCTTACATTAATTACTTTACATCAATTTCATTCCAAATGAATATTAAATATTAAATTTAAATTTAAAAAAACAAAAGTGATAATAAATTAAAAAAGATAGCAATAATTGATGACTTTGTTTTAAAAATAATAAAGCATTATTTGTTTTCAATGACAAGTACCTTGTAATGTGATATTGGTGAAATGTTCAATGTGAAATTGATCAGTAATAAAATTATTCACTATCATAAGAGATGCTATTAAAAATCCTAGAATAGCCAACCACCACGTTCGTACTTTTAGGCCACTCATTGCACTTAAAACTTGGAATATTTATTTTTGAGTAGTATCTTTGTTGGTGCATGATTCCTAACTGACATTTATCACACTACACTTTCAGGCACTATCCTTTGTAGCTTTATTACGAATATTATACAATTCATGTGATCATTGCCAGGCTATTATTAACTTTGAAATTTTTTTTTTCTGTATGCCCATTCTTTTAATTTTTTCAATTTAATGATGAATATCTTTTCTCGTTGGACTTATCAGAAAGCGATGACAGAAAAAAATGTTACAATTTCCTTTAGTTATCAATTATGTGGTGAATCATTTTGACTTGTGTCAAGAAAACATTAAATTTTTATTTATTTTTGTTTAAAATTCGATGAATTATATTTTTTATTATCTTCTTCGATAAATTACCAAATACACTATGCCAGATAATTTAGGGAATGACAGATGAAAATAAACAGTCTTTTATTATTCAAACAGGATGCTGATAATATCTTTGCTTTCCTCTTAGGATAAGTGTTAATTATTTGATAATTAAAACAAGATATTTTTCTAATTAAATTTAACATTTGATTTTGGAACTTTTAATGATAAATTAAAAAATTATAAACCAACATATCTCTACTTAGTTTACCTTCTGACAAGCTTAATAATAATTATAAATAGGATTATTTTGCAATAAGTAATATAATCAACAATTATTCTTGATCATGAACTAGTGTTACTGGCGTAATTAAATAACTTAGTCGTGTAAGAAAGAATACTGTCAACACGAATTCTGGTTCTCGTTGGACAACCAAGTGTAGACGAATTCAGTGGTCGATATTAGGGCGAATAAACATGCGCGCGCGTAATGCCAAATATGTTCACAGGCGGGTGTGTTCCATACAACTTGGTTACTTTTATTTAAATATTTCGAATGTACATGTGGATATATTTTAATCTATGTAGTTCATTTAATCTACAAGTGTTTTTTTATGCTATCGGTAGTATAATGCAATTCGATACGGTTTTATAGGAATTTGGATTAGTTACAGTTTTATTTATATTAGATGTTCTCTTTATTAATAATATTCAATCTTATTCAGAGATCTTGGATTTTTCAATATTCTCGTTCTGTTGTCATCAAATTTATGATAAATGATCAACAAAGATAAGTAATAAACTAAACATTCAAACGAGTATTATAGATATTATGAAGATGCTTTCAAATTTTTTAGATATTCCTACAAAGAATTCAAATAATGTGGGAAATAATTTGTTACAAAAAATGTTTAATTTATTTAAAAAAATCAATAACTAATTCAATTGCATGATATCATAAATATAAAATTTTATAGTATTTTATGAATTATTAAATAATAAAAACAGTGGAATAATGTAATAAATTTACATTGATACGGTAATTCAATTTACGTGAGAAAATAAAGATCAAGATTAGATGGTTAACATTTTTTATTTAATCTGATAATTCATATTAAATTAAGCATAAGTTAATAAAAAATTACTGACACGAGTTCCAACAAGGTTAAAAAACATAAAATTAATTACTTTAATCTTGTCATAAATTGTTGGAATGCATTTCAGTATCGATCAAAATAATTTAATAATAACACCGTTATTTTATTTAAAACAAAGAAATATTTCCTAACCATTCATTTGTTGAATATACATTATATTCTGAAATTCGATTTGAGTAATGATAAGTAAGAGAACTGAGTTAACTGCTTCAGTTAAAATAAATTTTAATGTATATTATGAGTTGAAAACATGGAGATTTTGATTATCATTTGGACCTAAAAACCAAAACATTTTCATCGACTATTGATAAAAAAAATATTTCAAAATTTAAACGTAATTGTAATTGAATTTTTATTCAATTAAAAATTTCTTAAGAATTAGTATTATTAAATACATCAAAAAATGTAAACTATAAAAATACAATAATATAAGGAATTTGAATAAAAAATAATTGAGATAAAATTTCGTATATCAATGGAAAAAAATAATTATAAAATTAGCTGCTAATTAGATAGACCTTGACATTTCGTAATATTGGCTTTTTTATACAAAAATTTTAGCATAACTTTATGCATTTTTTATTAGTCTACATGTGAATAAATGATTTATTGAATTATAGCATGACAGGTACTTGTAGCAAGAAAAAGGAATTTAGTCCGGATGCCAAAGAATTTTGGACAGCTGGTGTATATCAGTAGAATACAAACACGAAATATGAATGTTGATATAATTTTACTTTCTTTTTTTATTCATATTTTTTAATTAATGACATAAAAGAAAAAACTTTGACTAGAAGGAATTATTTTTTTCTTCATTAATAATCATGGTTTATTAATAATTATTATTGTAGTGATATAGATATATGTATATTTATATAATAATCCGTAATGTAATTATCTACCGTGGTATATTTATAACTAATAATAATTATATTTATACACGGATTATACAATATTTACAATAATAGTATCATAAGCAACATCGTTTTTGACAATCACTAGTCGATCACCATAGTTTAATATTCACATATCTGATATAAGCCATCGCTGAATGTTTTTATTCTTCTACTAATCTTTCATTTGAGTACAATTTATTCAATTATTATTATTTTCTAAAAAAACAGATGCACTTAGTCTTACAACAATTCATGTTGTAATTTTTAAATTATTTTAATTACAGTTCACATCACTTGTGTCGTTCTCTATTATGAGTATGATTTGTTTTTAAATTATATATACAATTTTTTTTATATTTCATCATCATTACGCATTTATGACGACAATCGTTTATTTCTTCGAGTATTGTTTGTTCATGCGGATGATAAATATATAGTGCAGACATTTTTCATATGTATAGATCGTGAGTTATGATTTATTTAACAGCTTTCTTTATTTTCAAGAAAATTTTTAAGTTGTTTCATTTTCATGTGATTTTTCTTCTTTTTTCCCAGTCCATCAATTTTTTTATTTTGTGACTAATGTTTTGAATTTATAAAATTTTATTATTGGAACAATTAACAAAAAAAACAATTGAAGTAATTAAAAAAAAAATGATGATAATAATAATAGCAAGTTAAAAGTATTTTTTTGCCTCATTATTTGACGAATTTAATTGCGGAATTGATTTTTCATTAATTAGTTGATAAATTGTCACTTTATTTATATATTCTCTCATTTGTAAGAGAGAAAGAGAGAGAAAGAGTGGTCAATTATTCACTTAATCTACAATACTTGAAGGATAAATTGATGTCGTATTGACAATTGTTTTGAGGAGAACCATACATTCAACATTCGAGCATATTTTTTTTAATTTTAATTTCTAAGTTATTTGGACTTTTCAGTGTTATTATTTTATCACCAATGTATAAATATATTTCGACATTTTTTTTTATCATTTTTTAGTTTTTAATATAAAAGTGTATCGATATGATTGCACGTCGCCGATTGACGTGATTTCCTGTTTTAAAAAGACATTGAAATATATGCAGATTAATTTTTTGACGCAATAGCTTTCGAAATCCGGAAGAGGAATTGTATACCTCACTTCAACAATTGAACGAGGCAATTTATTGTGAACAATAATGTTGAAAAATATTGCCTTTATATCGGCCGGTTTTGATTGTTTTATTAATTGCATAATTGGTTTAAGTTTTTGTGCAATAAATAAATATTCTTTTTTTTCCAGAAAAATGGATTATAAAAATGCATTTTTTTTTATCATTCAAATAAATAAATATAATACGTAATTTTTAGCTTGAATAAAATGCAGTAATGAAAAAATAATTTATAAAAAAAATAATTATAATTTCATTTAATATTAATAATGAATGAATGATTAACAAAAGAATGTTTATTGATTTTTTACTGGCTTTATTTCGTCTGCATTTCCAATGCACTTAAAAATGAAAGGGTCAAGACAAGAAAAATATTAATTAACAAATTTACATAATTTTTGTACGCTCATGCGATTATTTATCGCACTGGCCACAGCTCTATGGATACATACACCCAACATGATAATGTATCATCGATAATTACATATAATAATTAATTTATTATAATGATATAATACTATAATACAGAAATATAAGTACATTGGTTTAGAGATTGCAGGCTGCTCCTCTCATATCACAGTGAGGGGCGTCGCCGGACCGGCCTCTACTTATTAAATTTAAGAACTTGTCTGTCTTTCTTAATATATTTTACGCGTTTTATTTTCATTTACACACCATTCTTCTTAATCTTACAAGCTTTACTGTATACAACTTACTCATTCACATACACACACACTTCCAATGCGTAATATATCCTTTGTTGTTTTTATTGATTTTATTTAATATATATTTTTTTTATTTATCGAATATCTATTATACGAATAATAGATTATTCATTAATTACCTCAAACTTTTTTTTTAACTTAATACAAGACCCACGTCACAAATGGACGGTCATATGTGCAAAATATGATCGGACGTACAGCACCACATGTCTTACGGCTCCAGACATTTATATAAATTTATCCTGAGCTCAGTCTAGGCGCTGTCTTTTTCACTAAATTCACTCCGATGGTATAATAAATATGTATTAATATTTTTTTTTTAATTTTTTCAATATCATCAATTATCGGAATTAATCAAATTACTACTCCTTTTTTTAAGAGTTTCTTTTTCATCTCACAATTTTTATTTATTTTTAAAAGACTAGTGTTTTATAGGAACATATCAATATCTTCCAAACATTTTAAGAAAATTCTGCAGTCTATTTTCAATCAAACATTATGACTTTTTTTTTCAAATTTAAAAATGCATTTAATCGAGCTATTACTCTCATCATCAGGGAGATTTTTCTAAAAGGAAATGCATAATATAAACTCTTAATTTGATCTTACAATTTTTTTTCTATAAAAAAAAACTACCTTCAATAGTGTGATAAAAATGATATCACGTTAACAGATTTTTTGTTGTTATTTTTTATCAAATTGAGAATTTTGTCAATGAATAATTGATAAAAAAAATATACTCATTGAGGGAATTTGGGAATCAGCATGATAAATAATGAATTAATCAATACAATGTAAAAGATGAAGTGTAATTGGATAATTTCACGCTGCTAAACCTTCACCTCTTGGAGCTGAAGTTGTTGGCAAACGTGCTGTTGGTGGTGTAGAATTATTTTCCGATCTGGACGGACCTTCTCGTTCAAAATGATGCTGAAGACTATCACCACTCCATGCTGGAACACTAGCAGAGTTTTGATTGCCAGTATTGGAAGATGGTGTTCCAGGTGAATGAGATGGTGATGGTGTTTGGAACAGCATTGAACCTGAAGGTATCACTGGTTTTCCATCACTCAAGGGACCATTACTTGCTGCCATTGGTGATTTTTCCATTGGAAATCCTCCAGCAGTTCCACCGTAAATTGTTCCAAAAAGTCCTGCATATTTGCTGGCATTCACTGGGTGCGTTCCAGGCAGTCCGTTGTTACTTTGAATCACCGATATCTCGTTCAGCTGTAAGTAATGCAGGCCGGACGGTTAGGGTTAATATTGTGGAACAAAGGCCTACAAAAAAAACAATGGGAAAAAAATAATTCTAATCAAATAAAAATACCAGTTTTATTCATTATTATTTAGTAATTTAAATTATTTTTATCATTTAATTATAAATTTAAAACTTTTACTGAATATTTTGATTTATTATTATATACAATTCAGTCCTAATTCTTTTTTACTCCAAATTTTTTTAAATCTTATGAGCATTGCAAATTCAGGAAGTCAAAATTGAGCTGATTCTTTTTAAAACATTATAATAATTGTAAATATTATAATAATTTGAGTGTATTCAGTTATTTTATTCAATGATGACGCGTATAAAAATAAAAAATTTTCATTAATAAAAATAAAAAGACTAGTAGTGTTGATAAAAAATTCTAACTGATATTCAATTGCATTGAAATTACATTGAACTGATGTTCGTAATTCATTTATTAATAGTAAATAAGAATATTTATATGTTTATATTGATTCAACTTTTGGTTTTGAAAATAAAGCTAATAGTTTAATGATAAAAAAAAATGTTTTATCCATTAATTTAAAAAAAAAAATTAGTCGAATATAATTTTTAATTTTAACTTGGTGTGCTATTTGTTGTATAATTGTCTTATAGAAGGGTTATTTTACTTAGAGTAGTATGTTTTGTTCCGGCTTCCCTCATTTTACAAAGCATTGCACTCCCTAATTAATATTTTATTAATCATTGAAAAAATAATCAAAATGATGTTCCATTGACTGATTCTACATAATCAATTTTTTTGCATCAATTATATCAATACAATATTGAGAGTTTTTTGTTAAATTAAGACTATTAGGACTGAGAAAGTTGAATAATATTTTTAATTAATAAAATTAATGATGATTAAACATACTTTCTGCTGAACTCCGTTAAGGAACGGCGCGGGTAGATATGGATAAAAGAGATCCGGTCGGCGCTGAAGGAACTCCGAATCCTTGGGTGTGATGGGTAGTGGTGGTAGGTCCAGTGACATTCGTCGTCCGCGTCGAGAAGCTCCGTTTGTCCACATATGGGTCCCCATGTGCACCTAATGAACGTGTCGGAAAAAATAAATAAAATAAATATAGAATGACAACAGTGATTGGATTCTAATGAACTTTACGACTTAATTGGTGTGTCGTAAGTATCGGTCATTGTTTTAGATAAAAAGTAGATGTTTAACAAAATTTGACTAGTAAAAGAATTAGTATGTCATTATACACGCGGGGCGTTAGTGCACAAGCGACAGTGATCACTCTGATTAGTAGAACACTGACTGAGCGATTAATTAAAGAAATCTACTGACTACTAAAAAGTCGATACAAGATGTATTGGTGTGTGTGTGTACCTTTAAATTGCCTTTGGTGGTGAAGGCCTTCTGGCAGACGGTGCATCGGAAGGGCTTGTCACCCGTATGCGTTCTCATATGGATCTGGAGCGCCGAGGATGAGGAGAAATTCTTATTGCAAACCTGGCACAAGTGCTTGCTGGACATGCCTGTAAATAACACGCACACACTCACACATGTGTTTGCTTGATCCTCAGCTTTGGTCTACTGATAAATCGAATTAGCAACACTACCAATACCTTTTTTATAATTCAATTATATTCTATTCTATTATTTCAGTATATTTCTTTTTATCATTTTTTTTTAACTCTAATTTAACCTCCCATCACTATGAAGAACTTCAAGCGTTGATAGCAAGATTTAATGTGACGGCTACTACATAATAATGCGAAATAAAGCTATAGTTATATTGTAGGTATTATATCCAATTAGAATAAGTAATCTACTCTCAGCGCAATATATCCGTGCGTTGATGTATAAATAAAATGTCAGATTGAAAAGAAGAAATGATCAAAAATGAGCCATAGAAGCTGCAAGGTAAAGCATTAGCGGTCTATTGCCCTCCGAAAATATAATGACCACTTGCTAGACTTGTCATTTAATCCCAAATTAAAATTCATGCTTGTTATTAATTAGTTATTCCTTACTTACTGGGTCTTTTTGGTGCTGGAAGATCACCTTCCGGTGGTGATCGTTTTACCGGCACCGGTGACTCTAGTGGAGACGGAGGCAACGAAGGTGGAAGTGGCGGTGGTGGAGGAGGAGGTGGTGGTGGAGGCGGAAGACTTGACTCATCAGTACTCATTGAATTTTGTGAGTTTTCCGGATCTTGGTGCTGTTGAAGCTGCTGTTGAATTGGTGGCTGTGATGGTGGTTGTGGTGGTGGTGGTGGTGGTGGCTGTTGTTGCTGTTGTAGTTGTGATGATGGCGATGACTGTTGTTGAGATTGTTGTGACTGAGGTGGTGGTGGTTGTTGCTCTCGTGGAGGTTGTCCAGGTTGCTTACCATCACTGAATAAGTGTGCTGGCATATCTCGAATCTTGTGGGTTAACATGTGTTGCTTCATATTACCCTGTTGATGAAAAATTTAAATTAGCTGTTTGACATTTTTTTGTAATAAAGACTTCCTTATTTCTTTTGTAATATATTTAGCTTTTTAATTATTATTTTCATGTGTATGTTGATGCATCCGGTCATTATTGATGGTGATCGATATATTATTTAAATTCATACGCAGTAAAAATGTTTATGATAATCTAAAACAGTTCATTAATAAAATTTTTGGAGTCTATTTCCTTGAAATGTTTTTTCAATCTCATTAAAAATGTATCTATTTTTTAAATTTTAATTTATAAAATATTTAAATAAAGTTATATTATTTAAAAAATATTTAATTATTTTTAAAGCCCATTATTTAATTGATTTTTTTTATTGATAAACATATTAAGTAGTAATTTACTTACTTTTATTTCATTAAATAAATAGTATAAGTGATACGTCAGTAATACTGTAGACTCCAATAATTTTTAAATAAAATATTAAAATGATTAATGGACAGTTTTATTTTTAAGATGAAAGCCTGGAATATTTAACTACATGATATCGTATCAAAGCGTTAATCGAACCCGATTAAGTTGGCCCTTACCAAGAAGACGTGGTCCGAGGTGAGAAGTCCGAGGGCGGGAGACATCAGCGGGGGCAAGTGGACAGCAGGACACGAAGACGACAGAGCCCACCGCCCTCCGCTTCCTGACCGCCCCCGGGTCTTCTTCTCCTCGGCCCTCCGTCGTTTGCGTTTTGGTTTAGGAACTGGTTCATCTTGCGGGGTTACAACATCTCGGGAGTCCAAGCAGTTACACGCTCTTATTACCGAGTCGTCATTCTGAAATTGTCAGGACTCATTTTATTAACGAAATTCAGTACCGAGTTTTTCTTTTTCAAAATGACCGTATGCACGCTTCAGATTAATTTTGAAAAATAATTTTATTAACTTTAAATAAATAATGAAAATAATGAGTAAAAATAATTTTTTATATGCTGATATAATAAAACTTAAAATGAAAAGAATGTAGATTGGAAACATTGCGTGCTAATTAATCACTCTGTGATGTTTTTATAAATGTGTACGAAATAATACTTTTGAATAGGGATAACATGCATCAAAGTGTACTCACTTTGGTGGAGAAGCCTCTGTCACAAATGCTGCACTTGAATGGTCGCTCCTTCGTGTGACTTCGATAGTGTATCTCCAGTGCGGAGTTACATGCAAATGTTTTGTAGCAGATATTACACGTTGTGTTGCCACGTACTGCAACAGAGCGTGTCAAAGTTCAGTTAACATCATGGACTTGTACAATTTACAATAATTTCATAATTTACTTTTTATTTATCTATTGAGTTTTTGTGTTCTTATTTCTTTTGCTTTCTATATAATGCTGAGTACTTGATGACACGTGTGCATTGAAGCTGTTATGATAAGCATCATTTAGTTTAAATAGCATTTTGTATCAACTTGCAACATGTAATCAAATCGATCAATGAATAATAATTTAATAATTGAAAAAATAAAAAATAAACTTCTTTTTAGATTCTACTTTTTTGTTCTTTTAAACTGATTATAAATGTATTATATGAAAATAATGAAAAAAAGGGAAGGGTTGTTGTAAGCTTCAATCCAGAGTTCATGTTGTATATCAAAACATTTATTTTGAGTAGTACATATGCACTCGCGATAAAATTGCTCTTGATAAAATCATTAAAAAAAATAGAATGATATTATAATGATTAATAATAATAATCATAATAATAACTATAGTAATAATAATAATAATAATAATAATAATAATAATAATACTACAACTAATAATATAACAATACAATGATAGTAATAATATACAATTGGAAATGACGTAAGATAAAAAAATACAATAGACAATGTGACAAAAAAATGGCAAAAAAATTTTTTCTTTTTTTTTTTTTTTTACTTTTAGACAATCGATTAATACATTAATTTCTAAATGATTGCCTTATATTATTCATTAGCATTTTAATATAATAAGAACAATCACATTGAGCGTTAAAGAAAACAAACTATTAAGAGGGGCAAATTATAAGACAAATGACATTAGGGAGAATGATTTAGATTATAAGAGGGGAGTGCTAGGTCCAGCTACACCACGAAGAGAAATGTTTTAGAGGATAAAAAAAAAAATTTAAAAAAAGGAAGGAGAGTATTATTTTATTAGGGAGCATACACTTGGTAATGGATATTGGTTGATTATTGCTGGAAATAATGTGTTTTAAGGAGTTGGTTGATGGTAACGCGGTACGTTGAACTCGCGTAAAAAAGTGAGAAATAGAGTATATAAGCGAGTGGACGCGCGCGAACAATAACGAAAAAGTTATAGAGCGAAAAAGAATAATTGCGAGCTTTGTTCGAAGAGGAAGGTGTAGCGGGAACTGCGGCTCGCCCTGGTGCTAGCAGCGCCTACCTGCTGGCCCTCCAACAGCGAGGCCGAGCGGATTGTAGGTCGAGGATGCGGCAAGTACAGCGGACGTCGTTAGAGAAGCTAGTGCTCCGCCATTATTGCCACCTGGACTAACTGGATTTATCGATGCAACGCTGTTAATTGCACTGGTAGCAGCTTGAATGTTGTTGATTGAAGGTGATGATGATGAGGATACTGCTTGCAAGAGGCCTGCAAACATCCCGAAAGGATGTGGATGATGCAGGGGCGGTGGTGGTAGCGGTGGTGGTGGTGTCGATGCAGAGACTACTGAACCGGGGGTGGAGGAAGCACGAGGCGTTAGATCAAGTGGAGCACCTGCTATTGAGCTTGGTGGACTAGTGCTTTTTTCACTGCTGTTATATCGATCTAGAGGTGATGTAGAACCACCTGGAGTAATTAAGCCTCCAGAAGCTATTGTCGTTATTGTTCTTACTTGATTTTCCAGTGCTGCAAGAGAAGTTGAAAAGCATGTTATTGGTGGTTCTTTTTCTTCTCGCTCATTATCAATATCTTCTTCTATTTCATTTTGTTTTTGATGATCTCGTAAATCTTCGCATCGTTCATCATCCTCTCTGTGGTCTTCGTCATCATCTTCTTGGTCTTCCATGTCTTCCGATTGATCGTCTAAATATCGTCGTTGTTGGAGTTGATGTTGAATATGAAGATTTTTCTGCTGAATAGTCATGTCTTTCATGTCCATTTCATTGTCTTGCATATGTCGTTCTAATGCTGGATGTCGAGAAGGGGAAAACCCCAGTGGAAATGTGCCTGGACCGGGATGGAGTCCCGGGAAACCTTGCGGAAGAAATGATGCCAGTGGATGTGATGGATATCCTGGTGGGAATTCATTAACTTCCGCTGCTTGAATTTGTTCCGGACTGAGATCTGTAGGCTCTCCTGTATGAAGTCGTATGTGTTGTTGAAGTACCAGTGCATTAGTGAACTTTTTATGACACACTGGACATTGGTGAAGTACTCGTAGTGGTGGTTTAGCTCGATGTACACCCATATGTGTCTTCAAATTACCCTTTGTGGTAAATGCACGCCCGCAAATTTTGCACTTGAACGGTCGTTCGCCTGTGTGCGTTCTGTAGTGCATCTGAAGAGCACTTTTACACGACAGTACTCGATGACATATGACGCACTGATTTGGATCAGTAAGCTTATGCTCAATATTGTCAACGAGCTGTTGAAGCTTGGATGTTTCTGAGGTTTTTGTGATTTCAATAAGACTCTCCCACGAATTATCATTACTTCCAGGACGAGGTAATAAATTGGAATAAATAGCAGGATCTTTTGCAGGATCAACCATCATTTCACTAGTATTAGTACATGCTGTTGTAGTATTGGATGATGGAATATGAGGCAATGACTGTTGATGACTGGGTGGGGCAGAAGGAAAAAGAAGTCCTGCAAAGGAGGTTTGAAGACTTCCACTACTGGCGGTGCTACTCGCCGGCGAGGCACCAGGATAGTTCATTGTCTGTTGACACAAACGACTATTGGTACCTCTACTGGAAAGATTTTCTGGTTGTTCCTCCATTTCTTCATCTCCTTCCATCTCTCCATCAGCATCCAGTCGTCCACTAGTTTTACTATCCATACTGCAGTCCTCATAAGGTTGATTTTGTGAGATCATTGGATTATTAGGTATTGGCGAAGAACGTTCCAAGTATCGTCTTGGAGATGGAGGTTCGAATTCATCAGTTTCATCCTCTGCAAGTTCATCAACTGGTTCTTCTGGTTCCTTTTTCGGTGTTATTGTCTCGTCTACACCCCGACTGCTTGGTCGATTAGGAAAAGGTGATGGTTGTTCTCGTTTCAGTTCTGCTCGTTGAGTATCTTGACAGGAATGATGTGAATTGGAAAATATAATGTTGCTGGTCGTTGTTGGAATCGAGGCAGGTGATCTTGGTGAATGCATCGACATAGGTGGTGTTGTTGATGTCGTCGCAGATGTAGTCGTTACAGTAGTTGATGTTGTGGAATTAGAAACTGTCGACGATGTGGTGTTAGTTGATTTGCTCAGGTTTTCTGGTATGTCCTGATCATCGCGATGACTAACGATGGATCCCCGATGGTAAAGGGTTGGCATGCCAGCCGCGGCTGCTGCAACAGCGACGGCTGGAAGGGCAAGACTTAAGGGCAGAGGAGGTTGAGGTGGGAGAAAACCGTGGGCCGATGCCGGGTGAAACGAAGCGTGATGCGACGACGGCACCGATCCCGCGGTAGGCGGTGCCGATGGGGGCGGCGGAGACGGGAGGGGTCTCTGACCGGAAGCCGCGAGCTGCTGGAGCAGAGGAGGATGGTACTTGTCGAGGTGTTCGGGCACAGGATTTGGATTCATCTTTACGTGCGGAAACTTGGCCGTGTGCCTCTGGAAGTGGACCTTGAGGTTTCCCTTGGTGGTGAATCGGCTTCCGCAGACGTTGCACTTAAAGGGACGCTCACCTGTGTGGGATCTTATGTGGATCTGAAGGGCTGAATCGCTGCCGAAGACTTTGCCGCAATACCGACACCGATGCTTGAAGAAGGGCTCGCCACGACCACTTGCAGACTTTGAATCGTAAGGAGAGAGACGTGAGCCACCCTTGCCACTTCTAAACGCAAGTTCATCTGCAAGGTTATTTGCAAGAAGGCCTTGACTTGCATTATCTAATACTTCTTGTGCTCTTTTTTGTAGCATCTCTAGAGTATTTGGCTCGTTGAGCGGCACCGGGTCATTGTTGGTAATGATGGACGAAGCAAGGGATGAGCTGATGGAGCAAAGTGATGGCATTTGATGAGACAAAGCTGTCTGAACACTTGTACTAGTATTACTGACTGTAGTGCTGGTGTTAACACTAGTTGAGGTGGTTGAAGTTCCAGTCGAAATAATTCCTGTTACCGTAGGAATATTCAGACTTACAGGTGATGTACTACTTGATCCTACTGGACGTTCTTGAGTAATGCTTGGTACAGTCAAAGGTGACGATGCTTGAAGACTTGACGGTCGTGAAGAAGGTGGTGATGTGAGACTGGATAAAGACTTGGGATGAATTAAGGGAGATGGAGGCGTAGTCACTTCTTTAGTCTCAGTCACTGGTTCTGGAGCAGTCGTTTGACTTCCAGTACTTGCTCCTTGAGTGATAGACAACTGCTGTTGCAGTTGGCTAATCAATTGTAACTGGAATACCTGCTGATGTTGAAGAGTATAAAGGGTGCTCTGAAGAAGAGCAAGATCCTGCAAAGCCGCTTCACTATCAGCACCACCAGCCAATGCAGTCGCTGCAAATTGTGCCACTGCGACCTTGGTATTTTGTAATGCTTCGAGAGTGACATGACTAGTGCCTGCAGGCGTGGCAAATATCCCGCTTGACGTGCCACTCTCAATGAAACTGTTGTTGTTCTCTGCATCTTGACGATTCCTCATTTGCTTTCGAGAACCTTCATCATCATCCTCCTGATCTTCTTGCTCATCCACTGCCTCCTCCTCGTCCTCTTCCATCGGTAATTCTTCAGGTTCACGTTCATCTTCATCTTCTTGATGAGATCGATTTGATGTTAAATCTACTGCTTCCTCCCCACCAACTCCTCCACCACTGCTGTCTTCACCCTCTGACGTTGTATCATTGTCATCCTCTGCAACAAATATCAAAATCAATTTCATTTATTTATTCACTCAACTTCAGTTTCAATAAAATTCTGTTCAGTCTTTAATAAAAGTTAAATGTTAACCAGAAAAAAAAAAATTTAATATTTTCCATCAAGTGAAATTTTGTTTAAAATGAACACACTATCTATACATAAAATGTCACAAAAAAAAATGAAAATTCGAGAAAAAAAACCATACCAGAATATCGAGGGCATGAAAATCCCGACGCGCTAATACTGTTATCATTAGATTGCCAATTTTTTGAGTCTCGTCGTTTAATGCCACGATTTTCAAGTCTAGTAGTGATACTCCATCTCATAAGTTGCATATCGAACAACCGGATAGTCTGTTATAGTTCAAACTCGCACTATTTTTAATCCGACGGTTGGAGGTAGCTTTTTAGTGAGCGACGGCATTTAAAATAATGATTGAAGATTTCACTTTTCTTTTATTTAAATTTCGCACAATTCATTGAAACAGTCTTTAATCACACTATCACTGGTATCTGTGTATGCCATGTGTATTGAAAGACTAACATTGAGGATGTGTAACTCATATGGTTGAAAATAAACTCGCGTTAAAGTAACATCCAAGAGGGCCGAGAAGCAACTGAATGCTGAGTAAAGAAGCAACTCGAGTACCCGTAGCTACAACTGCTTCACGGTTGTCCCCACCAGTCTCCAATGTATCCCTACTCTTTCCGCGAGTCGCGACTCCTACGCGCGTCGGTGTAGTACTGCCACCACCCGAAGCGGCAACGCGATGTACTTGGGTTATGACAGGAGGGGCGTAGCAATTCATAAATCAGAGGGAGAAAGGCGGAGCTTATGTGAACCATTCACCGCTGACTTTATTAATTATTATCCTTCTCTTCAGCACCCCTCACTGCTGTTCCACCCACGCGACGACTTTACCCTCATATTCCCCGCCAACTATTCGATTTCCATAACCATAAAATATAATGATCATTCTTTTCTCAACCTACTCTGTATCTTCTTTATTCACTTTTTTTTATTTTATTCAACCCCACTAATGGTGTAGTCGAGTCATTTGGGCCTTGTTGATGCTTTAGTAGGTGTTGAAATAATAACGATATATTGTTATGTGATACTTTATATTTAATTAGAAGAAAGCTTTATCTTAGTATTATCAGGCAGAAACACAAGCCTCAATTACTGAACACGTCCTAATATTTAAATAAAATTTATCAAACGTTTAGGTTGAAATTTTTTTAACGAGTTTTATTGTCACTTGAATGCTTGATACAAATAATCCTCAGCACTTTTATTGGCTTATTGTTTTTTTTTTTTTTTTTTATAAAAAATGTAATACATAGAGACTATTCAATGCGAGATTTATAAAAAACCATTAAAAAAAAAAATGATTTATTTGGTAATTGAATTTAGTTTGGATATAATCTGTGAGGATAGAGTAAGAATAACGAAATATAATTATTTAGGAATCCATATACATATGGTAAAGTAAGTCTATATCGTTAATCATTCAGACAGAAAAATAAATATATTATAAGAAATAATCCCATATAGTAGTTTACAACCAATCCAATCAAGGTCTTTTACTATTGTGGTACATATGTGCCTATTACTGATCCAATATAGTGAACAGTACAGCCTTATATGATGTATTAAAAAAAAATCAAATAAATAGAATAAATGAGAGATCAATTTTTTTTCTTTTTTTTACTATTATTATCTTAGATGAATGGTTTTTACACTGATTGAATATTTCTGAAAATTTATCTAGCACATTTTGTAAAATTTTAATTTGAAAAAAAAAAAACATAAAAGCACAGTTGCATATTTTTATGGTGTATTAAAATGATATATTGCCTTTTAATTTCATTAAACTCTTTGGCACGAGATAATAGAGAATGCATGTATTATTATTATTTGTCACCTTTCAAAAATTTTCATTGTTATTTTCGTCAAATGACTTGGCACGCGACAACTTTCTCAGTTTAACTGACACTGATGCACCTGAAGAATGATTTACAGCCCTTAGAGAAAATTATTTATAAATCCCTGAAAGTCTACAGGTCAAGGTTTTAGGTATAATTTTTTTTTTTTGCCGTTGCGCAATTTGTGCAACTGTGCATTAAGATGTTCATTGTGACATCTTTAGTCCTTGTCAATAACTGGTGGTAAGGACCAGACGACATTGTTAAGGACGATTTATGGTATGATAATTTTTCATATCTTTATGAATTTGTATTTCGAAAGACCTGCTCTCACATCATAGCATCAATGTTGGAGTATCTCTACTCAGTCTTTAGCATGAGAAGGACAAAAAAGACTCGTTGACTTATGACCGGCCAACGAACGGAGCGACAATAGTGAAAATGGGTCGGAAGTCATAATTTACTACTCTAGGCGCTCGGTCGTATTTGCCTGCTGCCGAAATAGGCAGTCCTTCTCACCGTGTGTCTTAAGACTCTCTACATCGACATTTTACTTCACGGTGATGACGAATTTTTGTCAAAAAGCATTATTATAACCATCCTCTAGGAATATCAGTTGAATTCGAAGGAAAATATCAATGAAAGACATCTTTGCTTTAATTCATTTTCAAATGAACAAGGTCACTTGAACGAAGAAAATTTATAATTTTCTGAGAAGCAGAAAAGTGATAAATGAATTGACAGGACAACAGAAAAGTATACTTTTTTTTATTTAAGGTCAAATTTTTTTGAAATAATTTTCTTTATGGCAATCAAATGCTAAAAAAAAAATACACAAAACATGCCCGAACAACGAAATATGGTTAAAACAGTTGTATTGCGATTTTTTGTATCCAGTTGAATATGTATACATAACGAAATAATAACAATAAAGGTGGAAATAAACAAGGAGTACAGGGAATTAAGATGAAAATAAGGAAGCAAATAAAGGTATGGAGAAGGGGAGAGAGTGAAACAAAAAAAAAAGTTCACATGTTCGTTATCTTATCTAAGGAAAAAGCCCATAACATCGAACCGTATCATCGAAATATTTATTCAGAAATGAATAAATAAGTTCAATCGATGGTTGTGAGAATCATCGAGATGGTGGTTTGGCTAACAGGCCTTTTGGTAGACGCCAAGGATCAAAGGAAAAGAAAGAAATGAATGCGAGTTGCCGAGAGATCGTATTAGGGATGCTGGTCATGTCATACGTGAGAGTCTTATCTAAGTCCGTGCGAAATCATGATCGTTTCGCCTGCAAAACTTGGTCAGAGATACCCTCTACACGAAATACCTGCACGAGTTAACAGAGTAAAAGGCTTTTAATGTTTGTTCCAACACATATTTATCGTTATTCGAAAAGATTGTCGATGAACTATCTCGATATTTAATGTTGTTTTTAAGATTGTTAAATTTTTATTATAAATTTTTATTAGTTTTCAATAAACTTATCTTTTATGCAATTTCGAATGGCCCACACACACTTGCTTCATAATCATACTGCTTTACGTGTCCCTCAATTGGAGGGTTTTAAATTGATTTTAATCATTTTAAGCTTAATTTTACCGAATTGAAGAATTTGGAATTAAATTATTACTTGTTTTAGAGCAAGTTTTAATAATTACTCTTTTTTTTTTGTTTATTGATTACTCCATTATTATCAACTGAATTGAATTAAAATCCTAAGAATTTTTTTTTTAGTTTTTATAAGAAAAATATTTTTTTTAAATAATTGAAAAAAAAAAAATTCAATAATAATAATTTAATCAACTATTTCGACTCCTCTAAAAGTATTTTAAATATACTATGCAGTAATAAATCAGTAAAAATTATTGGTTGAATTAGTGCTATTATTATCACTGAACATAATGCATATTCACTGATTTATTTTCAGAAAGTAAGAAAAAAAAATAAAGTCATTAACGAAACCTGCTCCAAAATAATTAATGAATTAACTCCAAATTTTTAATTAGCTAAAATTTAACTTAATATTATGCCTTACACCGAAAAAATTAAAATTAATTTAACGAATGTTTGAAATTTATTTATTAAAATATTGATTGAATTATTTCAAAGAAAACAAAGTATTGCTATTCTGATAACTTAATAACTTGGTCAATTAATTCAAATCAATATTATCTTCACTAAAACTTCTATGCTTAATTAATTTTTACGATTCATCGAAACGATTCAATTCGAAAAACTCAAAAAAAAAAACGTTGCAAATAAATTAATTAAAGTTGATTCGCAGTACATTAAATTAAAGATGTATTCAACAAAATTTTTTACTCGTCTCTCACTCGAGATACTCCATTTTTATGACATCACCTGGAATACAACATAATAATCGCAATCGTCATCTCGGCAATAATGAAAAAGCATCAAGCGTATGAGAATATAAAATGATGAGGATATATAAAGAGGAAGAAGAATACATATATAATAGAAGAAAAAAGGAGAGATGGATTGCCTGAAGGCGAACGGACACGTAGTATCTTATTGCATACAGCATAAAGCATGTGCGTGCAGCCACACAGTATTATATCGCCATATACCTAACTTATTCTTTTTTCAACCTATCTCTTTTTCTTTACGGCAAATTATTATTTAAATGGCTTCGGCATCCTCGCCAACTCTCGTCTCTTCCGGTGAGGTTGTAAAATTAACTTGCATCGTCTCTCAGCGAAAAGACACATACAATCTCATAAAGAGATACGGTATTGATTCTTACACGTAGTGTATGCTTGTAAAGAGACGATTATATACCAACAGAATAATTGAATTTATTTATCCATTATTAATTAAATTATTTGGTAACAAAGGAAATTATGGTTTATTCTTATTCGGATTTGAAAGGTTCTTCGGGTGGTAACGGTCAAATAGCCATAATAAAAGTAAGAGTACGTAGGCGTTGATTACACTGTGGTTATAAGTTGAGGGAGTTACATTGCTCAATGACTATTATGCGATAATAAAGCCGAGGAAGAAAATCGTAGACAGGTAGAACTGCGGGGGATGTTTGAGAAT